TGTTATCATTTTCATTTATTTTAAATTATTTTTTGTTAATTAATGAAAAAAAAAAAAAAAAAAAAACATTTTACTCTTAATCTTTTGCTACAAATTTATTAAATTAAAACCACCTGTTTTAGGTTTGTTATCATTTTCATTTATTTTAAATACTTTTTGTTAATTTATAAAAAAAAAAAAAAAACATTTTACTCTTAATCTTTTGCTACAAATTTATTAGATTAAAACCACCTGTTTTAGGTTTGTTATCATTTTCATTTATTTTAAATTATTTTTTGTTAATTAATGAAAAAAAAAAACATTTTACTCTTAATCTTTTGCTACAAATTTATTAAATTAAAACCACCTGTTTTAGGTTTGTTATCATTTTCATTTATTTTAAATACTTTTTGTTAATTCTTATTTTTTTTTAAAAAAAAAAAGAGACATTAAAAGGAAAGCTGATCCGCCTGTTTAGTTTTGCTGTAATTTTCATTTTTATTTAATTTTATAAATTATTAAATACTATTTGTTAATTAATATAAAAAGAAAAAAAAAGCATTTTTTTTCTTAATCTTTTGCTACAAATTTATTAAATTAAAATTAGCATGTACTACTAAAAAATTTGTAACAAAATATACACTCTTCGTAACTAAAAATTTATTAAATTAAAATTTAAAAAATTTAAAAATTAAAAAATGTACTATTAAAATTTGTAACTAAATACATACACTTATAATTATTATTTAAATATCTCATACTATAAATTTATTAAATTAAAATTAGCATGTACTACTAAAAAATTTGTAACGAAATATACACTCTTCGTAACTAAAATTTATTAAATTAAAATTTAAAAAATTTAAAAATTAAAAAATGTACTATTAAAATTTGTAACTAAATACATACACTTATAATTATTATTTAAATATCTCATACTATAAATTTATTAAATTAAAATTAGCATGTACTACTAAAAATTTGTAACGAAATATACACTCTTCGTAACTAAAAATTATTAAATTAAAATTTAAAAAATTTAAAAATTAAAAAATGTACTATTAAAATTTGTAACTAAATACATACACTTATAATTATTATTTAAATATCTCATACTATAAATTTATTAAATTAAAATTAGCATGTACTACTAAAAATTTGTAACGAAATATACACTCTTCGTAACTAAAAATTTATTAAATTAAAATTTAAAAATTTAAAAATTAAAAAATGTACTATTAAAATTTGTAAATAAATACATACACTTATAATTATTATTTAAATTTGTAACTAAATACATACACTTATAATTATTATTTAAATATCTCATACTATAAATTTATTAAATTAAAATTAGCATGTATTACAATAATTTTATGTATTACTAAAATTCATAACTAAATAAATACATACACTTACATTTATTATTTAAATCTCTCATAGTAATTTATAATGAATGTTTGAAATAATTCGTCTAATTTTCATCATCGCATTTATAAAACAATTATATTTTCATTTCAAAAAAGTAAAAAAAAATTTTTTTCCTTGCATTATTGATTAATTTTATACAAATTAAACAAATGTGATGATGATTTGTTTGAAAAAAAAAAAAAAAAAAATTAATAGTGAATTATATTATAGTATAAATTTAATTAAATAAAAATTAATTAATAAATTAAATTATTATATAAATTATAACTAATTTTATCTAATTTATATTTTATTAATATATTTAATTTTAGGAATACGTTATACAATATCATGCGTACGACATGGTGAAATAGATGATGATAATATGTTGACATCATAAAATTTAATTAAATAAAAATTAATTAATAAATTAAATTATTATATAAATAAGTAATTTTATCTAATTTATATTTATTAATATATTTAATTTTAGGAATACGTTATACAATATCATGCGTACGACATGGTGAAATAGATGATGATAATATGTTAACATTATGTGGTACCTGTTGGACATGGCGTAAATTACCACCTGATTATTTTCCACCTTTAATTAATGAACTTGTTTGCTCAAAAGAAAATCAAGGTCATTGTCTATCTGGTAATATTTCATATTTAATCATTTATAATTCTTTTTTTTTTTTTTTTTATTAAAACTTTTTATTACTTATAACAGATTTTTTAATAATCAAATTTATTTACTTTCTTTGAATTATAAAATTATTAATGTCAATAAAAAAAAAAAAAAAACAATAAAAATAATCAAATTTATTTACTTTCTTTGAATTATAAAATTATTAATATCAATAAAAATAATCAAATTTATTTACTTTCTTTGAATTATAACTTTTTATTATTTATAACAGATTTTTTAATAATCAAATTTATTTACTTTCTTTGAATTATAACTTTTTATTATTTATAACAGATTTTTAATAATCAAATTTATTTACTTTCTTTGAATTATAACTTTTTATTATTTATAACAGATTTTTTAATAATCAAATTTATTTACTTTCTTTGAATTATAACTTTTTATTATTTATAACAGATTTTTAATAATCAAATTTATTTACTTTCTTTGAATTATAACTTTTTATTATTTATAACAGATTTTTTAATAATCAAATTTATTTACTTTCTTTGAATTATAACTTTTTATTATTTATAACAGATTTTTTAATAATCAAATTTATTTACTTTCTTTGAATTATAACTTTTTATTATTTATAACAGATTTTTTAATAATCAAATTTATTTACTTTCTTTGAATTATAAAATTATTAATATCAATAAAAAAAAAAAAAGAAAAAGTAATTTATTAATTCATTGTTTATATCATTTTTATCAATCGCTCTATTTTTTTTTTTTTTTTTTTTTGAAAGAAAAATTTTGAAATAATAAATTACAATAATGTAAGAAATACACATAGATGTACATTTTTTTTTTTTTTTTCAACAAAATTTGATTTTTCTTTTCTTTTCGACAATCAGATGAAATTAATTTAGTAATTTTCAATTTCGCTTAATTGGAATTATATTTTGTATAGCATATTATTGCAAATTCAAATGCTCATCCATATATTTTTTTCATTTAAAATTTAACATTTTTTAAAAAAAAAAAAACAAAATTTATTGAAACATACTAAAAATTATTTTAATCAATTTTAATTAATCTAAACAAAAAAAAAAAAAAAAAAAAAAAAAAAGAAAATTGAGGAAATATTTTTAAATGCTATTCAAATATTTTTTTTTTTTTTTTTCCTCTTTTACTTCATGAAAACACATTTTATTCTATAAATTTATTTTTACTATTAAAATTTGTATAGTAATTTTTCAATTTTTTTTTTTTTTTTTTTAAATATCTCTCAATTATATGATTTAAAATATATTCTGAAATGGTAAGAAAAGAAAAAAATAAAAAAAAAAAAAAAAAATGATAATAATTTTAAGGTTGGGGTAAATGTCAACAAAAATATCGTAATTTTGATGTGCTACGAAATGTTAATGGAAATTGGCAACCAACAACGATCTCAACAGCAACATGCTGTGATTGTCGAATTCGAGCAGGCACTGAAATACATCCACTTGTTATTGGCAAAAGGCAAAATTAAGCTAAAATTTTGTTTTTTTGTTTTTTTGTTTTTTTTTTTTTCTCTTCAAAAATTATAAAAAAAATATTTTAAATTAGACATTTTATGATATAAATATTATTGTTTAAATATGAACTTTCTTTTTTTTAATATATTATTATATGTTAAATAAATTATCTAAAATTTTGTGTTTTTTTTTTTTTTTTTTTGTTTTTCTCTTCAAAAATTATAAAAAAAAAATATTTCAAATTAGGCATTTTATGATATAAATATTATTGTTTAAATATGAACTTTCTTTTTTTTAATATATTATTATATGTTAAATAAATTATCTAAATTTTGTTTTTTTTTTTTTTTTTGTTTTTGTTTCTCTTCAAAAATTATAAAAAAAAAAATATTTCAAATTAGGCATTTTATGATATAAATAATAGGATGTTGATATTTTATTATTGTTTATTTTAATATTATTATATGTTAAATAAATTATCTAAAATTTTGTTTTTGTTTTTTTTTTTTTTCTCTTCAAAAATTATAAAAAAATATTTTAAATTAGGCATTTTATGATATAAATATATTTCAAATTAGACATTTTATGATATAAATAATAGGATGTTGATATTTTATTATTGTTTAAATATGAATTTTTCTTTTTTTTTTTTTTATATTATTATATGTTAAATAAATTATCTAAAATTTGTGTTTTTTTTTTTTTGAATTTTTGAAATTTTTTTTTTTTTTTAATGAATTTATTGTTAAATTAGCTTCACGATTAATTAGCAATAATATTGTTGCTAATTAAATAGTACGAAGATAAATAATGCTACTAGAATCATAGGAAAAAAAAAAACAAAAAATGAAAAAAAAAATGGTTATTTAAAATTTCAAAAATTCGAGATTCTGCTAAGTAGACAGAACGAAGATAAATAATGCTACTAGAATCATAGAAAAAAAACAAAAAATGAAAAAAAAATGGTTATTTAAAATTTCAAAAAAAAATTTTTACTTCTAATTCGAGATTTATCAATTGCAATAAACTTCCATTCACATATATGTATATAATTTTTATCTCTCATAAATCTAACATAACTTTGTTATTTTGATTTTTTTTTTTTGAATTTGCTGAAATTGCATACAAAATAGCAAATAAATAAAAATTGTTGAATTATTGCAGTGGATAATTGGTTAATAATAATAAATGATAATTGATAATAATTAATAGTTAACAATAACAATAATAATAATAGTAATAATAATAATAATAATAATAATAATAATAATAAAACACTACCAGCATATTTTTGATAACAATATCACCACAGATGAAATATTTTTGATAAGTAAACATAGGTAAATATTTCCAAAATGAAATTAATTCATTAACCTGTCCAATAATATTTATGGCAGTTTCTTTTCCAGTACAGCCTTTTTTTTTTCTTTTTTTTTTTTTTCTCGATGTAAAATGTTAAATTTTAAGATATTCTAATAAAAAATAATTACTTCATACACTTAATCTATTATTTCTGTTTACCAATAAAATTTTATTACATTTTCTAAAATTAAAATTAGAATGCTTATTTCTTATTGTCTTTTCAAATTAATATCTAATTGCTTTTTGAAAAGTAAAACTTATCAAATTGTAAATGTAAGTTTCATATAAGTTAAAAAAAAACAAAAATTAATAACATCTTAAATGATTTCTGATTTAATATATTAAATATTTCTTGTTTGATATATTAAATTGTATTGCAAAAGATATCAAAAATTAAATAAATAAATAAACATAAGATATTTTCTCATCGTTTAATCAAATTTTATTATCATTTACAGCACTGAATTATTTCAAACATATGCAAATTATGAATAGCATATGATAAATTTGTCTTATTACTTTTTTTTGAATTAGTCAAATATTTCAACGATATCAATCTTACATATTACTATTGCTTGTCAATAATTGATACTTTAACAATTGTATCTTTAAAGTTATGAATATAAATTCATCTATCATTTTAATTAATTAATTGATTAATTAATAATACAAATTAATGATATCAAAATTACGTCATTAATAAAAAAAACAAATAATAAAATAAAGTCTAAGCTATTATTTCGATCAATTTGAAATTAATTTTACATAACAATAGGAAAAGTATTCCACAGTTTGATCTTCAGCATATGATAAATTTGTCTTATTACTTTTTTTTGAATTAGTCAAATATTTCAACGATATCAATCTTACATATTACTATTGCTTGTCAATAATTGATACTTTAACAATTGTATCTTTAAAGTTATGAATATAAATTCATCTATCATTTTAATTAATTAATTGATTAATTAATAATACAAATTAATGATATCAAAATTACGTCATTAATAAAAAAAAACAAATAATAAAATAAAGTCTAAGCTATTATTTCGATCAATTTGAAATTAATTTTACATAACAATAGGAAAAGTATTCCACAGTTTGATCTTCAGCATATGATAAATTTGTCTTATTACTTTTTTTTTGAATTAGTCAAATATTTCAACGATATCAATCTTACATATTACTATTGCTTGTCAATAATTGATACTTTAACAATTGTATCTTTAAAGTTATGAATATAAATTCATCTATCATTTTAATTAATTAATTGATTAATTAATAATACAAATTAATGATATCAAAATTACGTCATTAATAAAAAAAACAAATAATAAAATAAAGTCTAAGCTATTATTTCGATCAATTTGAAATTAATTTTACATAACAATAGGAAAAGTATTCCACAGTTTGATCTTCAGCATATGATAAATTTGTCTTATTACTTTTTTTGAATTAGTCAAATATTTCGACGATATCAATCTTACATATTACTATTGCTTATCAATAATTGATACTTTAACAATTGTAACATTAAAGTTATGAATATAAATTCATCTATCATTTTTAATTAATTAATAATACAAATTAATGATATCAAAATTACGTCATTAATAAACAAACAAATAATAAAATAAAGTCTAAGCTATTATTTCGATCAATTTGAAATTAATTTTAACATTTGTACAACAATTGGGCCGAAAAGTATTCCACGGTTTGAGCATCGTAAATTAATTTAACATTGAAGAGTGTAAGACAACAGTTGGTGGTAATGTTTTGTTTTTTTTGATATTTTGTCTGGCATTATTGATTTTTTTTTTTGCTGAATAATTCGTAATTATATGATTTAGAATAAAAGAATAATCTTTTAATAAAGAACCATTTTCTTATTTAAATTTGAAGAAAATATATTTAAAAAAAAAAAAAAAAAAAACTAATAGTCGTAATGATTGTAAATTCTGTTTTAATTAGTTGTAAAATAATACAGTGATGTAAACATTATGATTATTGAGATTAAGATTAAGAATGGTTAAGATATAATCTGGTGAATTTGCTATATTAAATAATCAAGAAGAAGAAATTAGAGATAATTTGAATGATACGAAAAATGATTAACTATTAGATATTTCGTGCAATAATTATGGATTAAAAAATTTCCTTAAATAAATTATCATATATTTGTAGCTGGTGCGACTAGTAATTGCAATCTTTCCGGTTGCATCATTTCCGTTATCGTGCCACACTACTAAATACATTCATTTCGTCCAGTTTATTTCCGGTTACATAATAATCAATCATTCATTACTTTGTTAACTCATTCATTGCGTCTATCCTATTTTTTCTTTTTTTTTTTTTTTTTTGTTAATTTGTCTACGTATTTTCCATTCTGTATGGTTGAACATTCGGAAAAATGACCCAGAAAATGGCTTCAGCTCGAAAGACAGGTTGTTATTGTATATTTTTGCTTTTTTATATTTTACTCAAAAATATTTTTTTCTTCTCTTTCGCATATTTTCTAATGAGTGCAGCAAAACTGAGCAATTTAGAGTGATAATAATGGAAAATGATAAACTGCAGATGTGAAAAGTGAATTAGAAAGTATTGGACGATGTTTGGAAGGTGAAGAACTGGTGAAAGCGTTAATGGAACGAGTCTTGGCAACTGAGGAAGAAAAGGCTACTCTAGCAAGCAAAGTTGAAGAGTTATCAAAGATTCAGAAAATGGCTACCAGTCTAAGGAAACAAAATGAATTAGTGAGTAACCAATAGATATATCTCAATGTCATTAAAATTTTGAAAGTACCAAATTAATTTATATTACCAAACATTAAAACTCATATAGAAGATGTAAATACATCTATAATCTATTATTCCACCTTGTTTACTTCTTAATAATAATAGATACCTGATTTACAAATATTACAAATAGTTTCAAAAGTTGTTTACGACGTTTTCAATCTGTTTTTGTTGATGTAAATTTATTTTAGAACTTTTTTGCAGTCATTTTTTTGGAACGGTTCTTTAAATGATCCGGGAGAAGATGAAGGCTTTCATCTACTTTAGAATGTAAAAATGTAATTGCAAAGAACAAAATATCCATAAAGTGTCCATTGCATTTATATCTATATCTCATTGTATCTATTTAATATCCATTTATATCTCTCATTGTAGCTAACTAAGAAAGTGGAAACAGTTGAGGGTGTGTTGATGAAGACCGAACTAGCAAAATCAAAATTGGAAAATTTATGTCGAGAAATGCAAAGGGCGCAACGGAAAGCACACGAGGAACATGTGGAGAAATTACGCGAATTGGAAAGGAATCGTAAAGACATGATTGAACAGTTCAAAGAATCCGTAGCTGGAATTCAGGTAAAGGAAACATTAATAACCATTTTTTTTTTTTTAGCATTTCTAATCACTAATTTCTTCTCGAAATTTAAGATAGAAAATGGGAAGGTTATATGATTTGGAATTTCTCATAAAAGCTTTTATAGTAATTATTAATTTTTCCTTTGTCTTAAAATTATTGCTCTTTCAGAAATCAATGGAATCAGGTCGAGAAACATCTGAAAAACTAACAAATGACAATGCAGTGTTGTCAGAGAAATTAAAAGTTTTGGCACAAGAATATGAAAATAGAGTAGCTGAACTTTCGAAACAGTTTGCCGAAGTATGTCACAAATATTTCCACAGATACATTATCATTATGAGATGTTGACGAGTTGATTTTCATTGTTTAGATAAGATTACTACTGATGTAAAAAGTGAAATTTTGAATAATCATTAGAGTATTTCTCATCTATTACTCTATTTCATACCTTCATAAAGATGTAGTTAATTGCAGAAGACGGAATACTGCGAAAAACTAACAGCGGCACGTGATATGGAAGTTGAATTGTATAAAACAAAGCTTCAAGCTGCTATATTGGATACACAGAAATGCACACAAGAGAAACTACAATTACAAAGCGAGGTTCTTTGCTTATTTTATCAGCTACCTTAAAGAGTTTATTTTATTCGAAAATATTTCTTTATGAAGATAATCAATCAAAGTATAGAAGAAAATTTCTTTGATTAAAAAAAAAAAAAAAAAAAACAAAAAATTATCTTATTATTGATAGCTTTTGAGAAAATGTTTTCATAAATGTAGTTCATTGCAAAAGAACGGAGTACTACGAAAAATTCTTTTACTTTAGATAGTTGTCTATTGTGCTAATAAAATGCAAAAATATGTTGTATGTTCATACTAATTAGATTAAGCAATTAATTAAAAAAGAAAAATTTTCATAATTTTTTATTATTTTTCAGTTGTTAGCTCGTGAACAGAAAGTAAAAGAAGTGCTGGAAGGTGAGAAGGCAATGCGTGAACAGATTGATAAGTATACGAAAAAATATAATGAGCTTCATCTAAGTCTCAACAATTCAAATGAAACATTTGATAAATTTCGGCGTGAAATGGAACGCATGAATTCAAACGTTATTAAGGTAGAGAAGGATGCGCGAAAATGGAAAATGAAGTATGATGAGACTGCTCAGTAAGTTCTATTATTGATCTATAATTTAAATAAAAAAAGAAAATCTAATGATTTTATAATTCGATGTAAATGTACAGTCGAATGAGAATTTTTATTTTGCTTTTAGTCAAAATATGCTAGTATTTTTTTTTTTTTCTTTTTTTACTAATAAAGATAAAATCTGATTCATTCGTACTTCACTTCTCAACTAACTTTATTAATTTAGGGCTTTGGCAGCTGCAACATTGAAAGTTAAAGAATGTGAAGATTTATGCGCGTTAAAAGAACGACAATTGCAACAACTGCAGAATTTATGTCGCACTTTAAAGTCTCAAATTCCTAATAATCAGTGATGTGCTTATAAAAAAAAAACACTAATATTCAAGCCTTTTTTTTTTTTTTTTTTCATTTTCTTTCTCTTTTAAATTACTATCAAAATTATAGTTGAGGGTAGATCATGTTTGTGTTCATTTTTGAATTTGCAAGCATTGAAAAAGTGAATTTAAAATTTTGATCATGACAAATTTGTTACATTTTTTACATACAGTTGTCTTTCAGAAATTTAAACTTCCTACACTCTTTCATCCCTCATAGTAATTTACTTTTTCTATTGCATTTATTCAACATTGTGTTATTTAAAAAAAAAAAAAAAAAAAAAGAAAACATTGGGTGCTATTTATTTCTATCTTAACAACATTCATTTTTTTTTTTCATTTATTTATGAAGTGCTTTTTTGAACTGAAACTTGTTCATTTTTTGTTTGGTTCACACCGGTGATGAACAAACAGCTTTTATTGTTGGTGATGATGCCATCATCATCATCATCATTTCACTATATTAAGAAAATAACATGCAATTTATCATCATGGCTTGCAAAGAAGGTATGATATGTGCTCGTATGTAATAATTTTAATTTTTGTAAATTATCCTATTAAGCTTACTTTGTGCCATAAATTTAATTTTCATCTTATATTTGATCAACAAAAATTCAATAATTCCAATCAAATGAACATTAAAAGATTTTCGGAAATTGAATATTTTTGGGAGAAAATGAAAAAAAAAAAAAAAAATGAAATGAAATGAGCAAAAGAGAATGATGTTTATTTGTTTGCTGAACAAATCAATACCATCCTTTTCATTTTTTTTTTTTTTTTTTTCATTTTGTAACCTTTCCTGATCCGGCTAAATTCATCGGATGAGTGATGAGTGTGTGTGTGTGAAATATGAGTCTAAAATATTGTAACTATCCATTTTTGTGATGAAAAATGCATGGAAAATTAAAAAAATCTTGTTGCAATTTGCAATTTCAAAAAACATTAGATTAGCTAATTAATTATTCTTGATAAGAGTTAAATGATCTGAAACTTACAGATTAGAAGAAAATACTTTAACGGATAAATTATTATTTAATTAAATTACAGATGACCTTTCTCTGTCTTATTTCGATCAATTTGATTTTTTGCAATGAATTTTGAATTTAATTATAAATTCTGATAATGTCTCTCTGTCTTATTTTTGCTATAAATGATTTAAATTTTTCAAAAATTCAGTGCATATCTTTATGAATTCCTGTGATTTGTCAAATAATTTTCCAACAATATTTTAAATTTGATATATTAAATATCACAAATAATCCAATATATATCATCATTATAATCATAAAAATTTTTTGAAAAATTTTTTATAAATATAGTCATTTTTTTTTTGAAATATTTACTTTTCTAAAGATAGGCAAATAATACTAAATGATTGTTTCAAGAAACAAAAAAAAATAAAAAAAAATAAAATTAATGAAAATGATAAAAGTTTAAAATTGCTTCATTTATCAACGAAATTAAAACGAATATTTGTAACAAAAGTTAACTTTTTTTCAATGATACATAAATTTTTCATTTACAATAATATTAAATGAAAATTGTCTGTGATTTGTCAAATAAAATATTATAATATAAGCAATATAAATGCATTCAATAAAATGAATCGATTATTTCTTTTAATAATACAATTTTATATTATAACTTTTGAAAAATTCATAACTTTTAGTGATATATTTAATTTTTATTACAAATCATTGAAATTTCATTAATTTTTTAATTAATGTAACTTTATTATAATTTTTAATAAGTATCAATTTTTTATCATATTGATTAATATTAAAATGAAAACAATTTAAAATTTCTCTTACAAAGTTATTGTTTGTTAATTTTTCAATTATAATTGTAGGATATACTTTAATTATAGAATATCTCTTATCAATTACAATCATACTTTTATCACTTCTATCAGTGATCAACTATAATAGATTATTAAAGATTATTAATTATCAACTATACATTTGCCAATATTATATTTATATTAAATTATAAACAATTTAAAATTTCTCATATTAGTTATAATTTGTTAATTTTAATTATAACCTGTTAGATATTATACTTTAATTATAGAATATCTCTTATCAATTACAATCATACTTTTATCACTTCTATCAGTGATCAACTATAATAGATTATTAAAGATTATTAATTATCAACTATACATTTGCCAATATTATATTTATATTAAATTATAAACAATTTAAAATTTCTCATATTAGTTATGTTGTTAATTATATATTTTTAATTTTCAATTATAACCTGTTAGATATTATACTTTAATTATAGAATATCTCTTATCAATTACAATCATACTTTTATCACTTCTATCAATTATCAACCATAACAGATTATTAAGTTGTGCTTCCAATGCTACTACAATTACATATGTATTTTTGAAATAATGCAATAAATGCCACTCTGCTAGTTAACTTGTGTGTGTGTATGTGTGTGTGTGTGTATGTGTATGTGTGTGTGTATGTATGTATGTATGTATGTGTGTATGTATGTGCATGTATGTATGTATGTATGTGTGTATATGTATGTGTCTGTGTATGTGTGTGTGTGTGTATGTGTGTGTATGTGTATGTGTGTGTGTATGTGTGTGTGTGTATGTGTGTGTCTGTATGTATGTATGTATGTATGTATATGTATGTGTGTGTGTGTATGTATGTATGTATGTATGTATATGTATGTGTGTGTGTGTATGTGTATGTATGTATGTATATGTATGTGTGTGTGTATGTGCATGTATGTATGTATGTATATGTATGTGTGTGAAAGTGTTTGTTTTGTTATTATCGATGAAAAGTTTAACTTGTAAGCTTATTGCATGTGTGTCTTCATCATAATCTTATAAATGAGCAAATTTTTTTCTTAGTTTTCTATTTATTCGTCATATGATAGTTTCACTTCGGAATATTATTATTATTATTATCGTTATTATCGTTATTATTATTATTATTATCGTTATTATCATTATTATTATTATCGTTATTATTATTATTATTATTATCATTGTTATTACTATTATTATTATTATTATATTTTTATTATATTATTATTTTATTATTATTATTATTATTATCATCGTTATTATTATTATTATTATTATCATTGTTATTACTATTATTATTATCTTTATTATTATTATCTTTATTATTTATTATTATTATTATTATTATTATCATATTATTATTATCATTACTATTATTATTATCGTTATTATTATTATTATTATCTTTATTATTTATTATCATTTATTTTATTTATGTTATCATTATTATTATCGTTATCATTATTATTATCGTTTTTTATTATTATTATTATTATTGATTATTGTTACTATTATTATTTTTATTGATTTTCTCCCCTTTTTTTTATGATATTATTTCAATTCTATATAAAATGTATAGCTGAAAGCAAAGCAGTGCACATTTTAATATGCGAACATTTCGAATTGCACTAAATAGCGCTATTGAATGATAAATATTATATATATGTTAGCAAATAAATAATTCAAATGATACAATCATTCATTGAATATGAATGATTAATGTAAAATGTAATATGTATGTGTGTTTAGAAATTAAAATTAAATACAAAACGATATGAAAATATGGAGAAAAAAGAGAAGGAATTAATTTTTAGTATCAAACGAACTGTTCTAAATCAGGTTAATTTTTTTTTTATTTAATTTTATTTATTATTTGACTTTTTTTTTTTTGATTCATATTTCATTTTTGTTTATTATTATTATCTATCATGTATTATTTAGCAGTATTATTATTTGATTTTTAATATTATTATTTATTATAATTATTATTTTATATATTATTATTAGTAGTATTATTATTATTATAATATTATTTTAGTATTATTATTATTTGTTTATAATATTATTATTAGTAGTATTATTATTATTTGATTTATTATTATTATTTAGCAGTATTATTAATTGATTTTATAATATTATTTTTAGTAGTATTATTATTATTTGATTTTATAATATTATTATTTAGTAGTATTATTATTTGATTTTATAATATTATTATTTAGTAGTATTATTATTATTTGATTTTATAATATTATTTTTTTTAGATTGTATTTACTTTTTAAAATTATTGTTGTTTACAGGAGAAATTTGATTATCAATATGGTTATATTGAAACAAATTTAAATTTGAAAGAATTAATGAGAAAATTATTTAGTAGTATTATTATTATTTGATTTTATAATATTATTATTTAGTAGTATTATTATTATTTGATTTTATAATATTATTATTTAGTAGTATTATTATTTGATTTTATAATATTATTATTTAGTAGTATCATTGTTATTTGATTTTATAATATTATTTTTTTTTAGATTGTATTTACTTTTTAAAAATTATTGTTGTTTACAGGAGAAATTTGATTATCAATATGGTTATATTGAAACAAATTTAAATTTGAAAGAATTAATGAGGAAGAAATTAAATAAATTTATTCAGTATAGTTTTATTAATCAAATCAAACAATTTTTTCCTGTATTATTTTGGCTTCCAAATATTACCAAATCAGATCTTTTCAAAGATATTATTGCTGGTATTACAGTTGGAATACTTTGTGTACCACAAGGTTAGTCATTTCTTTTATGGTTATTTATTTATTTATTTTTTTATAAGATTATTTTTATATAAGATTATAATAATATGAAGAAATAATATTGTTTATATAAATTATTTAATTAAATATTTATTAATTAATGTTGATTATTTATTAATTTATTAAGTTTAAATTTTATCATAACTATTTGTTTAACTTCTTCCGAAAGAGTTAAAAATCTTATTTATTTTTATATAAGATTATAATAATATGAAGAAATAATATTATTTATATAAATTATTTAATTAAATATTTATTAATTAATGTTGATTATTTATTAATTTATTAAGTTTAAATTTTATCATAACTATTTGTTTAACTTCTTCCGAAAGAGTTAAAAAATCATTTTGGAAAAGATTTTTCTTAGTTAATTCTTTTCTTATATTAATTTCTTATATTAGATTATACTTTCAACTACTTTGTATTCAATTTACAGTTACATATTAGCATGAAATATATTTATTAATTTATATTTTAATGGTAGTAAATTATTTTTAAGAAAATATTAGATAGAAATGACAAACTTTTTTAATTTTTTTTTTTCTTTTTTTTTCTGTAATGAATTTCAAAAAGATAATATAGTTTGTTTGGATTATTTATTTTTCAAAATGAATAAAGCGTATATAAAAATGTCATCCAAAATGACATTTTCATTTTGCCATTAATTTTTTCTTTTTTTTTTTTTTTTGCTTAGTTGAAAAAGAAAAGAAAAATTATTTATGTAGTTTAAATTATTATTATTATTATTGTTAAATTATAAAGCTAATTCTTATAGCTTCTCATAGGCATATATAAATTTTTTTTTCCGATCATTTAGTTAATTAATTAAAATATTTCCGGAAAATATCTGTAAGAAAAAAAAAAAAATAACTGACAAATTATTATTATTATTATTATTGTTAAATTATAAAGCTAATTACTTATAGCTTCTCATAGGCATATATAAATTTTTTTTTCCGATCATTTAGTTAATTAATTAAAATATTTCCGGAAAATATCTGTAAGGAAAAAAAAAAAATAACTGACATTTACTTTATAATTTTCTTTCTTAACGATATTACTAATAATTGTTTATCTAATTTTTTGATTATTTATTATTAATATTTATATTATTATTATATTTTTTAATGTTTATTATTTATTATTATTTTATTATTAAACATTTTATTATTATTTAATTATTTTATTATTATTAATTATTATTAATAATTGTTTATCTAATTTTTTGATTATTTTATTATTAATATTTTATTATTATATTTTTTTAATTATTTTATTGTTTATTATTATTTTATTATTAAACATTTTATTATTATTATTTAATTATTTTATTATTATTAATTATTATTAATAATTGTTTATCTAATTTTTTGATTATTTTATTATTAAACAGAATTCAATTTAGCTATGGCTTATTCTGCATTAGCAAATGTGAATGCAGTGATTGGATTGTATACATCATTATTTCCTACTTTAGTTTATGTTATATTTGGCACATCAAAACATATCAATCTTGGTTTGTTATTATTTTGCAAATTTTATTTGAAAATTTTTTTTTTTTTTGAAACAAACTAATTAATTAGCTTATATTTTGATTTCTTTTCATACAAAAAAGTTTTGGTTTGTTATTATTTTGCAAATTTTATTTGAAAATTTTTTTTTTTTTTGAAACAAACTAATTAATTAGCTTATATTTTGATTTCTTTTCATACAAAAAAGTTTTGGTTCGTTATTATTTTGCAAATTTTATTTGAAAAATTTTTTTTTTTTTTTTGAAACAAACTAATTAATTAGCTTATATTTTGATTTCTTTTCATACAAAAAAGTTTTGTTTTGTTATTATTTTGCAAATTTTATTTGAAAAATTTTTTTTTTTTTGAAACAAACTAATTAATTAGCTTATATTTTGATTTCTTTTCATACAAAAAAAAAAAAAAATTTTGATATAATATAATTTTAAGATTTCTTTAAACGAAATTCTTATTTTAACATTAACAAGTTTTTTGTTTGAAATTTACAAAATTAACTTTTGAAAACAAAAAAAAAAAAAAAGAAATTTCTGTTAAAAAAAAAAAAGTAAAAAAATAATAAATATGCTTTGAAGTGCTTCTTTTTTTTTTTTTTTAAATGATAAATTTAAGATTAATTATGAGATAAGGTTAATTACAAAAAAAAAAATTTTGATATAATATAATATTTAGATTTCATTGAACGAAATTCTTATTTTAACATTAACAAGTTTTTTGTTTGAAATTTACAAAATTAACTTTTGAAACAAAAAAAAAAAAAAAAAGTAAAAAATAATAAATAATGCTTTGAAGTGCTTCTTTTTTTTTTTTTTTTAAATGATAAATTTAATATTAATTATGAGATAAGGTTAATTACAGGTATGTTTGCAGTTGTAGCATTAATGACAGGTAATGCATTGGAACGTAGAATGGAAGATATATTTGATAAAAATACCACTGATTTATACAATTTACAAATGATTGATAATACTATTTTAACTGTTCGATTGATGGCTACGCTAACATTTACTGTTGGTTTCGTTATGGTAATTTGTTTATTTCATCTATAATTAATATTTTAATTATATGATAGGAATGAAAAAAGGAAAAAAAAAGAATTGAATTGAATTAAATTAAATTAAATTGAAACGATCATATAAATATTTCAAAATATTATATTTAAAATAATTTAATTTAACATTCAACTAATATATTTGAGAAAAAAAAATTATATTATTAATTATATGATAGGAATGAAAAAAGGAAAAATAAAAAAAGAATTGAATTGAATTAAATTAAATTGAAACGATCATATAATTATTTCAAATTATATATTTTATTATATTAAAATATAATAAGTAAACAATATAACATTCAACTAATACATTTGAAAAAAAAAATTAAATTATTAATAATATGATAGGAATGAAAAAAGGAAAAAAAAAAAAAGAATTGAATTAAATTAAATTAAATTGAAACGATCATATAATTATTTCAAATTATATATTTTATTATATTAAAATATAATAAGTAAACAATATAACATTCAACTAATACATTTGAAAAAAAAAAAAAAATATTATATTATATTCTTTAAATTATTTAAATTATTACAATGACAGTAAACGATAGTGAATATTTAGCAATTGAATTTAATCAGAAATTTCAAAAACTAAATAGGAATTTAGCTATTTACATATATATATATAATTATATATATTATTATATAATATCATAAAATTTATTCTTAATGTTTAAAAAAAAAAAAATGAGAAATGATAGTAATTACAATTAGCATCAAAGATGAAAGAGCATTTCAAGTGATTAGTTCAAGTATGATTAAGAATGAACAGAATTGATATATTTGTTTAGTAGTGGTGCAAATTTATTTATTTATTTATTTATAGTTTTTCATGTTCAAATTTCTAATTGATATTTGATTTATATTTGTTCAATAGAGGAGCAAATTTATTTATTTATTAATAGTTTTTCATATTCGAATTTCTATTGTTCAATAGAAGAGTAAATTTATTTATTTATTTATTAATAGTTTTCATATTCGAATTTCTATTGTTCAATAGAAGAGTAAATTTATTTATTTATTTATTTATTTATTTATTAATAGTTTTCATATTCGAATTTCTATTGTTCAATAGAAGAGTAAATTTATTTATTTATTTATTTATTTATTTATTAATAGTTTTTCATATTCGAATTTCTATTGTTCAATAGAAGAGTAAATTTATTTATTTATTTATTTATTAATAGTTTTTCATATTCGAATTTCTATTGTTCAATAGAAGAGTAAATTTATTTATTTATTTATTAATAGTTTTTCATATTCGAATTTCTATTGTTCAATAGAAGAGTAAATTTATTTATTTATTTATTTATAATTTTTCATATTCGAATTTCTATTGTTCAATAGAGGAGCAAATTTATTTATTTATTTATTTATTAATAGTTTTTCATATTCGAATTTCTATTGTTCAATAGAAGAGTAAATTTATTTATTTATTTATTATTTATTTATTTATTTATTTATTTATTGTTTTTCATGTTCAAATTTCTAATTAACATTTAATTTCTTTCTTCAGGCAATTTTTGCCATTCTACAATTGCATTTTCTTACTGTTTATTTGGCTGATCCAGTGGTTGGTGGTTTTACAATTGGTGCAGCATGTCATGTATTTGCATCACAAATGCCAAAATTAATTGGTATTCAAATACCATCAAGATATGGTCCATTTGGTCTTTTCAAATTACCATATGTAATTTTTTTTTTTTTTTTAAATAAAATATTATTCTTGTAATTGTTGTATATTTTTGAATTGAAAATATTATAAATAGTATTTTCAAATTATCACTTTATCAACTTTTTTTTTTTTTTTAAATTAAAATATTACATTCATTTCTTGTAATTGTTGTATATTTTTGAATTGAAAATATTATAAATAGTATTTTCAAATTATCACTTTATCAATTGATAGGATAATTGATACTTTATATCTGTTACAATTAAAATTAAAATAATTTTTTAACAAAATATTTTAGTTTCTATTCGATTTTGTGACATTACTAAAGGATGCAAATTGATGGTTGTATATTTTTGAATTGAAAATATTATAAAGACTCTTTTCAAATTATCACTTTATCAATTGATAGGATAATTAATACTTTGTATCTGTTACAATTAAAAATTAAAATAATTTTTTAACAAAATATTTTAGTTTCTATTCGATTTTGTGACATTACTAAAGGATGCAAATTGATGGTTTTATATTTTTGAATTGAAAATATTTTAAAGACTCTTTTCAAATTATCACTTTATCAATTGATAGGATAATTAATACTTTGTATCTGTTACAATTAAAAATTAAAATAAATTTTTAACAAAAATATTTTAGTTTCTATTCGATTTTGTGACATTACTAAAGGAAGCAAATTTATGGTTTTATATTTTTGAATTGAAAATATTTTAAAGACTCTTTTCAAATTATCACTTTATCAATTGATAGGATAATTGATACTTTATATCTGTTACAATTAAAAATTAAAATAAATTTTTAACAAAAATATTTTAGTTTCTATTCGATTTTGTGACATTACTAAAGGATGCAAATTTATGTGTGGTAATCATATCAGTAATTTCAATTGTTATTTTGATGCTTGGAAAATATATTTTAAATCCATCAATACAGCAACGAATTCGAATACCAATGCCATTTGAACTTTTTGTGGTTGATATTTCTTTTTTTTTTTTTTAAGTTTACTTTTTAGTTCTTTCCTATTTTAAATTATTGCTATCAAAATTTTTTTTAATGTTTTTTACCAAACAATGGATGAGAGGAAAAAATTTTTTTTTTTGGTTTAATGCTGATAGTTTTAATTATTTTATAAATTTATGCATTATTAATAAATTTAAGTATTAATATAAAATATTGCTTCATATATGTTTTTTTGCAATTTTCTCTATAGTTTTAAATATTTTATAAATTTATGCATTATTAATAAATTTAAGTATTAATATAAAATATTGCTTCATATATGTTTTTTTGCAATTTTCTCTATAGTTTTAATATTTTATAAATTTATGCATTATTAATAAATTTAAGTATTAATATAAAATATTGCTTCATATATGTTTTTTTGCAATTTTCTCTATAGTTTTAAATATTTTATAAATTTATGCATTATAATAAATTTAAGTATTAATATAAAATATTGCTTCATATATGTTTTTTTTGCAATTTTCTCTATAGTTTTAAATATTTTATAAATTTATGCATTATTAATAAATTTAAGTATTAATATAAAATATTGCTTCATATATGTTTTTTTTTGCAATTTTCTCTATAGTTTTAAATATTTTATAAATTTATGCATTATTAATAAATTTAAGTATTAATATAAAATATTGCTTCATATATGTTTTTTTTGCAATTTTCTCTATAGTTTTAAATATTTATAAATTTATGCATTATTAATAAATTTAAGTATTAATATAAAATATTGCTTCATATATGTTTTTTTTTGCAATTTTCTCTATAGTTTTAAATATTTTATAAATTTATGCATTATTAATAAATTTAAGTATTAATATAAAATATTGCTTCATATATGTTTTTTTTTGCAATTTTCTCTATAGTTTTAAATATTTTATAAATTTATGCATTATTAATAAATTAAGTATTAATATAAAATATTGCTTCATATATGTTTTTTTTGCAATTTTCTCTATAGTTTTAAATATTTTATAAATTTATGCATTATTAATAAATTTAAGTATTAATATAAAATATTGCTTCATATATGTTTTTTGCAATTTTCTTTATGAATTTATTGTGAAAATTGAAAATTTTAGATGATACTCGGCACATTGATGACTTATATGCTGGAATTAAATGTAAAACAAAAAGTTGCTATTGTTGGATTTATACCATCAAAGTTAGTTCTTAAGACTTATTTAATATTTTTATTATTTATTCATATTCTTATCATTTAGTTGTTTTTTTTTTAAAAAAAAAAAAAAAAACGAACGCAAAACAATTAATATTCATTAGGATTTTATTCGATTTTCTTATTTTTTTAAACAATCTTTTTTTTTTTTTTTCATTAAATATTTTAGATATATTTTATTCTCTTCCTACAAAGGTTGTTTCCAAAAAAAAAAAAAAAAATTAAACTATATGCGTATTTATTCACTTTTAGTTTGTTAATAATATAAATTAAGAAAATGTATGTATGATGAATGAATTATGATGTATTTATAGTGATAATTTAATTAATTTTAATTTATTCACTTTTAGTTTGTTAATAATATAAATTAAGAAAATGTATGTATGATGAATGAATTATGATGTATTTATAGTGATAATTTAATTAATTTTAATTTATTCACTTTTAGTTTGTTAATAATATAAATTAAGAAAATGTATGTATGATGAATGAATTATGATGTATTTATAGTGATAATTTAATTAATTTTAATTTATTCACTTTTAGTTTGTTAATAATATAAATTAAGAAAATGTATGTATGATGAATGAATTATGATGTATTTATAGTGATAATTTAATTAATTTTAATTTATTCACTTTAGTTTGTTAATAATATAAATTAAGAAAATGTATGTATGATGAATGAATTATGATGTATTTATAGTGATAATTTAATTAATTTTATAGGTTACCAATGCCAACACTACCAGAATTCAAATATTTTAGTGCATTTATTTTGGATGCATTAGTAATTGCTATAGTAATCTATTCGTTTACAGCATCTGTAGGTAAAGTATTTGCGAAAAAACATGGATATCATATTAATCCAAGTCAGGTATAAATTTTTTTTCTTATTAAAAGTTAAATTTTTGAATTAAAGAATTAAAGGAATTAAAAGAATTAAAGAATTAAAAGTTAATTCTTTTCAGTATATTGCTATTGTTTACATGCTGTTTATAAATAATATTATTAGAATTGAATTATGTTATGTTATATGTTTAGTCATTTCAAATTTATTTTTTTGATTTTAATTAAGTAATGTTATTTTAAATTGAATTATGTTATGTTATATGTTTAGTCATTTCAAATTTATTTTTTTTGCATTTTAATTAAGTAATGTTATATCAAAATTGAATTATGTTATGTTATATGTTTAGTCATTTCAAATTTATTTTTTTTGCATTTTAATTAAGTAATGTTATATCAAAATTGAATTATGTTATGTTATATGTTTAGTCATTTCAAATTTATTTTTTTGATTTTAATTAAGTAATGTTATTTAAAATTGAATTATGTTATGTTATATGTTTAGTCATTTCAAATTTATTTTTTTTTGCATTTTAATTAAGTAATGTTATTTTAAAATTGAATTATGTTATGTTATATGTTTAGTCATTTCAAATTTATTTTTTTTTTGCATTTTAATTAAGTAATGTTATTTTAAAATTGAATTATGTTATGTTATATGTTTAGTCATTTCAAATTTATTTTTTTTGCATTTTAATTAAGTAATGTTATTTTAAAATTGAATTATGTTATGTTATATGTTTAGTCATTTCAAATTTATTTTTTTTTGCATTTTAATTAAGTAATGTTATTTTAAAATTGAATTATGTTATGTTATATGTTTAGTCATTTCAAATTTATTTTTTTTTTTGCATTTTAATTAAGTAATATTATATCAAAATGGTAACATTTTTTTCATTTAATCAATTTGAACAATTCAAATTGAATATTTTTAAATGAATTTAATAATTTTTAGGAACTGAAAGCAATTGCACTATGTCAATTGATAGGTGGCATTCTAAGTTGTCATCCTGCAAGTGCAAGTTTATCACGTGCTCTTTTAAATTCAGAATTGGGTGCCACTTCTGAGGTTAGATTTTCTCTCTTTCTAACAAACAAAGAAAGAAAGAAAGAAAAAAAAAATTATTTAAATATTAACTAATAATTTTTATTTTTTGATATAAATATCACTGATTATGATGTTAGGAATAGTTTTTTTTTTTTTTATTTATTTATTTCTATAATTAATATTGAATTACACATAAACATATTGTTTACAGCTTTCAAGCGTTGTAGCTGCACTTGTAGTACTTTTGGTCATTTTGTTGGTTGGACCATTGCTGTACTATTTGCCAACGGTATGCTAAAATAATCATTTATATGTGATGCTAATAGTAAAGTTTACTTTTTATTTAAATTATTTAACTAAAGTTTATAAAGTTATTTGCATAATGATTAGTATTTATTAATTCTACAGTTATTTTCCAAATAATCATTTATGTGATGCTAATAGTAAAGTTTACTTTTTATTTAATTATTTAACTAAAGTTTATAAAGTTATTTGCATAATGATTAGTATTTATTAATTCTACAGTTTATTTTCCAAATAATCATTTATGTGATGCTAATAGTAAAGTTTACTTTTATTTAAATTATTTAACTAAAGTTTATAAAGTTATTTGCATAATGATTAGTATTTATTAATTCTACAGTTTATTTTCCAAATAATCATTTATGTGATGCTAATAGTAAAGTTTACTTTTTATTTTAATTATTCAACTGAAACTTATAAAGTTATTTGTATAATGATTAGTATTTATTAATTCTACAGTTTATTTTCAAATAATCATTTATGTGATGCTAATAGTAAAGTTTACTTTTTATTTATTAAATCATTTCAGTGTGTATTGGTATCAGTAATAGTGGTAGCTCTACAGGGAATGTTTCTAAGAGCTAATGAAGCTGTTCACTATTGGAAAACTTCAAAAATTGATTTGGTTAGTGCACTGAAATTTATTAAAAGCATTTTTAGTATCTTAGTTTTATTGATAAAATTAATGAAGTGATAATATTGATAAAAATTAATGGATGTGTCTTAGTTTTATTGATAAAATTAATGAAGTGATAATATTGATAAAATTAATGGATGTGTCTTAGTTTTATTGATAAAATTAATGAAGTGATAATATTGATAAAAATTAATGGATGTGTCTTAGTTTATTGATAAAATTAATGAAGTAATGATATTGATAAAATTAATGGATGTCATAGTTTTATTGATAAAATTAATGAAGTGATAATATTGATAAAAATTAATGGATGTCTTAGTTTTATTGATAAAATTAATGAAGTAATGATATTGATAAAAATTAATGGATGTGTCTTAGTTTTATTGATAAAATTAATGAAGTGATAATATTGATAAAAATTAATGGATCATATCTTTATTCTTATCAGTAGTTTGCATAAAAATTTCAGCTTATTTGGTTAATAAGTTTTCTGGGTACATTTCTATGGAATGTAAGTGAAGGTCTTGGTGTAGCTATAATATTTGCTATTTTAACTGTTATCATTCGTACACAATGGTTTGAATTTGTTTGTTATTAATTTATATATGATTGAATTAATTTATGTATGATTAAAATTAAAGAGTAAATTTTGAAAGATTCCATTTATATTTTAATTTTTAGCTTTTTTTTTATTCTCTTGATTTGAACGATGAAAGCTTTGAAAAGTTGTATGTATGAATTCTTTCTTCTACCTTTTTGACTGAATTCAAAATTCAAAATGTATCCTCCATACATATATTTTAGGCCAAAGCTGTAACACTTGGTGAAATTAAAGATACCGAGCTATATAGAGACATTTGTCGTTACAGGTAAAATTAGTCTTGTTTACATTTATCATTCTTTAAAATCAATATTATTATTTACAATATTATTAAAATCAATATTATTATTTAGAAAATGTTTTTTAGATATTGAAATTATATATGTGAAAATTATGATTTTAAAATTAGTCTTGTTACATTTATCATTCTTTAAAATCAATATTATTATTTACAATATTATTATTTAGAAAATGTTTTTAGATATTGAAATTATATATGTGAAAATTATAATTTTAAAATTAGTCTTGTTTACATTTATCATTCTTTAAAATCAATATTATTATATCGACTTTAGAAAATGTTTTTTAGATATTGTAATTATATATGTGAAAATTATGATTTTAAAATTAGTCTTGTTTACATTTATCATTCTTTAAAATCAATATTATTATTTACAATATTATTAAAATCAATATTATTATTTAGAAAATGTTTTTAGATATTGAAATTATATATGTGAAAATTATGATTTTAAAATTAGTCTTGTTTACATTTATCATTCTTTAAAATCAATATTATTATATCGACTTTAGAAAATGTTTTTCGATATTGATTTTTAGATTATTTTAGATATTATGTGAAAATTGATGTTTTAATCATGAAAGTATGGATTTAGCCTTCAATTTAATTTAACATTATGCAAAATTACTTTTTCAGTGAATCATTAGTATCACCAACGATTGTGATTTATCGCTATGATGCACCTTTACTTTTTCTCAATAGCGATTTATTTATCAAAAAAGCTCTTGCTATTGTTGATGATAAAATGGTTAGTTATCATTTTCATCAAGCAATTTCTTATCAGATCTAAAGTGTCATTGTGTTCAATGAATTGATCATGAAATGATCATATCAATAAATTTTTTTACAGAAAATGTTAAATGAAAGCGAAACACTTTATCTGATCATTGATGCTTCGGGATTTACATGCATTGATTATACCGGAATTGAAAGATTGAAGGATTTATCGCAGGAATTGAGAAATCGTAATGTTGAAATATTTATGGCTGCCTCAAAAGGTTTCAAATATTATAACATTTATGAATTAAAAAATTAATCATTTCATTTATATGTAAAATTTACCCTAGTTAAATTTACCCTAGTTTAAATTTACCCTTTAAATTTACCCTAGAAATAATGGTTGAAATATTTATGGCTGCTTCAAAAGGTTCACAATATTATAACATTTATGAATTAAAAAATTAATCATTTCATTTATATGTAAAATTTACCCTAGTTAAATTTACCCTAGTTTAAATTTACCTTTAAATTTACCCTAGAAATAATGGTTGAAATATTTATGGCTGCTTCAAAAGGTTCACAATATTATAACATTTATGAATTAAAAAATTAATCATTTCATTTATATGTAAAATTTACCCTAGTTCAATTTACCCTAGTTTAAATTTACCCTAGTCGAAAATAATGAAAAAAGTAAATATGTTTGTTGCATAATAATATTTTTTTTTTTTTTTTTTTTTTTAGCAGAAGCTCGAATATTATTTGCCAAATGTAATATCTATGAAGTGATTCCATCGATAAATTTCTTTCCATCCATTCATGATGCAGTATTATTTGCTAATAATGCTCAACAGATAAAACAAAAGAAGAATATTTGCAAAGAACAGAAATAATATCGAATATGTTTATAATAAATTTTATGTAAAGTTAATTAATTAATATTTTACCTATTTTTTCATCTTTACTCATTGCCTTCATTTTAATCATTTATATGAATGTCTTTCAAATATTATCTTATATTATTTCAGATTATTAAAAAATTTTTCAATGATTAATAATTAGTTAGTTCTTTTTTCTTTTTCCTGATTAGCAGTTTCTTTTGATTAATCAATATTTAGCTAATTTTTTTCCTAGTTAAATATTTATTTATTTGTTTATTTATTTTTTTTTTTTTATTTTTATTTAATCGTATATAACAAGAATTGTTGCATTCATTGAAATTTTTAATTGACATATTTCAGAATTATAGTAAATAGAAAATGAATATGAATTATTTGTAAATAACTAATGTGTAATATAATATGATTTAAAATAAAATGTTAGTTACATTTATTGTTGTGTGTCATTGCAATAAAACGATACAACTTTTACCTATTATTTTATATTACTTATTTTCTTATTTTTTTACCTATATTATTTACTTTCTTATTTATTTACCTTTCTGTAAATTTCGTTTTTTTTTTTTTTTTTTGTCAATTATTTGCAATTAGTATTTAATATAGTCATATTGTATTTAAATATAATTTTGTTCTATATGATATGATATAATATGTTAATTAATTAATTAATTAATTAATTAAATCATGTACCATTATCAGTATTAATTAATCAATCACCAAATGTCATCTTATATTTTACTTCAATTAATAAGTGATATTATCTAGTTAAATGTTATCTGGTTTTTTTTTTTTTTTTCTTTCAGAATGATTTGAAAAGAAAAAAAAAGAAATAGGCAATTCTTCAAAGTTATATTTCGAACATATGAACCTAAGGAAGAAAGAAAAAAAAAAAGTCGTAAAAAAATTTTCACACCTATATTCATGGTTATACGAAAATTCATATTTACTTTATTAGTATCAACTGATCAATCAATCAATCAATCAATCAATAATTAATCAATCAATAATTGCACTGAATAATTATGCCAAATCACGACGATAATTATTTTGAAATTATTAAAAAGCGGGTAGTATTTGCTTCATTATTCAAATTACTTACTTTCCTTTCCTTTTTTTTATTTTTATTTAATTTGGCTATATTTTCTTATTAGTATCAATCAATCAATCAATCAATCAATAATCAATCAATCAATAATTGCACTGAATAATTATGCCAAATCACGAAGATAACTATTTTGAAATTATTAGAAAGCGGGTAGTATTTGCTTCATTATTCAAATTACTTACTTTCCTTTCCTTTTTTTTTATTTTTATTTAATTTGGCTATATTTTCTTATTAGTATCAATCAATCAATCAATCAATCAATAATCAATCAATCAATAATTGCACTGAATAATTATGCCAAATCACGACGATAATAATTTGAAAATAATAAAAAACCGGTAGTATTTGCTTCATTATTCAAATTACTTACTTTCCTTTCCTTTTTTTTTTTTATTTAATTTGGCTATATTTTCTTATTAGTATCAATCAATCAATCAATCAATCAATAATTAATCAATCAATAATTGCACTGAATAATTATGCAAATAACAAAAAGAAAAATATTGGAAATTATTAAGAAAGCGGGTAGTATTTGCTTCATTATTCAAATTACTTACTTTCCTTTCCTTTTTTTTATTTTTATTTAATTTGGCTATATTTTCTTATTAGTATCAATCAATCAATCAATCAATCAATAATCAATCAATCAATAATTGCACTGAATAATTATGCCAAATCACGAAGATAACTATTTTGAAATTATTAGAAAGCGGGTAGTATTTGCTTTCATTATTCAAATAACTTACTTTCCTTTCCTTTTTTTTTTTTTATTTAATTTGGCTATATTTTCTTATTAGTATCAATCAATCAATCAATCAATCAATAATTAATCAATCAATAATTGCACTGAATAATTATGCCAAATCACGACGATAATTATTTTGAAATTATTAAAAGCGGGTAGTATTTGCTTCATTATTCAAATTACTTACTTTCCTTTCCTTTTTTTTTTTTTATTTAATTTGGCTATATTTTCTTATTAGTATCAATCAATCAATCAATCAACAAAAATTAATCAATCAATAATTGCCACTGAATAATTATGCCAAATCACGACGATAATTATTTTGAAATTATTAAAAAGCGGGTAGTATTTGCTTCATTATTCAAATTACTTACTTTCCTTTCCTTTTTTTTTTTTATTTAATTTGGCTATATTTTCTTATTAGTATCAATCAATCAATCAATCAATCAATAATTAATCAATCAATAATTGCACTGAATAATTATGCCAAATCACGACGATAATTATTTTGAAATTATTAAAAACGGGTAGTATTTGCTTCATTATTCAAATTACTTACTTTCCTTTCCTTTTTTTTTTTTTATTTAATTTGGCTATATTTTCTTATTAGTATCAATCAATCAATCAATCAATCAATCAATCAATCAATCAATCAATCAATAATCAATCAATCAATAATTGCACTGAATAATTATGCCAAATCACGACGATAATTATTTTGAAATTATTAAAAGCGGGTAGTATTTGCTTCATTATTCAAATTACTTACTTTCCTTTCCTTTTTTTTTTAATTAAATTGGCTATATTTTCTTATTAGTATCAATCAATCAATCAATCAATCAATAATTAATCAATCAATAATTGCACTGAATAATTATGCAAATCACGACGATAATTATTTTGAAATTATAAAAAGCGGGTAGTATTGCTTCATTATTCAAATTACTTACTTTCCTTTCCTTTTTTTTATTTTTATTTAATTTGGCTATATTTTCTTATTAGTATCAATCAATCAATCAATCAATCAATAATTAATCAATCAATAATTGCACTGAATAATTATGCCAAATCACGACGATAATTATTTTGAAATTATTAAAAAGCGGGTAGTATTTGCTTCATTATTCAAATTACTTACTTTCCTTTCCTTTTTTTTTTTTATTTAATTTGGCTATATTTTCTTATTAGTATCAATCAATCAATCAATAATTAATCAATCAATAATTGCACTGAATAATTATGCCAAATCACGACGATAATTATTTTGAAATTATTAAAAGCGGGTAGTATTTGCTTCATTATTCAAATTACTTACTTTCCTTTCCTTTTTTTATTTTTATTTAATTTGGCTATATTTTCTTATTAGTATCAATCAATCAATCAATCAATCAATCAATCAATAATCAATCAATCAATAATTGCACTGAATAATTATGCCAAAATCACGACGATAATTATTTTGAAATTATTAAAAACCAGGTAGTATTTGCTTCATTATTCAAATTACTTACTTTCCTTTCCTTTTTTTATTTTTATTTAATTTGGCTATATTTTCTTATTAGTATCAATCAATCAATCAATCAATCAATCAATCAATAATCAATCAATCAATAATTGCACTGAATAATTATGCCAAATCACGAACGATAATTATTTTGAAATTATTAAAAAGCGGGTAGTATTTGCTTCATTATTCAAATTACTTACTTTCCTTTCCTTTTTTTAATTTTATTTAATTTGGCTATATTTCTTATTAGTATCAATCAATCAATCAATCAATCAATCAATCAATAATTAATCAATCAATAATTGCACTGAATAATTATGCCAAATCACGACGATAATTATTTGAAATTATTAAAAAGCGGGTAGTATTTGCTTCATTATTCAAATTACTTACTTTCCTTTCCTTTTTTTTTTTTATTTAATTTGGCTATATTTTCTTATTAGTATCAATCAATCAATCAATAATTAATCAATCAATAATTGCACTGAATAATTATGCCAAATCACGACGATAATTATTTTGAAATTATTAAAAAGCGGTAGTATTTGCTTCATTATTCAAATTACTTACTTTCCTTTCCTTTTTTTTTTTTATTTAATTTGGCTATATTTTCTTATTAGTATCAATCAATCAATCAATCAATCAATAATTAATCAATCAATAATTGCACTGAATAATTATGCCAAATCACGACGATAATTATTTTGAAATTATTAAAAGCGGGTAGTATTTGCTTCATTATTCAAATTACTTACTTTCCTTTCCTTTTTTTATTTTATTTAATTTGGCTATATTTTCTTATTAGTATCAATCAATCAATCAATCAATCAATCAATCAATAATCAATCAATCAATAATTGCACTGAATAATTATGCCAAATCACGACGATAATTATTTTGAAATTATTAAAAAGCGGGTAGTATTTGCTTCATTATTCAAATTACTTACTTTCCTTTCCTTTTTTTTTTTTTATTTAATTTGGCTATATTTCTTATTAGTATCAATCAATCAATCAATCAATCAATCAATAATCAATCAATCAATAATTGCACTGAATAATTATGCCAAATCACGACGATAATTATTTTGAAATTATTAAAAAGCGGTAGTATTTGCTTCATTATTCAAATTACTTACTTTCTTTCCTTTTTTTTATTTTATTTAATTTGGCTATATTTTCTTATTAGTATCAATCAATCAATCAATAATTAATCAATCAATAATTGCACTGAATAATTATGCCAAATCACGACGATAATTATTTTGAAATTATTAAAAAGCGGGTAGTATTTGCTTCATTATTCAAATTACTTACTTCCTTTCCTTTTTTTTTTTTTTTGTTTTATTTTTATTTAATTTGGCTATATTTTCTGTATGCTTCAGATATGAATGGGAAAATTCCACAATGAAGAATATTTTTGCTAAAAAAAAAAAAAAAAACAAAGAAGGTATGAAAAAAAAAAAAAAGAAACAAAAATATTCTAATAATTCATCAATATATTTGTACTTAAAAAGTATATTTCGAGAGAATCATTCCGTACAAGTATAAACTATATTAATAATTTTATATTTCTAATCATTATTAAAATTAATCAATTCATTTTTTTTTTTTAAATGTAAATTATATTTGAAATAATTCGAAAGAATTCAAATCAAATTAGTTCAGTTAATTAATATCCATTAATTTATGTAACAAATATGAAACGAACAAAAAATTTTCAAAAGAAATTTTCTCACTTTTTTCTCAAATATATTCTCTCTCTTTTTTTTTTTTTTTATAACTTCTGTATGACCTTTGACCCTCTCCAATTTTCATTAGTAATTTTAAACTTATTAGTATTAACTTTTGACCTTTTACTATTATTATTATTTCAGCTAAATACCGCCAATGATAATACTGATCTGTTGCTATTTCGTTAGACGGTGGATGCTGAAATTTAAGTATTAAATGATATCGAGAAATTAGGTATGCGATATATCAATGGATTATTGATGTTAAGGCTGATAACAGTATGTACAATTATATTCATAGTGAATGATCTGGATGTAATATATGATTTGATCTGGTTATCGATTGATTCAATAACTGCGAAATTTTCCTTTGAAAGGTTTATTATTTGAAGATTTAATTGCATATTAATTTAACTGAATGATTTATCTTTGATATTATATATTTACCAATTTTCAAGATTTTTTTAGTTGAATTGATAAATTAGAAATCATTTAAGCTTTATATTATTAAGTTTATTTCAATATTTGCAATATTTCGGATTATATTTCACAAAGTTTATCCAATGCGTAATCATTTATATTTATAGCATTATATCGAAGAACAATGTATCGCTACTGACCTGGAAAGATGTGGATATATTCTCACCACCAAAACTCAATGATACAATAGCCGAAGTGTTACGACTTAACGAATTATTAGCTCATAAACAGTACAAATGTGAGGAAGGTATCACTGTTGGTGACAGTAAAGGGGCTTTTACGATTTGTACAGATGGAACATTGAACAAGACAATACGGTATGCAATTTTCAGCAATAATCATCTTGGATATTAATATATATATATATATATATAATATGTATTCATTTTGACTTCGTCATTTGCTTGGAGATGATTTAGTGACAAGTTTCGAGTATTTGAAATATTAGCAACTGAATGGTAGATTATTAAGATATAGCGCAATGTATTCTTTGAATTTTATGTTTGGCCAATAAAATCAAAAAGCAATGTAACCAATTAAAACTTGTTTATCAAGTCTTGTTCGATGAACCTGTTTATTTTTTAGAAGTCATCAAATGTAGCAATTCAAACTTTGCTATCCAAGGAGAATTTAGCTTCATGTGTCTCTCATATTTCAGCAATGCTTTGTTCATTAGTGGTTCTCCAGATGATTTTGCTTTTTATTTGACTGCAGTGATTCCAGAACGATGGATATTTTTTGTTCCTGAAGGATTCAAAGCACTTGACAATTTAGGAAACGTCGGTAAGTCTTGCTAAATTACTTTGTTATCTATTTTACGATTGATTATCTAGATGAGAGCAAAATAAAAATTTAATTAATCACATACGTTGCAGATGCGGAAATGCATTATCTTTTTTATCTAAACGATAATGGTATTTGGGATTCCGATGATATATTTCGTGAATTATTACATAGGCAATTTGATATCGCATTTGTCAACTTTTATACACCCATTCAGAATGGAGAATTGAGAATAACACAACTGCAAAAACTTCGTGATGCACCCAAGCTAATGGAGCAAGTTTTGAAGGTCTTTACCAATGTTTTATTTGAGTTTTTTTTTTTTTTTTTATTCGAAGTTACAGCAACTTTGTGCTATTTGAAATTACGACTTTAAGTCGTAATAATTATTGCAGGTTTTGCAATCGGATCAGCTACACCTGACCATCGAAATTGGAAAAAATATGGAAAATTTGTTATATGATTGGTATTTATTATTATATCAGATGTACTTCAAATATCATTATGCCCTTATTGGAGCCGAATCAAATTCTGCCTGTGATCGAACGACTCATAATTGCTATTATCGACTCAGTTTCATAAAAAAGGAGCATCATCAAGTGGATTTGCCTATTTTTGGCTTTGGTTAATAATCATTAAATATACTTAAAAAGAGATGCAGAAATTAGTATTGTAATTTACATTTTTTTTTTTTTTTTCACATATTACAGATATGACTTATCTAACTGTGAGAAATTATATTGTGAGAATAACATGTGTCAGTAGTGTTTTAGCAATTTGATCAGCGATAGTAGAATTATGCATGTTAAGAGTTATTTGCTTCAGGTAATATTTAATTATTAATAGACATTAAAAAATATATTATTTAGGTTCGCCAGTGGAAGAAAAGAAGCGACTTATGAAGTATCTGACAACATTTAGAAAGGAAAATATGGATTGTAATAAAGTGTCGGAGATTAAAAATGGCATACCTTTGCTGTGTAAACTAAATGTAACGGAAAAATGTACTATAGTGTATGTGAGGTATACGTTCTAAGTTTTTTATTATTTATTTATATGTGATTATACGTTGTAATTGGTAATTTCTTTGTAGTTTGTAGTAAAATTAATGACATGTAATTAGTAATTTCTGGATGCTGTATTTTAGTTATCGTGGATTTGAAGTAATGGAGAATTTCGAGCATTTTCTTCCTTGTAAAGTATATTTTTTCTCACCAGTAGAGTCAAATAAAAGGTAAACTTTTATTGATGTTGTTATTACAGTTAAAAGATTAACACTTTAGTCTGTTCTTTACAAATTAGGAGTGTTTAATAGTTGTTTATTTTAGATTGATTTCAACTCAAAGCATATATCCTTATGGCATTTCGCCATATTTTTCAAAAAATTGTACAGTTCCTGATGGCAGTGATAATAATGCATGGCTTTTGATAACTTTATCAGATATATTGACATTATTAATGAACATCGAATAGATAAATTTATTATGGATCTTAATGGTGGAGAATGGGATATTCTTCCTGCTTTACTAGAGACAGTTCGATTCAAAAATATTGTCCTCCATGTAGATCTCAGAGTTCGGTAAAATTTTCAAGATGTTATAAAATTAGTGATTTTTTTAAGGCTTTGAAATTGTTTTCCGAACAGTGATAGCAACAAAAACAATTTATAGCTTCTGATAACTTTGCTTTCATTTGCTTCTAGATTTTGGATCGGTGAAGACAACGAAAACTATCGTCGTATTCTGATGTATTTCTTGCAACTTGAAAATTTTGGATTCAGGAAGTTATATTCGAAAATAGTTGATGGTACAACAGCAATCATCAGCTTTAGAAATATATTGTTAGCATAGGTTACTGATTTTTTATTGGTTTAAATTTTTCCATTTATGTTTTTATTCGAAATGATAAATTATAATGTTTACACCTATGCATAATAATTGTTATTGCTTCGAAGTAGTTCAGAGTGGATTATCTTGATGTATTTATAAAAGGAGTTAGCAACATGAGTTATAATTTTACAATTTTCATTTGGAATTCTTTCACTTGTTTTAAAATGAAAATTTCAATTAATCATTGTTAGTTTAAAAAATTTATATGGATTAATTTGATATGCAACTGCTCTTTCCCAGTTCATTGTATTTACTTTTAATCCTATAATATATCTGATTAACGGGTGTCTTTCTGTGATTTTTTGTATGTTTATACCTTCTTTTGACATCTAGGATACATCTATCTTATTCACTTATCATTATGCAATTGGTTATGTGATCTTTTTTACATGTGATAAATAGTAGCGGTGATGGTATTAGGTTATGTATTTTATATATCGAGAATGATTTATATATCGAGAATGACTATTTTGTATTAATTAGAATAATTTTTGCTGTGCTAAATAATGTAATTTTGTTTATTTGTATTTTCTTATTCCGCTTAAAATTATGTAATGATATCATTGAAAAAAAAAAAAAAAATAAATAAATAAAAGAATTGTAAATTGCAATAATGTTATGATTAATTATTGCACTTTAGCAATGCTATGATATTAATCATATGCATTTCTTCCTAATGTGTTTTTATTTATTTATTTATTTTTTTTCGGTAAGTTCATCGATTCAATAAACAATATACAATGTTTATTTTTATTTATTTATTTATTTTTTTAAATTTAATAGCATTCGTAATTGTATCATTTTTCCTCTATTTCTGCTGATAGGATATCGATTAAAATTCGATCAATATAGGAAGAAAAATAACGTAATGAAAATGCTTTCTTCTCTTCCAAAATTAATTTACTTTCTCCCTAGCAATTAAACTTTACTTTGACAGATAGGTATATTTAATAATAGGATTTGTACAATATTTTATCTTGAAGCAATATTTTTTCTTATTGCATGTAATTTAGTATTAAGCATTCCTCTATTATTTATACATTTCATAAAAGATAATCAATAATCGGATGATAAACTTCTAGAAGAATATATTCCTCGAAACGATAGCATAAAACGATGGGTTCATTTCCGGATTGGAAAAAATTGATGTGTTTGAGTGGAATCAAAATGTGTCTTCAGTTACTAGTTTTAGCGCTATTTGTTATGTCTTACCAAGGTTTGTTTATTATTAATTATTATTATTGTTATTATTATCTTCACTTTTATTATGACTACTATTTCTATTACTTATTATTATTAATCAACCATTATTATTATTATATTAATTACTATTATTATTATTTATTAGTTATTATTATTGATATTATTATTAATTATTAACTACTTTTTAATATTATTACTATTATTATTATTATATTATTATTATTATTATTATTATTATATTATTATTATTATTATTATTATTATTATTATATTATTATTACTGTATGCATAGATTTAAATCATTTGGGAAAAAAAAAAGTAGGAAGTCCACTACAATATATATGATATAATTTATAGTTAAATTAATTAAAGTTGATTATCCAATTAGATATTACAAGTAGCATAGTAATTCAGTAAACTAAAATTCAATTTATAAATTAACAATTCTTGTGAATAAATACATATGTGATTTCCACAATGAATTAGAAATATTTGTAATTTAGTGTATTTGTAGCCAAAGAAGATTCATTAAATACGATATATCAATTTCAAGTTCGTGATATCAATGGTGCAGAAGTGTCGTTGAATCGATATAGGTTGGTGTGTGTGTGTGTGTGTATCCAAACCATTTATTCATTTAAAAAAAAAGTAATTTAGAATTGACCTTTAAAAAAAAAAAAAAAGTGTTCAGGTGTCTTTTTCAATCTTTTTCTTGAAACTAAGCAAAAAATATCAGCTATAATTTAAAACCAGTTATTTATGTTTGATAGGAATACTAAAATTTATTGTTGATTAATGTTTATTATGTTGTTTAAATTGAAAAGTATAGCTGAATATATGTTTGTAGGAATAAGGTGGTTTTAATAGTAAATGTAGCATCTCAATGTGGTCTTACTCATTCAAATTATGCACAATTGAAAAATTTGCATGATAAATACAAGGAACAAGGTTTAGCAATAGCTGCTTTTCCTTGTAATCAATTTGCTTCACAGGTATATTCATCAATTTTTTTTTTTTTTTTTTTTTGAATTTAAAGTACAATTAAGTCCATTTTGTCTATTTTAAACGAAAAAAACAATAAAGAAGCGGCATTGTTCTAAGAAAAAAAAAGAGACATGTGGAAATTAATAATGGATTAATAAAAAAACAATTAATAATAGGATTTATTATTAAGATAATTAATAATAAACTAATAATAGGCTTAAATTAATTTTTGAAAAAATGATAAATATTTGTAGGAACCTGGAAATGAAATGGAAATTAAACATTTTATAAAGGAAACGTTCAATTTTGAGCCTGATTTATATGCTAAAATTAATGTTAATGGAGCAGAGGAACATCCATTGTATAAATTTTTAAAGAGTCAAAAAAGTGGCACACTAATAGATGCTATTAAATGGAATTTTACTAAATTTCTTATTAATAGACATGGAAAAGTGGTAAATTTTATTACAAAATTTATTTACTATGTAATATTTTTGATAATATTTTAGTTTTTTTTTTTTTTTTTTTTTTTTTTTTTAAATTTAACTGTTTTGTTTTTTTTTTTTTTTTTGTATGAAAGTAAGAAAATTATAAAATTTTGCTTATTATAGGTAGAACGATATGCTCCTACAGTGCAACCTAACGATATAGAAGAGGATATTGTAAAATTATTAAACGAACATGTTGATTTATAATTCAGTTAGAATGCTTATAAAATTTTCATTTTGGTAAGCACTAATTCTTATATGAAAATTTAATAAAGGAAATTGAAAAATTATACGAGAAAAAAAAATTTTTTTTTTTTTGTTTTCTTATTCGTTTGTTATTAATCAGTTTTTCAATACTTTTAAAAACTAATCTCTCCTCTTGTCGTGATTTTTTTTTTTTTTTTTTGTTTTTTTTTTTTCAGAACGAAAGTTATTATTTGAATTTTTGGTAGTTGCAACAAGTGAATAGCACAAAAATAGAAAAAAATACCAAAAGGTAGAAATGGGATTTTTTTTAATCAATCAATAATTAATGTTTGCTTTTTGTTTTATAGTTTATGTACTCTATGCATTGTATGCTTTATTGAAATTTTTTTTTTTTTTTTTTTTTACTTTTTAATTAGGATTATTGAGAATAGATATTTTGTATAATATGTTTAAATGATGATAAAAAAATAATGTTATATCTTTGATGTTATCATCGTTCTCTAGAGATTTGAGTAGTTTTTAAAAGATAAAAAGATAACTATATGAAGAGTTGAATGATTTGACGATAGAATATGTTATCGATTTTAATTTTTTTCTTTTTTTTTTTTGTTGTAAGAATATAAATAAAATATAGAGCATAGAATTTATAACTCTTAAGTTTTTTTTTCATTTTTGAGTTTTTGAAAAAAAAAAAAAAAAAAATCCATAGATATAATAAAGTTTATATTATTAATTGCTTGTAATCATTTATATATTGAATTGAGAATTTAAAATGTTTTCTAATTTATTAAGTTATGTAATTCAAATGATTCTCATTTTGTGTGTAATTCTTGATATTATTTAAATGGAAAGAATTGGATTATCGCTTGGCTAATGATTTTTTTTTTTGTTTTGATTTCGAGAAAGTTTGTTATTAAATAGAATTCAATTTTGAAATAAATGTAATAGTAAAATGATTTTTGTTTTTTGTTTTGAATGGTTATTTAAATTACATAATAGAATTATGAATAATTTAATGTTAGCTATACAACAAATGCTCATTCAATAGTTTATTACTGATTATTATCCATTAAATTTTGTAATTACAAAAAAAAAAAAGTAATACTAAAGAATGTGTATTATTTCTGTTTCATGTATTAATAATTAGGTATTTTGTTATTACTATTTATTATTTAGTGATATATTTATTATACTAATGTAATGTTGATAAATTTCTTATTATTTGTATGAAAGTTATTAATCAATAAAAAAAAAAAATAAAAAATAAAAAAATGAAAAGAAGAGTTATTCGATCGGTATTATCTAATGGTTGTAATTACATAATTTATGAATACTTTTAATTTTCTATATCTTTCATTTTAAGGAATTATCTTAAAAGAAGCAAAATTAAATTGTTGAATTATTGATATTTAATGAATTCACATTTTTATGTTCCTTTTTTGAATAATGGTATAATTTCATCTTATGCAATATTATTATTATTATTATTTTACAGATTATTTCATCTTATGCAATATTATTATTATTATTTTACAGATTATTATTATTATTTACAGATTATTATTATTATTTACAGATTATTATTATTATTATTATTTTACAGATTATTATTATTATTATTTTACAGATTATTTTCATCTTATGCAATATTATTATTATTATTTTACAGATTACGGATGTTAATTTTTTCATATATCATATGAAACATATACATTTCCTGAACAATACGATAAATATATCAAAATTTGAAGGTAAGAATCTTGATAAATATGCTATATAGATATAAATATAATTATGAATATGTTAAATAGGTATAAATACATTCAAAAAAAAAAATAAAAAGTATTACTAAAATTTGAAAACGAAGGAATCTTTTCCTTTTTTTTTTTCAAATCACAAAATTATTAACTTTTTATATTTGCTTTTTTAGGAAGATAATGAAGGATTAATTTTATTTGATATTATTGATTCTCATATATATTCCAGCATATTATATGAATGAAATTTTGAAATTAAATATTTGCTAAAGATGATTATTGTATATGGTCGTCCAACTATTGCACATTCATTTCAATTTAGCAAATGGAAGGCATTTATGAGAGAACGTAAATTATGCTATCATCTTACGGTATGAAATTATTTTTATTATTTCAATGAAATAAGTCGAAGAATTAAATTTTGAAAAAATATATATTTAAATTATTTTTATTATTTCAATGAAATAAGTCGAAGAATTAAATTTTGAAAATATATATATATATATATATATATATTTAAATTATTTTTATTATTTCAATGAAATAAGTCGAAGAATAAATTTTGAAAAAATATATATTTAAATTATTTTTATTATTTCAATGAAATAAGTCGAAGAATTAAATTTTGAAAAATATATATATATATATTATTTAAATTATTTTAAATTATTTTTATTATTTCAATGAAATAAATCGAAGAATTAAATTTTGAAAAAATATATATATTTAAATATATCGATGAAAAGAGATGAATATCATTCAGTATTTGATAATAGTAAATTGCAGAGATGTACTTGTCAACAGCTTACTTTCGAGAATATTATACATAATTTTACACAGCAAACTACAGTTGCAAAAAATATTAATAATATTGAAGTAAGTTTTGTTATTACAAAAAATTATTTCTATAATTGTATAATTGATATTTGCTATAAGTATAAGTATATTTGTGAGAAATTGTATGTGCGTTTAAGGAACATTTTAATATTTTTCACTATTTTTTTTAGTTTCAAAATATTAGGTAATAATTAATTTATGCTTAATACTTATGCTTATTTATTTTTTCATTCATTATCACTCTATAGCAGTTTATTTTTATGCTTTCCATTTGTTTATTTCAGATATTTCTATTCTTGGATAGAATTTGAAGAAATTGTTAGAATTTAGTGAAATTGTTTAGAGCTTTTAAAACTTAATCATTTGGTACTTCTTTATTCTCTTTTCTTTTTTTTTTTTTTATTAGAAATAATTAATTTTGAATTTTTTTTTTTTTTTTTTTTTAGCACAACCAACAATCGATAACTAGAAAAAGCTCGGAAAGAAGTACAAGATCAGAGATCATCGAATTTCTCGTAAAATATGGCTTATCATATAGCTTAACTGTATGTTTATTTAATCAATTCTTAATTGATAAAATTTAATTTTGGCAAAATTATTTTCATAATTTTAAAATAGTCAGTATTTAAAATGACATATTATTTTTAATTTTTTAAAATTGATTGGTAAACTATTGTAATTTTCATTTTTTTGATGTAATTTTAAGGAAGCAAAAATTGAAATTGCTGAATAATTTTACTAATTTTTTTTTTTTTTTCTTTTTTGTGGAAAGTAAGTAAGGAAATTAATTTCTTACTTAAATAATTTCTTACTTTTAATATTAGTCGTACAATTTAGCCATATTTGGGTGATATTCGTACGAAATGTTTACATTGCAATTCATTGGATACAGCATGCATTTCATTTCGTGACACTAGCATATTATGCACTACATGTGGTAATACAACTACATTTGATATTTACAAGGTATATTTTTCATTTTTCTTTCATTTTTAATTCTATTAATTTGCATATATTATTCGTTAACTCAAATGAATTTTAAATTAGTATTTTACAAATTGAAATTTGTAAATTTCTTCATTTTGTATTAAAATATTAAAAGAATTTGTTACTATTTTCTTGGAATATAATGATAAAGAAAAAAGAATTATAACATTTTCAATAATTTACTAACAGAATTTATTTATTTATTTATTTTTTCTTTTTGTATCAAATAGAAAAATATACAAAGTAAAGGGCGTACATTCTGAAATGATCTTTTTCTTCTTCTATTGATTGCATTTTTTTTTTTTTTTTAAAGTAAGTAAGAAAAGAACGAGTAATAATGTTTCAATAAATATTCTAAAAATCTCTTTCAAGATGCAAAAAAAAAAAAAGAAAAAAAAACAGCAAAATTTGATTAAAATTAATTAGATGAAGATTCTAAACATTCTATATTGTTTAATTTATTATATTCCCTGAAAATATATAAATACAAATTCTCTATTGATATAAAATGCACTTAAATAATCATAGGATTTAGTTTTTTTTTTTTTTGGAATGAAATTGAAGCTCATAAATATGAACTGATTGCATCCATTATGGAAAAAAAAAAAAGAGGAAAAAGGAAAAAAGGAAATATTTGGTTCAAAAGAAAGGACACAATTATATGATTTGAACATGAATTGACCAAAAACTATAATAATGCTATAGGATGTTATTAATCAATTAGCAGTCGATAAAATATGCTGGTTTTGCTCTTTTTGCACCTAAATTATAATTTTAAAAATATTTAAAAAACAAAAATAGAAAAAAAAAAAGAAGGAAAGAAAAATCAATAATATGATGATGATGATGATGGTGATGATGATGATGGTGATGATGGTGATGATGATGGTGATGATGATGATGATGATGATGATGATGATGGTGATGATGATGATGATGGTGATGATGATGGTGATGATGATGATGATGATGTGATGATGATGGTGATGATGGTGATGATGATGGTGATGATGATGATGATGGTGATGATGGTGATGATGATGATGATGGTGATGATGGTGATGATGATGATGATGGTGATGATGGTGATGATGGTGATGATGATGATGATGGTGGTGATGATGATGGTGGTGATGGTGATGATGATGATGATGATGATGGTGATGATGGTGATGATGGTGATGATGATGATGATGGTGGTGATGATGATGGTGGTGATGGTGATGATGATGATGATGATGATGGTGATGATGGTGATGATGGTGATGATGATGATGATGATGATGATGTAATTTGTAATGTAATCGTTTAATACATAGTATCAAGATTCTTTTAAATTATTGCTATATTTATTTAATGCTTAAGTTATTATTCTTCTAGTTCATGAGTGAACTAATCACTCTTTCATAAACTAAAATATTTTTTTTTTTTTTTTTTTATTTATTTTTTTCATTGATTTAATAAATGAGAAAAAAGTTTGAATTTTAATAAATTTGAATTTAATTTATTAATGAATTTGGATTTGATTTATTAATAAATTTGAATTTGATTTAATAATAAATTTGAAAAAGTGAGAAAAGAGTTGAATTTTAATAAATTTGAATTTGATTTAATAATAAATTTGAAAAAGTGAGAAAAGAGTTGAAAAGTTGAAAAAAAAAGAGGGGAGAGAGAAGTATATTTAAATTATGGAAATTATTGGATGTAAGTAATTAACAAGTTTTAAATCTCTTTTAACTACTATTATCACTACTGCTATTTCTATTTCTTGAATGAAATATTCATCATTTCTTCATTTTTATATTTTTTTTTTTTTTTTTTTTTTAAAACTATGATCATTGCTTTTTCATTTTTTTTCTTTTTTTTTTTTTTCGTATCATTTGTGAAATATTAATTTCATTAATTAATAATTATCATTATTGAAAGGATAAGTTAAAAAAGAGAATTATCATTAGCTATAGAATATTTGTTTTCTTTTTAATTAGGAAATTTTTAATCTGAACATTGAAATATGTTCGAATTTTCAATTTCCACTAGTCAAATGATAACTGTTTTATTTTATTTTATTTTTTTTTTTTTCCAGAATTTGCTTATAAATTTTTGCATCTTTCTGTCATTTCAATATTTTTATCTTTTTTTTTTTTTTTGCCGCAGCTTAAATTGTTCTGTTATCATCCAAATTTACGCTATGATTTTATTCTGATAAGAAAATGATTAGAGAGAGAGAGAGAACGATGATGATAGTGATAATGATAATGATAATGAAAAGAATATTTTTTTTTTTTCATTTATCCATAAATTATTCAAGTATTAATCAGTGTTATCCAAATTTACAATATGATATTATTTTGATAAGAAAATGATTAGAGAGGGAGAGAGAACGATGATGATAGTGATAATGATAATGATAATGAAAAGAATATTTTTTTGTTCAAGTCTATTTTGAAACATTTCATTGGTTTTTTTTTATTCATCCATAAATTATTCAGGCATTAATCAGTGTTATCCAGATTCATAATACGATATTGTTGTGATAAGAAAATGATTAGAGAGAGAGAGAGAGAGAGAGAGAGAGAGAGAGACAGAGAACGATGATTATAGTGATAATGATAATGAAAAGAATATTTTTTTTTTTATTTATCCATAAATTATTCAGGCATTAATCAGTGTTATCCAAATTTACGCTATGATATTATTCTGATAAGAAAATGATTAGAGAGGGAGAGAGGACGATGATGATAATGATAATGATAATGATAATGAAAAGAATATTTTTTTTTTTTTTTTTTGTTCAAATCTATTTTGAAACATTTCATTGATTTTTTTTTTTTTCATTTATCCATAAATTATTCAAGCATTAGTGTCTATATTATTCGTAATAATCATATATTTATTTAGTTGATTTGTCAATTTGGCATGCATTTATTACCAACGCCTCCTTTTTCTTTTTTTTTTCTCTCTCTCTCTCTCTTTTCTTTTTTATTTCTTATTTCTTATTTTTATTTTTTTCAACCTTTTTTTTCATAGAAATACATATTTTCCATTACTTATCTGAGAGCTGGTTTTAAGACTAAAATTGACTTACCTTTAATACCTTTAATAAGTAAATAGCATTAACTTAACACTTTTTTTCCATTTGTTAAAATTGCTTTAAAATATGCAAAAGAAAAAAAAAAAGGAAAAAGGAAAAAGAAAGGAAACTTTATAATTTAATCTATTAATAAATAATATTTTTCTTTTTTGTTGTTGTTGTTAAATATTGCTAATAAGAATTTATAAAATGAACAAAAATTTTTTTGTATTAAATTGAAATTTTAATCTTAAAAAAAAAAAGAAAATTATTCTTTTGTAATTAGTTCTTTTTTTTCTTTTTTTTTTTGTAGTATCTTTTCAAAAAAAAAAAAGAAAGAAAAAAAATTCTTTTGTAATTTTACTTATTAAATATGATTATTAACCAATAAGCTATATGCTTTTTTTTTTTTAAGTTTTTTTGTAATTAAAAATTTAGAATAATTTTGAAAGATTTTGAAAATAGATCAATTGTTTATTATTGATTGTTTATTGTTTATCATTGATATTATTATTATTATTATTATTATTATCATTAATATTATTATTATTAATATTATTATTATCATTATTATTATTATTATTATCCCTCAAATAATATGTATGTATGAAAATAAATTGAGCAATAAAAAATACTAAAAGTATGCTTAAGTAATTTCTCTTTTACACTCTTGTAACATTTCATAACAATTTCCTAATCCGGAATTCTCCTTCATTTACCATTATCGTAGCCTATATATGCTTACAAATAATGCATTTATCGTAAACAACTGATTTGTAAAATTTTTATAAAATTTATTTCTTATATCTTCTCAATTTTTTTTAATCACAATATTAATGATTAATTAAAATAATTTAAAATAATTTTATTATACTAATATTTCATTTTATTATTATTATTATTATTATTATTATTATTATTATTATTATGATATTATTATAGAATTTAAAAATTCAAAAAAAAATAAAATTTTTTTTTTTCAGAATTTATTATTAAAAGATATTAAACAAGAGCCAGTAAAAGAGATCAAATCATCACTTATACTACATCCATTACTACAAAAAGATCCAAAAGAAGGTATCTGGAAATACGTTACAACATTACAAGTACCAAAAAACGATAAATTTATTACTGTTAAAGAAGAACGTAAAAAAGGCAATCATTTGCCTACAATGGATGATGTTAGTTTTTTATTATTATTTTATTTTATTATTAGTTATTATTATTATTATTATTATTGTTATTATTATTAGTATTATCATTATTGTTATTATTATTATTATTATTTATTATTATTATTATTGTTATTATTATTATTACTATTGTTATTATTATTATTACTATTGTTATTATTATTATCAGTAGCATTATTGTTATTATTATTATTATTGTTATTATTATTATTATTATTATTATTATTATTATCATTATTATTATTATTATTATTATACTATTATTATTATTATTATTGCTATTGTTATTATTATTATTACTATTATATTATTATTATTATTATTTGTAGAATTTGGAGAAAAAGAAAAAGAATTTACCAGTTTTTTATTTTTTATTTATTTATTTATTTTTTTTTTTCAAATAATCATTTTTAACTATTTCACTGTAAAATATTTATTTATTTATTTATTTTTTTGCATTATTGTTAAACTATTTTTAAAAAAAAAAATTAATGATTATATTTTAGCTAGATTCAGACCTATATGATCGAGTAAGTTATTTGGATCTTATATCACAATATGAAGAACGTGAACGTCAAAGAAAAATGAAAGAAGCGGAAAATTTTCGTCTTTTACGTGAACAGTAAGTTTTTTTTTTTTTGAATTCAACTTGCTAGATTTTTGTTTGAAATTTAAATTTGTGAAAAAAAAAAAAGATTTTTAAACAAAATATTTTTCATTTATTAAAAATCAAAATTTTGATAATTTTTGGAATTTTTTTTTTCCTCTTTTTATTTTATTTTCCTATTCAAATTATTTGTCAAAAATTTTTTTCTTCATCACTACTAGTGTTAGATTAATTATTTATGTGAAAAAAAAAGAAAGAATGATGATTAATTAATAATAATAATAAACTACAAAGTCATATAAATATATTATTACTTTTAAATATTTTAATGAGTATTTGTTTTATTATTATTATTATTATTATAAATAATTATTTATGTGAAAAAAAAAGAAAGAATGATGATTAATTAATAATAATAATAAACTACAAAGTCATATAAATATATTATTACTTTTAAATATTTTAATGAGTATTTGTTTTATTATTGTTATTATTATAAATAATTATTTATGTGAAAAAAAAGAAAGAAAGATGATTAATTAATAATAATAATAAACTACAAAGTCATATAAATATATTATTACTTTTAAATATTTTAATGAGTATTTGTTTTATTATTATTATTATTATAAATAATTATTTATGTGAAAAAAAAGAAAGAATGATGATTAATTAATAATAATAATAAACTACAAAGTCATATAAATATATTATTACTTTTAAATATTTTATGAGTATTTGTTTTATTATTATTATTATTATAAATAATTATTTATGTGAAAAAAAAGAAAGAATGATGATTAATTAATAATAATATAAACTACAAAGTCATATAAATATATTATTACTTTTAAATATTTTAATGAGTATTTGTTTTATTATTATTATTATAAACATTTTTACTTGAAATTTACTAATTTTAATTTTTTTGAAGAAAAATAAATGAGTGAAAAAACCTATCACCTTTCACTTCTCCCAATTATTATTTCATTTTTTCATTTTTTCATTCATTTAATTGCTAGATAAATAATAATAATAAAAATATATATTTCATTTCTATTTTATTGGTATAATCTTACTCTGATAGTTTAATCCTAGTGATAAAGTACACTTTTTTAAATTTCATTCATGCGTGATTTTATTTTTAAAAAAAAATTTTTTTTTGTCCTTTAATCAAAAAAAAAAATGAAATCAAATCAAATCTTTGTAAAAAAATACACATTGAGGAAACCGATTATATTCTATTTTGGTTGGTAAGCATTTTAGTGCCTAAACCGATACCTTTAGCTCTTTTCTTTTCTATCCATAATTTAAAAAAAAAAAATTAGTTCATTCGTTTAAATCTAGCAAAAGTGTTAGGGTAAATTGGTAATGGAGGTAGGTAGTGATGGTAATGGAGGTAGGTAGTGATGGTAATGGAGGTAGGTAGTGATGGTAATGGAGGTAGGTAGTGATGGTAATGGAGGTAGGTAGTGATAGTGATAAAGTTATTCATCCAAAAAAAAAAAAAAAAAGAAAACTTTTTAAAAATTTATTCATATATTTTTATGATACTGAAATGAAAGATTGCAAAGAATTATCCTTTCCTCTTCCTTTCACCTTTTCTATTTTTTTTTTTTATTTCAAAAAAAAAAAAAATAGAAAAAAAGTGGAACATTACTTTTACTTCAAAGGAAGTATATACTTTGAAATTGCATTCCTTTCCGGTTTTTATTTTCTGTTTTTCTGTTTTTTTTTTTTTTTCCCTTTCTTTCCTAAAAAAAATTCTCTTATCCTTTCATTTCTATTTATGACAAAATTACCTATTTATTTTAAAATTATGTGTCATTTGGTATTATTTTTTTTTTTTTGAATAATAATAAGAGAGCAATTTTATTTTTAAAAAAAAGGGAAAAAGAAAAATGAAAAATGAAAAAAAAAAAAAATTGATAATTTTAAAAAAGAATATTAATATTGATAGAAAATTAAGTGATAATTATGAATTATATTATTATTTATAAGAAAAAAAGAAAAATGAAAAAAAATGAAATTATGGAATGAATTGATTGATTTTAATAGACTAAAATAAAATCAGAAGATTGGAGAGAGAGAGAGAGAGAGAGAGAGAGAGAGAGAGGAGTAAGGTAATTGAAATATAGTCTAAAATTAAAATTTGTATATTTATTATGATTAAAATAAAAAGTGAACAAGAAATGAAATGAATTAAAGTAAAAAGAAGATAAACAGAATAAAATGTAAGATTTACTCTTTTTTCTAAGTTCTAATTAGTAATTATTGAAGTAGTAGTAAATATTGATTTCTAAGTTTAATTAATAATCAATGAAGTAGTAAATATCGATTTTTTAAGTCTAATTAATAATCATTGAAATAGTAAATATCGATTTCTAAGTTCTAATTAGTAATCATTGAAGTAATAAATATCGATTTTTAAGTTCTAATCAGTAATTATCTATAACTCATTATCTATAGCTTTTTATTTAAAAAATTTTCATACTTTTCTTTACTGAATAAAAATTTATTTCTGATAAAATTTTCCTCTTTTTTTTCTTTGAATTTTCAAATTTACTTACTTTCTTGGATAAAAAGAGAGGTGGAGAATTAAATTTTTTTTTTTTTTTTTGAAAAATTAAGTATCAAATTTTGCAATGTGTAGCAATAAATTTGCTATAATTGGTTTTCTTTTATTATTAAAGTGCAGTTTACTTTCAAATTTTATCGTAATTTTAAGTATCAATTTTTTAAGCAATTTTATTCGTTCAATAAACATTACAATAATTTTTTTTTTATTTTTTTTTTTAAGATTGATAGCATTTTAGCTTTTTTTTTTTAGTAATGTAGTTGTTTAATTTTTAATTCATTTAAATAAATGATAAATGATAATTTTAATTTTCAAGAGAGATAACTGATAATCATTGTTATTCTTTCTGATATTTTTTTTTACAGAGCTGATAAGATATCACCACGTGTATTTGAAGACGATAATAATCCAAAGCATTCTTCCGATGCTGTAGGTAAGTTTTTTTGTTTTTTTTTTTTTAATCTTAACAAATCAAGTTATTTCTCAAAGTTAATTTTTAATTTTTTTTAATTTTTAATTTTTCTAAAGTTTCTTAATTTCTGCCAATTTTATCTTTTACCTATTTTTCTCTTTATTCTATACAGGTTAAATGTTTACGGATGATAGAATGTATCACTACTGTTCTGAGTAAAAAGTATAATTTTATATATAATATACAAAATACAAAAATAATTTGTTATATTAAAAAGTATAATTTCATATATAATATATAAAATACAAAAATAATTTGATATATTAAAAAGTAAATTTTATATATAATATACAAAATACAAAAATATTTGATATATTAAAAAGTATAATTTCATATATAATATACAAATACAAAAATAATTTGATATATTAAAAAGTATAATTTCATATATAATATACAAAATACAAAAATAATTTGATATATTAAAAAGTATAATTTTATATATAATATACAAAATACAAAAATAATTTGTTATATTAAAAGTATAATTTCATATATAATATACAAAATACAAAAATAATTTGATATATTAAAAAGTATATTATATATAATAATAATACAAAATATTTGATATATTAAAGTATAATTTCATATATAATATACAAAATATAAAAATAATTTGTTATATAATATTACTCTTATTTATCAAGATATAAATTCAAAAATTAAAAATAAAATCTTTTATCATTTTTTTCCCTTTTTTTTTTTTTTTTTTTTTTATCAAAGATAAAATGACAATAATATATAATAAAATTAAATAATTTAAAATCTCTGAAATAGTTCTATCAAATGTGAAAGCTATTTGTTTTGTTTTTTAGCTGCTTCATTAAATATGTCATCTGATCCAACTCTTCGATTGATATGGATGGATGCTATAGATTTGCGTGATTTACAAGATCATTCTGAGCAAAGTGAATTTCTAGTGCTAAGAAGACTTCTTGGCATTGATGTTAGCTTATTCTTTAAACCAAATTTTTTTTTTTTTCCATTTCATTTTATATTTTAATAAATTTAATAAAAATAGTTATACTTTTATATTTTAATAAAAGAATTCAAATAATGTAAAATAATCAATTATCATTCATTATCACTCTATGCATAAATTTTTTTTTTTTTGATAAATTCAAATTAATTTTATTTATTTGTTTATTTATTTATTTATTTATTCACTGTACTTTCTAGGAAAATTAACATTTTGTAATAAAAATATTTATATTTTAATAAATTTAATAAAAATATTTATACTTTTATATTTTAATAAAAGAATTCAAATAATGTAAAATAATCAATTATCATTCATTATCACTCTATGCATAATTTTTTTTTTTTTTGATAAATTCAAATTAATTTTATTTATTTATTTATTTATTTATTTATTTATTCACTGTACTTTCTAGGAAAATTAACATTTTGCAATAAAAATATTTATATTTTAATAAATTTAATAAAAATATTTATACTTTTTATTTTAATAAAAGAATTCAAATAATGTAAAATAATCAATTATCATTCATTATCACTCTATGCATAATTTTTTTTTTTTGATAAATTCAAATTAATTTTATTTATTTGTTTATTTATTTATTTATTTATTACTCACTGTACTCTCTAGGAAAAGAACATTTTGAATAGCTTTGTAATAAATGCATATTAGCTTACTTTTTATTTCGTATTTAAATGTAATGTGTATTAAAAAGAATTCTTTTGAAATATTTTTTTGAAATACTTTTGAAACATTTATTTGAAATAATTATTAATAATAATGAATGATCAAATATTGTTCAAATTTTACTATTTATGAATTTTTGTTTTTCTTCTCATTCATAATTTAAAAAATGCATTTTTTTTTTTTTTCAGCGTATATCATATGATACCCTTTCACGATATCATATTAAAGGACATTTGGATAATTTTATGAGAGCTGGATTGTGTTATCCAAGATATCGAGGTATATATATTTTTGTTTAATACAAATAATTATTAAAATATAAACAAACAAACAAACAAACAAACAAATTTTTTTTTTTTTTGTAAACAAATAATTATTATAATAATTATACTTTTATTAATAATTATTCTTTTCTTTATTATTAAAATAATTTTTTTTTTTTATCTATAGGACCTAGTAGTCGAGTACGTTTACCGGCAGGATTAAAAGTTATTCGAAAAGTTGGTACTGATTGTTTGGAGAAAGAAAATTATCCTGGTTCAGATAGTGAAGGGTAGGTGATGATGATGAAGTTTAGTCAAGAAAATATGTCACAAAATGATAAAAAAAAAAAAAAAAAAAAAGAAAGAAAGAATTAAATTAGAATTTTTTTTTTAGGAAATTATTTTTACTAAAGTATTTTCCTGAGCTATTTGATAATATGAATTAATTTTTTATTTATTATTAAATGAGTATAATAGTTTTTTTTTTTTTTCATTAGATATTCGACATTGTATTGTAGGTTGTTGCAGAAAATTACCATTTTCGGGAATTTTTGGTTATCATTTGGTTACGGCATCAGATCGACGTATTGTGCTAACCACAAATGAACGTGATGCATTAGCAGTATTTGAAGCTACCGGTGGAATGCTATGTATAGCATTACCAAAAGGTGAACAATTGGATACAAGGTACTTTTTTTTTGTTTTGTTTTTCTCGAATAATATAGATTACTTTATATTTTTGTTCTTTTTATAATTTTATTTCATTGAAAATTTGCTAGATAAAATTATAAATATAAATATATTATTAGATAAAATATGATTTTTGTTATTTTTTTTTTATTTTTTTTTTATATAATATTTTATAATTATTCTTTTATATAAATTTTATATTTTAAATATATTATAGATAAAATATATTTTGTTTTTTTTTTTTCTCGAATAATATATATTACTTTTATATTTTTGTTCTTTTTATAATTTTATTTCATTGAAAATTTGCTAGATAAAATTATAAATATAAATAAATATTAGAGATAAAATATGATTTTTGTTTATTTTTTTTTGTTTTTCTCGAATATATATATTATTTTATATTTTTGTCTTTTTATAATTTTATTTCATTGAAAATTTGCTAGATAAAATTATAAATATAAATATATATAGAGATAAAATATGATTTTTGTTTACTTATTTTTTTATTTTTTTTTTTTTAGTGTGAAATTTGATAGATAAAATTATAAATATAAATATATTATTAGATAAAATATTATTTTTGTTTATTTTTTTTTTTTTTTTTTTTTGAATAATATATATTACTTTTATATTTTTATTTTTTTATATTTTATTTCATTGAAAATTTGCTAGATAAAAATTATAAATATAAATAATATAGAGATAAAATATGATTTTTTTTATTTATTTATTTATTTATTTTTTTTTTTTAGTGTGAAAATTTTGCTAGATAAAATTATAAATATAAATATATTATTAGATAAAATATGATTTTTGTTTATTTTTTTTTTTTTTTCTCGAATAATATATATTACTTTTATATTTTTGTTCTTTTTATAATTTTATTTCATTGAAAATTTGCTAGATAAAATTATAAATATAAATATATTATTAGATAAAATATGATTTTTTTTTTTTTTTTTTTTCTCGAATAATATAGATTACTTTTATATTTTTGTTCTTTTTATAATTTTATTTCATTGAAATTTGCTAGATAAAATTATAAATATAAATAATTATAGATAAAATATGATTTTTGTTTTATTTATTTATTTTTTTTTTTTAGTGTACTTCCATATTTGGAAGATTTCGATATGGTTTATCTTTGGTTTCCTTATGTTCAGGAAAAATATGCAAAAGATTATGCATCATTATTGAATGCTAATCGTTGTTTTATTGTTGAGTAAGTTTATCAAATTAGCAATCCATTTTTTTTTTTTTTTAATACTATTACTGATCACTTTCATCTCAATGAAAATAATAATAAAGTTATTGTTATTATTACTATTATTATTATGGTATGCATTTTTTGATTAAGTTAAATTTTAATAAAGAATTCAATTTTATGTAAACATTTCTCAATCAATCATTCGACTACATTGCATTTTTTTTTTTTTTTTTAGCAATCATGAACGTCCAATTGAATTGTTACGTTCGGATCGTAGACGTGAAATTAATAAAGCAATTCGAGATGAATCGATTCGTTTACGTGGCAAAGGATTTCGATCATTAATTGATGTACGAAGTGAATTGAAATCTGAGCTAATTAAGGATCAGATGAAGATGAATGGTGTTGCGCAGGTAATTTTTAGTGTAGATGTTAAATAAAATTGTTTGTTAATTTTATATTTCTTTTCGATATTTACAACTTCAATGATTACTAATTAGAACTTAGAAATCGATATTTACTATTTCAATGATTATTAATTAGACTTAAAAAATCGATATTTACTACTTCAATGATTACTAATTAGAACTTAGAAATCGATATTTACTACTTCAATGATTACTAATTAGAACTTAGAAATCGATATTTACAACTTCAATGATTACTAATTAGAACTTAGAAATCGATATTTACTACTTCAATAATTACTGATTAGAACTTAGAAATCGATATTTACTACTTCAATAATTACTGATTAGAACTTAGAAATCGATATTTACTACTTCAATAATTACTGATTAGAACTTAGAAATCGATATTTACTACTTCAGTGATTATTAATTAGTACTTAAAAATATTCTATCTTAATTTTAAAATATTTTTTGTAGTGGAAACGATTTGATTTGTTGAATCGATTTATGCGCGGATTTCGACCTGGTGAGATGACCGTTATAACAGGAGGTACTGGTTTTGGCAAAACAACATTTCTTTGCGAATATGCTCTTGATCTTCTTGTTCAAGGAGTTAGTATTACTTCATTTCATGCTTTTTTTTTTTCTATTCTTTTAAGCATTTTTTTTGATTACAATAAATTATAAAAACAAAATAACTTTATGCTTTTAACATTTCTCATCAATTTTTTTTTTTTTTTTGTTTATTATAGGTTCGTACTCTATTCTGCAGTTTTGAAATGCCGGATGAAAAAATTCTGAAATGGATGCTCGTACAATTTGCAGCGTTAGTTTTTTTTTTTTTGATTTCTTTTTATATTTATTTTATATTAGATGATAAAATAGCATGCTATAGATGAATAATATAAGAATTGTAAATTATAAATTCATCTCTGCTCTGCTATCAATTTAAGCTTATAGAAAGTAAAATATGATAATATTTTGTCATAGAATTTGAAAAAAGATTTACTACTTTAATGTATGGAACAAAGAGTTATAACAATTTGGTATAGTTATAACTGTTAGCACTTTTTTTTTTTTTTTTTTCCTCAAGATTATTAACATCGCATTAAATGATCTAAAAATTAGCTCCATTATGTAAATTTTTGAGTTAGAAAATATTTAAAAGAATAGATTTAAAAGAATTATGCAAAAATTAATCGTGCAGTTTTGTTAGCCCAGCACATCTACGTAATATGGCAAAATCTCGAACAGTTCATAATGGAATGAAGTAAGCATGCTATAATGATTTATAGGTCATTACAAATGACCTGTAAATATTTGAGTTAGAAAATAAATAGATTTAAAAGAATTATGCAAAATTAATCGTGCAGTTTTGTTAGCCCAGCACATCTACGTAATATGGCAAAATCTCGAACAGTTCATAATGGAATGAAGTAAGCATGCTATAATGATTTATAGGTCATTACAAATGACCTGTAAATATTTGAGTTAGAAAATAAATAGATTTAAAAGAATTATGCAAAAATTAATCGTGCAGTTTTGTTAGCCCAGCACATCTACGTAATATGGCAAAATCTCGAACAGTTCATAATGGAATGAAGTAAGCATGCTATAATGATTTATAGGTCATTACAAATGACCTATATAACCTATAATGACCTATCATTTATTTATATAGGTCATTATGAGTTATTATTATAGCTTTACATATATGTAATTTACATTTGATCACTTTTGTATATATGCACTACCACTCTCACTCAATATTTTTTGCTTGCTTTTCATCTAAATATTTTTTTTTGAAATCATTTGACGCACACTGTTCGCATCATAAAAAAAAAAAAAAAAAAGCACTTATGATGCTATTCTTTTTTTTAAAAAAAAAAAAAAAAGAGAAAAGTTAAAAATTTAAAAAGCTTAAAAAGAAGATAATAAACATTAGAGATGGAAAGATTTAAGCGTAATAACGTGATATCACGTTTATCACGTTTAATAATAAGGTGGTGGTAGTAGTAGTAGTAGTAGTAATAATTGATGGTACAGTGAACGTCAAATGCATATTTGTGATGTCTTATAAATGTGAATGTTAGTGATTTTGTATGTGTTTAACATGCATATATGCATTTCATGTTTCACTGTACGTTACTGTTTTATTATTTTTTTTTTTTTTTTTAATTTTATTTATTTGTTTATTTATTTTGTTTTTTTTTTTTTTTTTAGATTACCATTGTATAAAGTAGAACATCATCCAGCTGTTGAATTATGGATTGATCGTTTTGAACGAACAAAAGGCGAATTAATCATTATGAAAGCAGATGAATTCCGAAATCGTTCTGTTAGCCAAATTGCTAATGTATGAATTAGTATATATATTGATGTTTAAAAATTTTTATTTATCTAAAAAATGAGCTAATTAAATTATAAGGATATAATGATGCTATTTCTAATATATATAATCAAATAAATTTGTTAGGAATAATGTAGAAGTAATTTTTTTTTTTTTTTTTTCAGTTATTAAGTTATATTATAAAATTAGTAAGTAATTTTTTTTTCAGTTATTAAGTTATATTATAAAATTAGTAAGTAATTTTTTTTTTTCTCAGTCATTAAGTTATATTATAAATTAGTATTTAAGATATACATCAATAATCAATCATTTTTCTTGTAATTATTTGTGTATTAATTAGAATTAAATATTCTTATTTTTTTGTATTATTAGATTAAATTTTATTTTTGTTTTTTTTTTTTTTGTTTATTTTTCAGGCAATAAGAAAATTATTAAGTTATATTATTAAATTAGTATTTAAGATATATACATCAATAATCAATCATTCTTCTTGTAATTATTTGTGTATTAATTAGAATTAAATATTCTTATTTTTTTGTATTATTAGATTAAATTTTATTTTTTGTTTATTTTTCAGGCAATAAGAAATCAAGTGATAGCAGGTGAAATTGAACATGTTGTCATTGATAATTTGCAATTTCTAGTAGGTCTTGCAATTCTAAACGATGAAACAGCAAATTCATTTGAACGATTTCATCAACAAGTATATTCTTCTCAATTTTATACTTTTATCTTCAAAAAAATATTTCTAATAATTGATGTTATTGATTCATTATATATAATTTTGAAATGTATTCAAAATAAGTCAAACTTTTTTTTTTTTTTTTTGTAGGATCGTTTTATTGGTTTGATGCGAAGTATTGCTACTGATTGTATGACACATATCACAATGGTAGTTCATCCTCGAAAAACTAACGTAAGTAATACTAGAAAGTTAACTTATTTTAAAGTTAACTTATCATTTTCATATGTTTTGCAGAAAACATCCTCAAAAAACTAACATAAGTAATAGTAGAAAGTTAACTTTTAACTTATTTTAAAGTTAACTTATCATTTTCATATGTTTTGCAGAAAACATCCTCGAAAAACTAACATAATACTAGAAAGTTAACTTATTTTAAAGTTAACTTATCATTTTCATATATTTTGCAGAAAACATCCTCGAAAAACTAACGTAAGTAATACTAGAAAGTTAACTTATTTTAAAGTTAACTTTTAACTTATTTTAACTTATCATTTTCATATGTTTTTGCAGAAAAATCATTTCAAGAAAAATTTTATGTAACTCCTGCGAAAAAACATTGATTTCTATTTAAATGATAAGGTTTTTCTTTTTTTTAGGGTGGCGAAGATCTTGATGTACATCATTTTGGAGGTTCAGGACGAGTTACACAAGAAGCAGATAATGTTTTTGCAATACAACGACGACGAGATGAAGCAGATCGACGTAGATTTCGCAAATTTTTATATGTAAGTTTTCCAAAAAAATGAAAAAATGAAAATTGAAAATGAAAAATATCCACAAAATATCAAAACTATTGTTTATTTATAAAATTTATTTATAATTTTATTTTTGAGTTTTTTTTTTTTTTTTTTTTTTTTGTTTTGTTTTTGCTAAAGATACATATCAAATATAATAGATTTAAAGTATTTGTTACAAACATTCCATATTTCATTATTTCCATTTCATATAATGAGTTAAAAATTTATTTTAAGAATATTGCTCTCCTCAAACTATATATAACATTTAATAATAATATCATTTACAAATAAAAAAAAAAAAACGATAATTATTATTTTGACTAATAATAAACAGCGAAAATTTTTATTTAAATGAAAATATCATCAATATACTAACAAATATTTTTTAATAAGAAATTTTTAAATAATTCTTCATCAAAACCCTTACAAAAATTTTTATAATACTATTCTTTTTTTCTTTTTCAGCTAATAAAATATATTTTTAACATTCGTTTTTTTGTAGATTCTAAAAAATCGTTATGGTCAGAGAAAAGTTGAGGATGATATGATTGAGATGATTTTTCAACCGGCAACATATACACATACATTGATTGATCTATCATCAACAGGTCCAACGAGTTCATCCTCAAAGTGACCTTTTTATCATCACTCAAAAATGTTGATATTTTCTCCACTGCCATATTAAATTTATTTACTGGAAACTAACTCTCTGCCACACTGTTCATATTCTATAAGTCATTAGTTAGCGATTTATAAAATTTTAAATTTATAAGAAAAACTCATAGTTACTCGTTTTTTTTTTTGTTTTCAATTCGTTAAATTTCAAAAATTGAAATTTATCGATATGTTTTTTGCAATGTATTTTACACACAGAGATTACATTAAGTGAATACATCTAAGCATTTTCCATCGTTATTAATTTTTTTTTTTTTTTTTTTTTTTTTTTTTAATTTTCTTATACTAGAATGCAGTAAGATTTGATGGTATAATTTTAGTTTAACTTTGAATGCCTCAAATTTCATAGAATAGTACAGATAAAGAGACTAAAATATAAACATGATGTGTTTGGACTATAGTAAGATTAATCTGATCCGTTTTCTGTTTTCTGATATGATCATAAAAATACAGCAATTGATAAAATAATGCTTTTTTTTTGATTGCTGCTTAGATAAAACAAACTTCAAAACTTTAAAGATAACACAGTAAATAACTATGTAGCAATAAATTTGAACTGAAGATTGATGATAATTCTTTCTAAAACAATTGGTTTTCAATGGAAAAGCATACTACAATTATTTAAATTGAATGATATATATGTATCTTTTATCAGTTGAAAATTAAAATGTCGTCAAAAAAAAAAAAAATAATTTTATATTTGTTGTCTTTTTTTTTTTTTTTTTTTTTTTTTTAAATTCAAAGTTAAGCAGGAAAAAGAGCGTCTGGATTATAGTAAGATTAATCTGATTGATCCGTTTTCTGTTTTCTGATAAGATTATAAACTGATAAAAACAGCAACTGATAAAATAATACAAAATGATACTACGAATTTAATTATCATTTTATTATCAATAAGTATATTATACAAATAGTAGCGCTCTTCTTCATTTCATAACTTTTTCATTCCGTCATATTGTCATTTTGTAGTGAACAAAATTGTGAGTGGAAAATAAAATTGTTTACTAAACAATGTGCACTACAAGAAAAAACAAACAAACAAACAAAAAATCAATCTTCCATATTCTCATAAGTAAAAAAAAAAAAAAAAAAAATTTAAAGAATTTTCTCCATTGATTTATTTTTGTTGTGAAAAAAAAAAAAAAAAAAAATTTAGAAAGGAAATGAAGAAGTTGTGAATTAGGGTCATTCGTGGAAGCTATCATAAATTTTAATTAATTTGCTAAATTTAAATTTTGTTTTTTTTCGTTTTTTTCTTTATTTTTATCTTTATTGAGAAAAGCTAAGAGTGTTTAGGAGAAATCTAAAAAAAAGAAATAAGTGGGTAAATTAACTCTGCAACAATAATTTGGTAGATCTACTCGATATACTTATACTTAGAGTAAATTTAACAGGGAATACTTGTCATCTCATCATGATAAATTCAGGAACTGACCTTTAACCTTACCTTTCACCTTTCACCTTCCCGTTCACTCTGGTAACTACCAAATTTCCTTCTGGTTGGTTGTGGAAAAGTGTAAAAGAGATTCTCGGTCGAGATGAAAGAAATGTTAGGGACTGTGGTAGTTAAGGAGTCTTTGACGTTATACGTGTGAAAGAAATATTAGAGACTGTGTAATTGAGGAGTCTTTGAAAGTTGGACGTGTAGCGAAGACGAATGTATTGATAACGTTAAGTTACGCTAAACGTTACGCTAATTAGGCGTACCCTCTTGTATAACATACAATTTCTGCGCTTCTGTGCATATATTTAATGCCATTTTTATTTTGTGCTATTTTTACGTATCATAATAGTTACGTGTGTTAAGTTACGTATGTATGACAAATGTAAAGAAACTTGGATATTGGTACGAATAAATTACTGTTCGTCTTTTGAATATGTATCTGTTGTATATGTGATTGATGGCAGTAATACTTAATTAATGCCTACTTAATCCTATATTTATAAGTAATGAAAAATAATTTTAAAAAAATAAGAAAAAAAATATATATAAATAAATATATATATAAATAGAAAATATAAATAATACACATAAAAAAAAATATATATATATATATATATAAATAGAAAAGAATATAAATAATACACATAATCTTATTATTAATGGCAGTAATACTTACTTAATGTCTACTTAGTCCTATATTTTTATAAATAATAAAATAGGAGGAAAAATTTTCTTTAAGACATCTGGAATGAGGAAACTTTTGCAGGTGAAAATGAATGAAATAACAGCTGATAAACATGCAATAATGACATCAGTAACGGAAGCGTGTTCTACGTCGAAAGATGAGAAATCTGATATTTCGATGACGGACGTGTGTTCTACATCAAAGAATGAGGAATTTGATGTTTCGATGAAATGTGTACCTGTGCGAATCGAATATCTGAATTCACAATTTCTTGTATTTGATGTTAATGGTTAGTATATGTATATGTATGTATTTATACATAAAGGTTATGTGTAGGACGGAAAATTCCTGTATGGAACGTCTTATATTAGATATATGATTAGCTGAAGTTAAACGTTTTCCGAGATTTTTTATTAGTGATAAGAAAGAAAGTGAGCTGCAAAAAGGAAACAAATGCTAATAACTAAAATGCGTGGTTATTAAGACATTAAGCAGGTATGAAGTTTGATTCTTGTTTTCCAAACATTTTGAAAAAATTTATATAAATTTTGAAGTGGTGGAGCAAATAATGAAGGAATGCCGCATTATCGCTGAAGCATATGGTACTTCTCCTAATGCACGTGCTGATCTTCGAAAATATGGAGCTCCATTTATTCTGATGCCGGAACAAGTGGCTGTACTTAGTGAATATGGTTAGTATTTCCTCTCTCACTAATTCTATTGAAATTAATACTGTTTCTTTACTTGAATAAAATCAAAAAAGAAAAAAGAAAAAACCTTACTACTAATTATTAGAATGACTGCTGAAAATTACCTAACTTCATAACTGAGACATATTTGTATCCATGCTGTTATGATCATTAATTATGTCATCTTTTGGGCTCGCAAAGGTGGTACAACTTAAGAATAATACGGAAGATATTCCTACTGGAAGAAGTAATGTCGAACTTTCAAGACCTCATTCTATACAGTTGGATGATGAAGCATTAAGGAAGAAAGCTGAAATGATGGTGAAAGGTCGGAAAGCAAAGAAGCTGAAACGTCAGGCTAATAGTGAAGCTACAGCCGCAGCTCTTAAGGTATTGGATAAGTTTTTTCTTTTTTTTTTTTTTTTTTTAATACAATTACATAAGGTGGATTGAATATGGCACTCTTTATGTATTTAATATATTAATAAAGCTTATTTGTTTCTTTTCTTCTTATTCCTATAGGATATTAATTTTCGTCATAGAAAAATTTCAACACTGAAACTCATATTCAGATAAGTAAAATAATTCATTTTATCGAATTTGTATTACGTTGCTTTGTTTGTAACACAGAGTATACGTGATCGGTTTTTGTACAGAACTTTTATCTTGAAGTTGTATTTCCTGAAGTGCTTGGTAGATTTTTGAGGCTAATATTCTTCAATTTTGAGATTGTTTTTTTATGGTTTTATTATGATTAAAGTCAATTTTACGCAGTTGGGAATATCGTTCGTTTCGGCATTTCTGTCATTAATGAAGAATTAAAGTTTTTAGCCGTTTATCTAAACATTTGGACCATTTGTTCGTTATATTATTTAAAATTTCTCTTTCTTTTGAGTGAGGATGTTATTGTTCATGTTGATTAAGGCTCATGCTGTGTTTGCATGTGTTTCGGTTATGCTCATGCAATGAATTAAGACTGACGTAATTAGTAGAACTTTTGAAAACAAGTGTAGTTGTATTCAATGTGTTTTAGGTTCGACGCTGTGATATTGTTAACGTGGAAGTTACAGATTCCGAAATAGACGATGCAGTGAAGGAACTATCGAAGCATGACAATACCCATAAGCAAGGAGATATTTGGTTTCTCCCATTGTGTAAGATTATTTTAACATTAATTTCACACTAAATCTACTACCTTGGTTTTTAGCATATCATAAATTTTTTAATTCACATATCATTATGATGGAGTCTGTTTGAGTAACATTGACAGCTAGCTATCTTCTTCAAGCATAACTAAAGAAAGGTTGTATTTTCACATGATTCTGCATGTCGTATGGCATGCCATACTATTACTAGCATTTAAATTTTAAAGTTGTTTATTGAAAGCATTAGTTTTTCATTTGGAGTTTCCTAATTTACAGTGTTTCAATTCCTTATTTTCGAAGCTGTAAAGATGAGAAAACTAAACTGAGGTTAAGAAACTTTTGATAAAAAATTGGAAGGTCCATCTCTTTGTAATTAGAGCAAATCATTTACAGATGATACACGTGAAGAAGCATATGAAGAAATGGAAGGACCACCGCTTCCTGAAAGTTCGGTTTTCCGAATTCGGCTAAACACATTTCGTGATTTGTGGCGTAGAGGTTACTATTTAACGTGTGGTTTGAAGTTCGGGTGTGATTATCTTGCTTATGAATCTGTTCCTGGTGAGGTTAGTATCTTTACTATTCTTTTATTCTTTATTTTTTATTCATTGAGGCTCTCTTTTGTCTAATATTGCTTTAGAATAATTTAGGATTTTTTTAACTGCTGCCATTTTCTACTCCATAGTTGATAAATCAGTATTTTTCTTACTTTCAAACTTTTTCCAGGATCATTCGAAGTGGTTAGTGAAATGCGTGGATTCACAAGATACTTTATCTTTCTTAGATCTTATTGCTCTCTCAAGGCTTTCTTCTCAAGTGAAGAAACATGTTTTACTAGCTATTGTTTCACCTGATACTTTGTCACCTTACTATATTGAATATTCCTGGTGGAAACCTCAGCGATCTCAGAACATATAACAACAATTTCATTTAGTTACACTTGTATTAGGTACATCATGTTGATTATAAAGGTTAATGAAATGCAACTGTCAGATTACAATTAGCATGTCATGAAAATGAAAGGTGAAGAATGGAATTTAGAGAATTAACTTAGATGAATTTTTGTTTGCATAGTAGATTCAAACTTTCTCGTAATTTTCCTTTCTGCCGTATCACAGAAGTTGTTTGTTATTCATTTTGTTACATTTTAAATGTTTCTTGATAATTTTTTTCTCCTTTCAATATGCTATTTTCCTTTTCTTTTGTGTCATAAATGTAGCATCTTGCATTCATTTGTTTGAAAATGCAGAAGCTAAATAAATAACCATAAATGTCTGATTTCTGTTATTTCAGTTCAGTGAGATCTGATATCGGATATATATTTTTGATGATAGCTACTTTTGGTGGTCTATAATGAAAGAGTTTAACTTTAGCTATTCCGTTTTACTGTTATCTTCCACTCTTTGGTAGAGCATGAAATAATCAGTAATATATTCGAAGTAATTGATTTATCTTATTTGTAGGATTTTGAAGAGTTGAATAGTCGGAATAACCACAGAGGTAAAAATTGTCATATTTGGAGAGCCTATTCTTTCAAGTATTAATGATTATAGAAAAGTAGAGAGGAGGAAAGATTGTAATTTGTCTCAGGTTTCTTAAGTAGAAAATTTTAAGGAAAAAGGAAACCAATCTACGTACTTAATATTATCATAAACTAAACAGAGTTATCATAGTTGGTAGTGCATTTTCAGGGTATCATTTCTTGTTTGGTATGCATTAGAATTGCTCGTTGAAATGGTATGTTTTTTTTTTTTTTATTATGATGAGTAGGAAGAAGAAAAATATAAGATGTCATTTATCTGTTGAGAAAGAAAACCAATCTGTACACTTGGTTAAATACATTAACAAAAAAGGAATGAAAATTAAATCTCATTATTAGATCTTATTTTTGCAGCTATTTTATTCTTTTTTCAAATCGTTGGTTGGAAAAGATGTGGTAGTGGAATTGAAAAATGATCTGAGGTAAGTTATAATGATATTACACTAGTATTGCATTATTTTTATACCTTTCTAAAGTGACAAATTATTTTGGTTCTCTTTAAAGGCTAGAAAATAATTAGTTATTAGAATTAGTGAAAGAAATGCTTGCTTTGTATTGTTTTTAACTTATCAGTTATGGAATAGGAATAAAAATAGATAGTATTTGTAGTGCTGCTGCTACAATTAAAAGATATGATCTTTTTTTCATTGCAGTATTTGCGGTACATTACATTCTGTTGATCAGTACCTAAATATGAAACTGACGGATATCTCAGTGACTGATTCGGAGCGATATCCGCATATGCTTTCCGTCAAAAACTGCTTCATTCGTGGATCTGTTGTACGATATGTGCAGTTGCCTGCTGATCAAGTGGATACTCAGCTACTGCAGGATGCAAGTAGGAAGGAAGTTATGCAAGCCAAAAGAACCGCTACCGCCTAATTTTTTTTGTCTAACTTTATCAATTAATGACTACCTTGACTTTACTCCTACACATACATTTTCTCTAGCAAAAAAAAAAAAAAAAAAAAAAAAAAAACCTTAAGTCAGAAAAAATTGATTACTTTTATTATTTTGATTAAAATTTGAGCTCCTCCTCTTTATTTTTTTTTGAGCATTTAACTTCAACCTTCAACGTTGCATTTTATTTTATTTTTTTTTTCTTCAGTTAAGTTTTATCTTGTTTTTGTTTTACCGATATTGTTCAAAAATAAATGATCTGTTTGCATAGCGATTTTTGAAATTGTCATTTTATGATGTTATGCGATAAACACGATATTCCTTTAATCAGAAATTTGAAAGAAGACAATAAAAGCTGATAGCGTGACGAAATGATAGGGTTGAATTGACGTTGGTAGCAGTAAGATGAAATATATGCATATGCAAACAACAATTTTTTGGATATTTATGAATAAATCTACCACTGTGATTTATCTCGAAGATTTTTTTACAATAATAATTTTTAAATTTACGATTAACAATAATTTGTTAAGTTTTTTTAATCAGATATTCATTGATAAGTTGAGTATAAAAAATGTGCATACTACTAAATTAAGAAAAATAAAAATAAAATGCAATACTAAATTGATAATGCTTAACAATACATAGGTTACGTCCAGAAATGAATGTTAAACGTTTGCTTTAAATTTGAACATAACACATCCGTAAATTTCCGTAAATTTTAGTTTGAACTCATTACCCGTAAATATCATGCTTAATTACCGATAAATCTTGCTATAAATCCGTAATATGTGAATTACATAAATGACAAAGTATTGAATGATTCATTTTAAATAGTGCAACAAATGTTTGTCATTAGAATAAATTATTCTGAGAAATTAATTATGCTGTATAATATTTTTTAAATTATATTATTAATTTGGGAAATGATACGCGTATCTTTTTATCAGAAATGCAAATTTTAAGTTTCTTACAAGTAGGAACATTTTTCAAGATTATTAAAACTATTGCTACAATTGCAGTAACGAATTTTGATTATATGGATGAAATTACTGATTATTTCTGTTTAATCTGAAAAAAAAAAAAAAAAAAAAAAAGAAGCGAAAAGCTTAAATGAATGATAATTAGTAAATCTGATAGCAATAGAATTAAAACTGAAAAGAAGTTTAGAAATGAAAAATAGCATAGAAAAAAGATTAGGGATTTTTATGATCTTTAATATTTCTTTTAAAGTTATTTAAGAAAAAAAAGAAAAAAAAAATCTAAACCTATTTCCTGGGTTAATTTGGATAGTCAAACTTTATTTTTTGTAGCCTATTTTCTTAATTTATTAAATTAATTTTTTTTTTTTATTAAGATTGAATTAATTTTCTTTTTTTTTCTTTTAGTATGTATTGAATATGTTTTATTAATATTTTATTAGTTTAATCATTCTCATTCTTCGTGAATAATAGGAAAATTTTTTGATTTATGAGTTTTTTCTATTTTTTTTTTTTTTTTTTTTGCAACAAAAAGTGTTTATTACGTGAATGCAGGAAGCGTATGTTAAGACAGCAATTCCACGGAAGATTTTACGTAGCTTCTATGAAATTAAAAATAAAAAAATAGAAAACAATAATCACAATCGTGATAAAATCAAGACGATAATTCATTTTTGAATTCAATGAAATTTTCATTATTAAACTAATATTACAGAGTATTAAAACTAATATCGTAGTAATAATAGAAGACTTATCATTAGTTTAGATTATCTGCATGCATGAAAATATCATAATCATACGATATCCATAATTGTTATCAGAAAATGTTTACATGTTTACCTACACATGTAAATAAATAAATAATATGTAAATAAACAATACGTAGGTAAATAAGTCATATATGTTTGTACATATGCTAATTATACATAGTGCATGCTGCAGCATGTTTGCATATTATGCATAACAAATGCATGCTACAACATTATGCATAACAAACTAGCGATCCAATTGTTTATTGTTTATGGAACAATTCATCTTCATACAGCATATATAGCAGTAATTTTGGAATATTATTCTTATTTTTAAAATGCATGCACATGCAATAATCCTGAAGTGTAAGCCAGGAATATTTTTCAACTAAATTACACACAGTAATCTCGAGAATTTGTATTTTATCACTAGGACAGACGGAATATACGGTAAATACAAAACAGGATACGGTATTCATAAAAGCGTATCCAAAGTAATACAGATGCAAAAACAATGCGGTAGCCCTGAATGCACAATAATCTCGGAATTGTATTTCATCGCTAGAATAGATGAAATAACAAAGTATGATAAATATAAAAGTATATTTAGCGATGAAATAGGTGCAAAAAAAAAAAAAAAAAACAATACAGTAGTCCGGAAATACACTCACAACACCACAAAAGATAGAATACGAGCTACAGTAATACCGTAATACATTCCTCCCCAGGACGAACGGTAATACAGTAACCCGTGAGGATATAATTCCAGAATGTTCAAGGATACTGTTGCAAATTGTAATATTGCACGTACGCTGTTCAACTAAATTTGCATACAGCATGAGATCATGCCCGAGCGTTCAGGCATAAATGTATCATTTAGTTTATCTGCTGTTATCATAGCGATTGGTTCATTGCTAATTATCATTTTCAAGGTATGATTTCAGAGGATTAAACTTACGTGTGAATACGCGTGCGTTACGTGTACCTTTCTTTTACATTTTGTTATATGTTTTACGTAAATCAAAAATTGTATAAAATACGATCAAATAATTGTTTAGTATAATTTATGCAAATAATTGCTTGCAATAGAAACTTACGTAATTTAGTAGTTTAACGTTATATTCTAATATTTTTTTATGCTTTATAATTCATATATGTAAAAATATCATTACACATTCTTTTGCACAAATTTGCGTAATTTCATTCTTACACGTTTTTGCTGATTCAATCATACACAGAGATGTACGTGTTTTATTGCATAAGTTAAATTCTTTCTTTGTAATTTCATTCTTATATGCTTTTTTTTTTTTACTTTATTTATTTCGTTTTCTTAAAAAAAAAAAAAAATGCTAACATTTTCTATTAAGATAAATATTATTAGTTAAGAGTGAAATTTAGAATTTGAAATGATCAATGATATAGCTAAAAATATTTCACTTTACAAAACGATAATCATTCTTTACATGTATTATTTAACAAAGAAATTATAACTTAGGATAAACTTTTTGATAATCTTCTTATCATTAGTTGATATTTTTGATAGGAAATTTATGAATTGTTAGAACTAAGCTAGATAAGAAGAGGAAGGAAGCTGTTATTTGTGTGAAAAAGAGGTTAGAACAGGTTTGAAAGTTGTTCATTTGAGCATTTAAGAAGGAAAAAGAGTGATGAGTTGATTGGTATTTCAGTTTGGATTATTTTTGTACTTAATAAAACACTATGTTCATCATGCTAGTTTAATTATTTTAAAAAAATGAAAATTTTTTGATTAATAATGATGAGTATATATGAATGTATATATGTATGGGAAATGCTTTATTTCATTTGTTATTTGTGTATTTGTATAAATTGAATGATAGAATTATAGAACGATTCATCACGACAATACCAGAACAACAAGCAACAACAACAACAACAACAACAAGAGCAGCAATAGCAGTAACGATATCAAGGTGACAATAATAAGATAGGCGGCAACGCGACATACAATACAAAGGAATTATGTCATCTAGCAAAAAGTGCATTGTACCAACAATAGTTCAAGATACATCACCTTCACGAACTGTAAGTTTCAATGAATTAACTGGTGGCAAAGAAAGAGTACGTATGTCGCTAAGTGTGGAAGAGTTGGCATTGTTGAATGAAATTCAACGTCGTGGACGAATTAATTCTTCCACTGTAAGTTATTTGATTTGATCGAAAAAAAAAAAAAAAGCAATTATAAAATATCATAGTGCTGCTAATAATCATAATAGTTATAAGGAAATTAAATAAACTATAGTAATTTAATTGATTGTTGTTTTAATCAAACGTTATGAATTCAATTTGATCATATCATAATATGAGAATAACTAATGATAGCAATGTGTAAATTTAATTTGAATTTATTTCACGCACATTTATAATATTATGATTATTCATTTACTTTAGAACGTACGAACAGGAAAGATTAGTGTTTCGGAATTAATGGGATGTGGTGATAAAAACGCTGACAAAAAGAAACGAAAAAAAGATCGTAATGGTTCAGTAATGACTGCTGAGAGTAATAAAGATCACCATAATCTTTTACCATCGATAATTGAAACAAGAAATCACGGAATATCAGTCGATCCAGCTACTCTCCTTGATGTTGCAGGATGGAAGATTCCTCCATTACCACCAGGACTTGTTTCAATAAGTAATTTTATCGTTAATTTATTCAACAATACGATAATGTCCTTTATTATAGTTACTTATTATTTGTAGATGCATTTGCATTCATTTGCAATTTACTGTAAATTATTAGCAAAAAACATAAATTCTATAACATTTTTTTGTTTTCCTTACAGCTCATGAAGCAGATCGTCATCCATATCCATCAGCTCTTCCTACATGTATATTTGAAAAAGCGATGAAAGCAGCTGCGATTGTTCATGCCGGTTCTCAGTTGTCACCTTTATCTACCCGACATAATACTGCTGGTTAGTTGTTTTTTTTTTTTAATATGAAAAAGAAATAATTTGTCAGATGTGAAGGAAGCCTTTAAATTTTATTTTAAGATATATTAAGAAATAAATTCCATTAGATCAAAGTACTGGGAAATTGATAGCAATGATTAAGGCTTGTTTTTGCTTAAGGCTCGCATCCGGCTTTTTTTTTTTTTTTTGGTAGTCCCTTTTAGTTATATGTTTAAGGTAGCGGTAACGGAGTAGCAGCAAACGGGAATACGACTCAGTTAGCACCATTGGATTTGATTCGACTATTACCACCACTTTCCCCGATGTATCCATTGATTTCAGACGGAATGCAACGACCTGCGACACCTACAGCATTGGGGCATGGTATCTCTGCCCATGGTTTGGGTCCTCAAAGACAAGGTAATGTTAGTTATGTCACTACCAGTGGGTTTGACTTACTACAAGAATAGAATACATTGTCAATTGTCAATGACATAAGGACAACATACCTTTCTCTCTCATTCGTCTGCCTATCTTCCTGTAGAAATAATAAAAGGGATTTCTATTTATATATTTTTTTTTTGAAATATTTTGAAATATTGAAAAAAAAAAAAAAAAAGAAAAACCCGCAAGGATCTTTATAGGAAGAGGAAATTTCAGCACTAGCAGGACCAGCCATAGCTCAGTTGGTAGAGCGGAGGACTGTAGAGTATAAGCTGACATCCTTAGGTCGCTGGTTCGAATCCGGCTGGCTGGAGAGTGCCTAACTTTTAACATTAACATGTTGTAATTATTGTTATACTATGTACCAAATTAAATTAAATCACTACTGTCATATTTCGGAGTAACCGTAGTTAATTCACCATTCGCTAATTTTCATTTAGCCATTGTATACTTAGCCTATGAAATGATAATTGAGTAATTGTCCAGCTAGCTTTCCATGAATAACCTGTAGCAATTAATGTTGGAAAGGGAATGGTAATATTGGCATCTTTCACTTCTCTCTTTTTTGTAATTTTTTTTTTGTAAAGAATAAATGTAAACATCTCAAATATGAAATAAGTGGTATGAATTTTTGAATAGTTTATCAGCTATAGTGCTGCAGCACTTGGGTATGGTTAAAGTTTCAATTTTATTGATGTGACGTTTGCTTCCATTACTACATATTATGGTGATGGAGACTATTGCAAACAGTCATACACATGCATTGCATAAGAGTATGTTGTCCATATTATTTTTCTATATTAATTTTCTGTGTTTTTTTTTTTTTGTTTTTATTTTTTATTAAAAAATCAATGTTCATTTGGAATGTTTTCAAATGTTCAGAACTATATTATTTGTTTATAAATATGAGAAAATTTTTAAATATCCATAATTATCATTTGCAGTTAATAAAAATGGTGGTTTTGGTGCAGCTGGACATCATCAATATTTCAATAATTTACACTGCATGCAAGGTAATGCCCAGCAAGGTAATGGAAGTAATCAACTGCGAAATATTCAGCAGAATCAGAAGACTCGTAAACCCTTTTTTATGCCTTACATGAGTTTGGATGCGGTAAATCGTGGAATAGCCAATGGAGATCTCATTAAGGTATACTTCTATTCCTTGCAAGTTAATGTTGCTCATATACTTATTTTTTTTTTAAATGTCCTTCTACATATCTTAGTATGTCTTCTATTTAATTACTCACTTCCTTACCTTTCATTATGAATATTGGAAGACATTGAGAAATTATATTATTGTATTAGGTTCACTTAAGGGTATTTTGCGTGTTAATCAACGCAATTACGAGGAATCATTTGTGGATAATCCTATGGGCGATGAACAGCAAGATATCTTGATTCTTGGTGTTCACGATCGTAATCGCGCACTTCATGGTGATGTTGTCGTTGTTCGCATCAAAGACAGGAATTGTTGGGTTGTAAGCTTTATATTGTTTTTCATTTTTTAATATGTCTATTTTGCAAGTTTTCTCTTTTTTTCTTTTCTTTCGTAATTTGTAATGTTAAGGTTCGTGATGCACTGTATGAAGCATGGCGTGGTGGAAATTTGAAAGCTAGTGTCGATGACAACGGCAAGCCATTGACCATCCCACCAATCAAGCGTAACGATTATGAAGTAGAACTGTCACCTGCTGAACTTCTTGATGTAAACTACTTTTTCATGTAAAAAAACTGTAAATCATTGAGAGTTTATTGCAGTATGATTTACCTGTAGTCTGAAATTTTCATAAGACAGTCTTTCGTTTTCCAGTTGCCCGCATGCGTTGGTAAATGCATTTCAAGTGGAAAGATGAAAGAAGATGTGCCCGTTACAAGTAATCGACGATACAGCCGTGAACAGATGCTATGTATTGCTGCAAAGGTTGCTTTCAGAATTGCTTGTATGTAATCTGTGAAATTTCTAACTTTGTCGTAAGATTTACGAATTTCATCTTATTTTAGCTTGAATTGGAACGTCGTAAACGAGTTACAGATGATAATGGTGGTATAGATCCGCTTATTCTGAATACCATATCCAAATTGGCCATTATAAAACGAACTGATTCATCAACGTATGTAAAATTATTCGTTATCTATATCTTTCATTAACATCCAAAATACATCTATCGGAATTTACTGGATATGTTTAAGAGGTCTTTCACAGTCCGGAACATCAGCATGTGGTACCTCTGTTTCAAGTTTGGGGATAAGTACAGTAACGACAAGGCGTAATGGAACTGGCACAAATGGATCTGTGCAGCGACGATCAAATTACCGAATTTTATCGGATATGCCTGATGAGGACTGGGGAATTCCTGACATGTGCCTTCAAAAAACTGCCGAGGTTAAATCCAAACTTTTCATTGTTTTGATCATCTATAACTGGTGTTCTTTGTTAGTTGTCGGTATTGATATGGTATTCTCCATTTATTTAAATTATAAATAATTAGGAGAATTTTTAGGTAGTTTTTATCAGTGAACAGAAACATTGTCGAGCTGCAGTAGGGATGTTAAAAATGATGGCTGACGGAAATCGTAATTGGGCACTTTTCTCGCCAGGTGATTCACGAATGCCGCGAATGATGATACCAGCGGAACAAACGCCTGCTGCATTTTTTGATCGGCCGCAAGATTTTGCGAAGTTCATTTATGTAGCACGAATGGTAGAGTGGCAAGCAACAGCACAATTTGCTCGGGGGTAAGCAACTTCTCTTCATTACTTATGCTGTTTTTAAGATGTTATATTCTGCTACATAAATCAATGATATATTTAGGAAGTTGTACAAAAGCCTTGGTTTAGCGGGTGATATAGAAGCAGAAACAGAAGGCTTACTGTTGGCGAATGATGTTGATACTCGAGAGTTTTCGCAAGCAGCACTTTCATCACTTCCAATAACCGAAGCAGTTGAATGGAAAATTGATGAAGTTCGTTTTCGTTGAATGTCAAGCTAATGAAGTTGATTTGATAAATCTGTCATGTTTACAGAAGGAGTTCAAATATCGAAAGGATTTCCGAGATGAGACTGTGTTCACAATTGATCCAGTTACAGCTCGAGATTTGGACGATGCTCTTCATATAAAGCCAATTGCGAATTGTGACGGAGCTGGTAATCCTGGTTGGGAAGTAGGTTACAATATCATCCTTAAATTTGTATCATTTTCTTGGAAGCAGAAAATATTGTAAAAATTCCAGGTTGGTGTTCATATAGCTGATGTTTCGCATTTTGTGCAATTCGGCACCGAACTTGACCATTGGGCTTTTAACCGTGGTACATCAGTTTATCTCGTCCACAAAGTTAGTTCATTTAATTCCACTGCACTTGTTTTCGTAGTCTTTGAGTTATATTTGTCTGAGATTTCTAGGTGATACCAATGCTACCACAAATGCTTTGTGAAGAACTGTGTTCATTAAATCCTGATGTTGATCGGTTGACGTTTTCGGTGGTTTGGAAGATTAATGATCAAGGAGAAATATTTGATGAGTGGTTTGGACGTACAATTATTCGGTCATGTTGCAAACTATCTTATGAGCATGCACAGGTAAGTAGATTTGATTTCGTTTTCTAACTCTTGATTTTGTCAGTTGTAATTTTCTGAAGAATTTTATATGATACTTTCAAGTTTGCTATCTGCAGGACTTTATCGTTCATCCGGAAAAAGATTTTGTGTCATCCGAGTTGCCGAAAATTTTCAATGGCAAAAAGTCGGATGAAGTAAAAGAAGCAGTACTTCGCCTGAATAAGGTATCATTTGCTTCAGATGCTTTTTAATACCGATTTGGATTCAAATCAGTATTAAAAAAATCAGTATTAAAACGATTTGGATTCAAATCAGCATTAAAAAAAGGATACTACTTTGTGTGATCTAAATTTCATGGAAGTAATTACATTGTATGCTTCGTTCTCATCCTCAACAAATCGATATTTTAGTGACTTACTTAAATGTCAAAACTATGTATCATTATCGAGTTTTACAGATTGCAGTCATCTTGAGAAAAAAACGATTTGAAAACGGATCTATTAATTTCGAAATGCCAAAATTGAACTTTACACTTGATGAAACATCGGGAATGCCTAACGGTCTTTGTCTTAGCGAAGTACGTTTCCTATTGATCTCTCTTGCACAATTTTGTAGACGTTTCATCAACTTGGAATTTATTATTATTATTTTTTCTTTTAAATATGATCAGTGTTAATGTTATTTTATTATAGCGTAAGGAAGCTAATTTTCTTGTGGAAGAGTTCATGTTACTGGCAAATATGGCAGTAGCTCGAAAAATTGAATTATCCTTTCCGAAAACTGCACTTTTACGGCGACATCCACCTCCAAAAATAAAGGTATAATTTTTTCCCCATTTTTTTCAAAACTGATAAAAATAGCTTGCTGATTTTTATTTCTTATTAATGTTACCAAACTTTATTTTTCCTAAATACTTTCTCAAATGTTATTTTGTAGATGCTACGCGATATTTTGGAGAAATGTGAAAAAGTTGGCTTCGAAATAGATGGTTCATCGAGTGCAACAATCGCTTCAAGCTTGCTAAAGTATGAAGGAAATAATGAATTAAAGCGAACTGTCGTACAGGTAACACAAATTGTGACATATGATCAAGAAATAGAAGTAAAAATTAACATTTATATATTTTTTTTATAATTAAAACTGCAAGTAAAGAATATGATATCATCTTTGTTTTAGATGCTAACATATTTACTGATGAAATCGATGCAATTGGCATTATATTTCTGCGTTGGTTCGTTGAAAAACCGAGCTGATTATGCACATTACGCTCTTTCAGTTCCATTTTATACTCATTTCACCTCACCAATACGTCGTTATCCAGATATTATGGTTCGTTGATCATCATTGTAATAAATATGGATAGAGTATGGTTTATCAGTTAAATTATGCAAAATCAAATTTCTGCAGTTTAAGCAAGTAATTTTGAATATATGCATTATTTCATAAATATGATGTGTATATATGGTTACTACTTTTTTTTTTTTGGAATTGGAAATTATTAATTGGATGATTAATTTTGAGATTAGCTAGAATAACTAAGAATTTTTAAATTTGAGGAAATTCAAATGTATTTATGAAATATCCTAAGCATTTGTTGTATTTTTATTTCTTATAATTGAAAGACAGTTTTTTTTTTTTTTTTTTTTTTTTCTTTTTTAGGTACATCGCTTTTTATCAGCAGCCCTTGGTTACTCTCCTGCACCTGGTTTAACTGTGAAAGAAGTCGAAACGATAGCAAGTCATTGCAATGATAGAAAACTAATTGCAAAAACAGTTTCGGAAGCAAGTGATGATATGTTCTTTGGTGTCTTCATCAAGGTTTGTTAAATTTTTTTCTTGTTTCTTTCGTCTTTTTGAAAATGGATAGTATAACAAAACAGAAAAATGATTTAATCATTTTATTCATTTGTAACTGAATGTGTAATTCAGGAATGTGGACCATTAACAGAACGTGCTGTGGTTATACAAGTACTGGATGCTTCTTTTGATGTTCTGGTCATGAAGTACGGTGTTGTAAAGCGTGTTTATACAAGTGTATGTTTTTTATGTAAAATTTGTCACAAAAAAAAAAAAAAAAATCGCAGTAAGGAATTATTTGTGTATAATATTATTTAGATTGATTGATAAACTGTACAACACTTTAGTATTATGATATTAAGATTTTATCGTATTTACCTGATTATGACGGTGATTTTGGAAGTGCATATCAAGCAAAAATAAAATCAAGCAAAACATGAAAATTACGTTTTGTTACATCTTATCATTTTAGTATCATCCATTCGATATAGTAATTACTGTTTTCCTTCTTTGGTGATAATAATCTAGAGGATGTAGCAATGTGTGAAAGAGTGGTAAATATGATTTATTAAATATTAATGATGTCTGCATATTTTTTTTTTTTTTTTTTTTGAATTTTATAGCGTTTACGATTGGCACGTGAGCCCAGATTCATTGAGGGTCCATGCCCATCGTTACTTCTTTACTGGGATTCTACCAGTGATGGTTCAAATGCTGCCATCGAGCAAGTTATTTCGATGTGTACTGTTGTAGAGGTAATCCTTTCCGCACTTCCGGAACCAACGAAATATCAGGTAATTACTTTTGTCAGAAATATTTTATTTCTTTAAACTTATTTATGCTATCTCTTGAAATATTGTACTATTTTAAAATGCAATAAATAGTTATTAATTATAGTTTCTATTTTCAGGCAGTATTGAAGCAACCAGTTAGCGGTGAAAAATTGTTGTCTTTGGCGGAGGCTATTACTTCACTAAACTAAAGCTGATATGACAGAAGCTATCAGCGTTTTTAATTATGACAAATATAGGGAAAAAATACTGTCGATAGTAGCAGAGAGGATGAATTATAGCTAAGGCAAGGAAGTTTTTTCCTTATCTCACATTTCATCTTTTCATTTCACCATTGTTAATTTATTTTTTTCTATGAGGAAAAAAAAAAAAAAAAATTCATTTTGTGAACAATGCGAGTCTCTGAATTATTGCTCCAATTTCACATGTCATCTCGGGTTTTTTATATTAAACAAATAATTGTGTAGTATTATGTATTGTATATTAGTTGATAATGATGTTGACGGAGATGAATATGTAAATTATGATCTTGTAAGTATCGATCTTTCCACTGTTTTCGTTCTTCCCTATATTTTATAATATTTCTGTAAGAAATATAGTGACATGTATTTTATGCACGCATATCATCGAAAGATCAATTCTTCCCTTAATTTTTGTCGCTTTGAATTGCTGTTATCTAATAGCTTATTTTTGTTTACTTTTTTCTTATTTTTGCGTTCTTCTGTAGAGATTATATTATTATTTCATTTTTTTTTTTTTTTTTCGCTTGTGTTTCAAGTTCTTTTTTATAACATTAAACATTTCAACAATTTATTAATACGGCTTTCCTCCTTAATAGTGGTTTTTTTTTTTCTTTTTTTTTTTTTAAATGCATGTGTGAGTGCATACGATTATTTGCTTAACTCTCGAAGATTGTCATGGATCTTATCTTTGACATTTTATCTTTGAGAAATGATTAGTGGTATTGTCACTCACAAAAGTTGTGTTTTACATTGTTCCGTTATTTCGTTCAAATTTGCATTAAAGTATTGTAATTGCATGCATACTTCTTGCTTGCTTCAAGTGTTTTGCGCCATCCTTTAGCTATTTAAAAAAAAGAAAAATATGTGATATTCTCTAAAAAAATATTTTATACTTCTCATAGCTATTTTCATGTTTATACATGTGGTTAAAAAAGGGTAAGAATTTTAACAGCAGATGAGCTTTAAAAAAAAAAACAAAAAAAACAATTTAATAGTAGGGGAAATAAAATCGATAATTTTAAATATAGAAATTGTTTATTATGGACATGCGCATCATATGCAAATATAAAAAATGCTAATTAGGTGCGATATGCATTAGTTTAATTTAATCAAAATAGATGCGAAATTTGAATTTAGCATGAAAAATCGTTTCTCAACATTGGATGTATTTGCTGTAATTCATGACTTGAAAGAGCTAACTGGTCAACGTGTCAGCAATGTTTATGATATGGATTCTAAAACATATCTTATACGAATTCAGAAGTATGATTTTCAAGCAACTAAATTAATTAATTATTGTAGTAGCTTTCAATATTGTAGTAAAAATTGAAAAAAAAAAAAATATATACATATATCAATTTTATAGGCCAGATGAGAAATGTTTCATTATGTTAGAATCAGGATGTCGAATTCATAAAACTACATTTGATTGGCCTAAAGCTCAATTTCCGTCATCTTTTACAATGAAACTTCGGAAGCATATCAAACATAAACGACTGGAAAGTATTACACAACTTGGTGTTGATCGAATTATTGATATGCAGTTTGGTTTTGATGAACATGCATGTCATGTGGTATGTTTATTAGGAAAATTTAGATAATTTAGAGATGATTAATATCGCAGTCGAAAATGATAATTTTGATATTTGCTTCAAAAGAATGTTTGATTTTATTTTATTTTCTTCATGAATTCAAACAAAGATGTTAATGATTTTTTTTTTTTTTCAAAAGAAAAAAAAAGTGTTAATTAGCAGTAAAAAGATTGATTTCTTTTTTTTTTTTTACCTGAACATTTAGTGATTTTACTTTTTAATGTCAAAATGAAATTTTTTTTTTTTTTTAGATTGTTGAATTATATGACAGAGGTAATGTGATTTTAACGAATAACAATTACACAATACTTAACGTATTACGACCGAGAACTGATAAGGAAACGGATATGCGTTTTTCGGTGCAAGAACGGTTACTATTTTCACTTTATCATCTTTAATTTTTATTTTTTACCAGGTTGATTTTTTAAAAAGAAAAAAGAAGAAAGAAAACACATTTAGATATCCAGTTGAAGCTGCACGACAAGATGTCAATTGCCCAACAAAATATGAGCTGATAGAAGGATTCAAAAAAGCTAAAAAGGGTGAATCAGTGAAACGATTCCTTGCTCCTCTTACTCAATATGGTCCTACTTTAATTGAACATTCATTGAGAACTATTGGTGTTTGTCAAAATGCTCAGGTTTGACATGGTTTTGTTATTGTTAAAGGGGATATATTTTGGATAGGTTATTTTGTAAGATTTAAAAAAAAAAATTTGTAAAATATCTTATTTGTGTAATATTTGTGCTTTATTTGGAATTGCTATACTGCATTTGCATTTTGATATAAATTTAAAATTCTCGAATTTAGTTTAATTATTTAATTAAGTTAAATTTTAATCATTTAATTAAGTATTTCTTCATGGTATTTTATTTTTTTTTTCTTAGAATTGATCATTTTCTATTTGGTTAATTTTCTCTATTGTAATTTAATATGTTTACAGTTTGGTTATAATCACCAGTAACCATAACTAGTTTATTTTGTGATATAGTTTGCCACCAATGATATAGTTTACAACCAATCATACCAATGAAATTTAAGATTGGTGTAAATATCGATATGGATGAGAATGGTGTAGCAAAATTACTCGAAGCTCTTCAATTAGCTCATCAAATTTTCAATGCTATTAGATATAGTGCAGCGCAAGGATTTCTAATATATAAAGAAGATACGAGGATGGATGGCGTTATTGTTGAAACATATCAGGTTTGTTTAACCTTAACTGATGATTTTGTCCTGTTAAATTTTAATCATTTAATACTTGCATTTGTAGTAATTATATGATATATATATATATATTTTTTTTTTCTAGGAATTTCATCCATTCATGTTTTCGCAATTTAATGGTATGCAAACAAAACATTTTGATTCATTCTCGGCATGTGTCGATGAATTCTTTTCAAAACTAGAATTACAAAAAGCTGATATAAAAGCACTTAATGTAGAAAAGGAAGCAATGAAGAAACTAAATAATGTCATAAAGGATCAACAGGTATAATTAAGTTCTTCTTTTCCTGCATTCTATTTCTGGAAAAGAATACGTTCATAAAAAGCATTTTTTTTTTTTTTTTTTATGGAATTTTATTAACGAATAAATTATTGTTGTTAATGCAGGATCGAATAGAAGCTTTAAAAATAGCGCAAATGGAAAGAGAAGAGATGGCTGAATTAATTGAGTTAAATACTGATTTGGTAGATAAAGCTCTGTTGGTTATTCGATCAGCTATTGCTAATCAAGTAAATATTATTCTGTTAACTAGAGAATCATTTCCAAACATTTTTAAAATTCTCAAGAACTAACAAAATTTTTTCATTTCAGCTTAGTTGGGAAGCTATTGAAGAAATGCGAGTGCAAGCCTGTGAAGCTGGAAGTCCAATCGCTGCTTCTATCGTTGGTTTAAATTTAAATTCAAATCAAATGACATTACTGCTCGGAGATCCGTATCGTCCAGAAATTGATCCTAAAAAGGTAACTGTTATGCAGAGACTGTAATGAAAATTTTGAATCTGTGTTGGTAGTTGTTTTCTGATTATTATGAGATTTGATTTCTCTCTATCCTTATGGGAGAAATCTTTATTGATTTTTAATCTACATAATTTGATATTACTCAGTTGGTCGTTGTTTTCTGATTATTATGAGATTTGATTTCTTTCTATCCTTATGGGAGAAATCTTTATGGATTTTTAATCTACATAATTTGATATTACTCAGATTAAATGAAAACAAAGATGACCATGTATTCTATACAGCATAATTTCTTTATTTTAGGTTACTATTGATATTGCTTTGTCGTCTTATCAAAACGCTAGAAAACTTCATACGGAAAAAAAAGCTGCACAGCAAAAAGAACAGAAAACAATTTGTGCTTCATCAAAAGCATTGAAATCAACCAAAATGAAGATGAAGGAAACGCTGAAAGTGGTAGTATTTATTGTTAATTTAAACCATGGCAAGAAACTAACATTACTGAATAATTTAGCAGAAGTGAAAAATTATTGGTTTATTAAAAAAGTTTGTTCATTTCATTTCATTTCTTTTTTTTTTTTTTTTTTTTTTATTGTATCATTCTATCTTCTTTATTTTCGAAGTATTAAGGTTCATACAAAAGCTGAAGTTATGAAAAAAAGACATGTGATGTGGTTTGAGAAATTTTTCTGGTTTGTCAGCTCCGAAAATTATTTGGTAATTGGCGGTCGTGATGCACAGCAGAATGAATTGCTTGTGAAGAGGTGAAAATTTTAAATTCAATTGCTGCTTTATCTTTTTTTTTTTTTGCAATATGAAGCAGAATCAATTTTTGAATATTGTAGATATCTTCGACCAGGTGATATTTATATGCATGCAGATGTACGTGGTGCATCATCTATTATTATACGTAACAAATTAGGTGGTGGTGATGTACCACCACGAACTTTGAATGAAGCTGCTACCATGGCTATTTCATATTCCTCTGCATGGGAAGCGAAAATAACAAGCTCAGCGTGGTGGGTTCATCAACATCAGGTTGTTTATTGGATATTAGTATTTAAAGTGTTTTATGTTGAAGATATTAGGAACATATTTATTAGTGATAAAATTAGAAAGAGATAAGAATATGGATTTAATATTATATGATAAGATGATTATAAATATAACATTATGATACTCATTTGCTTATATGTTTTAAATACAAAAATGCATCATCTTCATAGGAGATGCTTTAGGAAGCTAAAAAATGTGGCAAAAAAAAAAAAAAAAAAAATGAAATGAAATAAATTTCAAGATTAGAAATTTTTAATTGTAATTCAAGTAGGATTGTAGGTTTCGAGGACAGCTCCAACAGGTGAATATCTAACACCAGGTAGTTTTATGATACGTGGTAAAAAGAATTATCTACCAACATGTCAATTGCAAATGGGATTTGGTGTAATGTTTCAACTAGATGAGGAATCACTGGAAAGACATAGAGAAGAAAGGAAAGTTGCTCCTATGGTTACAGCAGAGGATAATGCTATGCACCAAGATGATGGTGATGATAATGGCATTTCTTTAAGTGAAAGTGGAAGTGAAGAAGAAAAGAATTCTTCAGATGCGCAAATTGATGATTTTCCTGATGTTCAGGTAAAAATTTGCTATTAAAATGTTGCATAATTTGCTTTGATTTTTTTTATTTTTATTTTTTGTTTGCTTTGTAATGTGCTGAAAAAGGCAAAGATAGAGTCTTGCATCAGTATTAACGCTTTAAAAGATGAGCATAGATATAAAAGAAAAAAGAGCAATTTTTCTTGAGACACGAATTTCAAAATCTGCATAATGTTTTACATCAATTCGAACTTTGTAAAATGGTCCCATTATCCTCATGAAATAAATAATTATTAATTCATTAAACGGTTATAAATTTTAAGATTACCACTAACTAAAGTTATTCTAAAGCTCAATTTTATTATTGATTTTTCAGTAAGTTAAATATTGTATACTGTTAATTAGTTGTATAAAAGGAATTATTAGTAATAATGATATTTAGGTTAACCTGCAAGGTATTATTGGAAAAGGAAGAAGCGCAGATGAAGATAACAGTTATACCATTATTCAAGTAGGTCCTTCAGTACAAAGGAAATCTGCTATCAATACGGCTAATGATATTCGAGACAATAACAAAGAGCAAAAAATAGATGAATTGAAACAAAGTGGCAAAGTACGACCTATGACTCGACGGCAGAAGCATAAAGCAGAGAAAATCAAAAAGAAATATGGCGATCAGGATGAGGAAGAGCGTCAATTAAGGTTGATGTTACTGGCATCAAAACCAAAGGATACAAGAGATTTAGAAAGTTTGTCACATTTGTTACACCGAGAAAATTCTTTTTTCTATTCTCAAAATCTGTAACTTGATTATCATTAGCCTTATTTATCTTGTTATACATGAGCTTAAATTTGGGTTAGATCAGAAGTAACGTTAACGATATTTTAATTAGGGTCAATTAGTTAATATATTAATGCTGTCTATAAATACTAATATTTTTCAAAATCTCTTAATGGAAGGTTTATTTTTGTGGTTCATTTTTTATTTTATTTACTATGCAACGATATGTATAAGCATTAAATGTAAGAACTCGGGAAATCCGCGACGTATATGTGATTATATGATGATGCTCCTGTTATATTATGCAAATTCTTGAATAATGGATTTTTGTAGAAAAAAACATCAATGAAAAGGCTTTGGAGGAAGCGAAAAAGAAAAATGCTAAAGATGGTAAAGTCAGTTTGACGAGTCAATTTGAATGTGTGAGAAATGCATCAGTGGTTGAGGAGAAAGCTGAACCTTCAACAATAGCTAAAGAAGTAAGGCCTTAACTCAGATTCAATGCAATTATAGGTTTCTGTTATATTTTTAAATTTCTCTCATATGATAACTAGCAATTTCCAAACTATTTATGCAGCAGTATAGGGATGAAAATTTGTCAATATAGAGGACGAGGTTATCCAGTTTAAGCTATGAGATAAGCGTTGTAACTAGGAATTTCAAAGCATTCCGAATTGATTCAAAAGTTTGAAATTGTTTAAATTTAATTTACACTTGAAGGTATATACCTATTAGAAAATTATCCGTTTCATTTTCAGGAGGAAGATGAGCAACTATTGGAAACAGATATGGCAGATATGGCAGTAATGGATGCCGAAGAAACGAAAATGTTGAATTCGTTGACATGGCGACCGTTAGATGAGGACGTTCTTTTGTTTGCTTTGGTGGTTGTGGCACCGTATCAAACGATGCAGAATTTTAAATATAAAGTGAAATTGACTCCAGGAACTGGAAAACGAGGAAAAGCGGCTAAGAGTGCAATAGCATTGTTTCAGGTAATATTTCTAACTATTATTTTCTATTGTCTGCTCCACATTTTGAATATTTCGTTTACCAAAACTATTGCTAAGAGTTGAAATTGAAATTTGAGAAATATGTCTAGCAAGGTTAAATCTTCAACTTCATGAGTGAACCGGAAATAAGACTCATATATGATGAGATATAAATGTGAACTCATTCCTATATTTCATCAGATATCATATTTAAGTTTGAAAATGATAATGATTACAGTTTCATAACTACGTAATTATAATGGCTATTTTCTTCTTTTTGTAAAATAAACACATTCTTTCTTTCATTCAAATCTTCGTGATAGGTGACATTTGCTGTTATCTGTTAAATAATTCACTATTTATTTCTCATTTTCAGCGTGATAAATCAGCAAATGCGCAAGAATTAAGTTTACTAAAGGTGCTAGCAACTGATGATCAAATTTCACGAAATATTCCTGGAAAAGTTAGAGTTTCAGCTCCACAACTGAACAAAAAATAGGACGCATATGATGGGACACACGTGTAATTTTGTATTCTGATATAGGAAGAATTGTATGTTAGTGATATCAGCAGTGTTTATGTTTATTTGATGTTATCATTTTATGATTCCTTCATACATGCACGATAAATTTGCAACTATATATCCTTATCGTTGTACAGTTTACAGTTAATTACATTCAGATTTTGTTATATCTTTGATTTTGCTATATGTTGCATCTCACATTTTTCACTTCTGCACTACCTATCCTGCCTACCGGAAGAAATTTACCGGAAAATGGCGAAAACTGAAAAAAGGTTCATGGTAATATGTGGTTGGACGTAGTTGAGTTATCTAAATGAATGCATGGACGGATGGGATGTTCATTTTTGCAGTTTTACTCGAAATGTTAGCTAGATAGGATTGTCATCTTTTAAAACATTGATTATAAGATGTACAATTGTTTATACGATGCTAGAAATAAGAAATAATGAATTCATATTTGTACTTCATATTTGCTACTCATAAAATATCTAGTTTATCGGAAAAAAAAAAAGCATGAGTAAAATCATACTAGAAATAAGGTAATAGACTGGTATGACATTTGGTTTTACAGATGGATACAGAAGCGAAAGAAGAGGAAGGTGGATCACAAATACCACCATCAAAACGTTTCAGACGTGATGATAATGTTGACCCGACTAATCCAGATCCATCAATAGTTGTTCATGTCCGGAATTTAAGTCCGAAAGCTACTGAAGCTGATTTATTGGAAGCATTATCGCATTTTGGTCCTATATCATATGCTACTTGCATGCCAGGAAAACGAATGGCATTAGTGGAATTTGAGGTTGGTATCTTATTTTCAAATATAATTTTAGGAATAATATTAATGTCGCTGTTACTAGAGAAAAAAATTGAATCGTATTAATGAACTGTATTCATGGCATGAATATCTAAATGAGGTGACAATATGTTTAGGAAGTTGAAGGTGCACGTTCATGTGTCGTTTATGCACAGACGAATCAAATTTATGTTGCCGGGCAAGCGGCTTTATTCAATTATTCTACATCTAAAATGATTCAACGACTGGGACTTGAATCGGAGACACCGAATCATGTGCTTATATTGACCATTTACAATGCTCAGTATCCTATTAACGTTGATGTCATTCATCAGGTATCCTTTATATTCTCTTACTATTTTAATATATCTCGTTGTTGAAGCCATTCCACATTGCTTTTATATGTTACGACAAAAATGACTCACTCAAATCATCGGTGAATCAGAATTTGATGACACTTTGAATATCTTTGTGTGAGTAATGTTGAGCTGTGTTTCGTCTAGTTTTATTAGGTATAAACAGTAAACTTAATCGAAAAAATTCAGTCCAACTGAAAGTTATAGATATGTGAACTGCATGGTTTTGTGAGACGTATTGCTATGATACGTCGAACAATGTTGCAAGCATTGGTTGAATTTGAAAGTGCGGAAATAGCGAAAAAGGCGAAGCATGCAATGAATGGCGCTGATATATACTCTGGATGCTGTACTCTTAAAGTCGAATTTGCTAAGGTTAATCATGTATTCTACGGTCCTTGTTAAAAATTGTCGAGATTTTAAAATTATATGTTGCTGAATTATTATCTGAACAGTTCTTATCTTATTTAAGAAAATAGTAGCTTCTCTTTTAGTTCTAAGGATTTCCATAGTTGATGATATATATTGTCTAATTACCATTAACTGAAAGCATGGAAACATATTTGTAGCGTTTCATATGAAGATTTTAAAATCTAATAAACATAATATAATTTGATATCATAATTACTAATTCCAGCCAGAACATGTGAAAGTGACTCGGAATGACAGTGATCAGTGGGATTACACGAAGGCGCCACAATCAGGTTGTTTATTTAAATGTTAACGGTTGTGGGACTGGCACAGGATATGCTTGTTGCAGGTGATTGTAAAGTTACAGGGTATAGTGTGAAAATTACATCCATACAAACTACACTGACTGTCGCTATGAGTGGATCGAGGGTCGGGAAAGCAACAACAAATTTTAATTACCATCAACACATATAACAGTACCAACATGAAAAGATCGCAGATAATCTACTGATGTGTTGCATTTCTCAGCGTCATCATTATCACCATCATTATTATTATTATTATCAGTACCCTCATCATCACCACCATTCAACTCCACAATTATCATCAGCAGCATCAGCATCATCAACATCATCAGCAACAGCATAAAGAGGTTCATCGTAGAAGGCATATTTTCTGAGTTGGTGCAGAAAATAGTCAAAAACAACAGGTACCGATTGCAACTTAAGTGCAGCTGCATTCAGCACCACAAATATGAAAAATGGCATCCTATTGGGAAATTGAGAGAAACAAATATTCCTTCATATTATCATTAATGCAGTACAACAATCATTCGCAACTGTCATTGATCGTCGTAAATCGTATAAATGATACTAACAGGGAAGAGATTAAGCGAAAGGTTAAAACAGTTTGGTAGCATGCTAATGGACACTTAATGGCGTACAGTATTGGAATGCATTGCATACAAAGAGCACATACACAGAAAGAAAGGGATATAAAAACGAAGAAACTCCGAGAACTGTTATAAGGGCTTACCACCGTGCTTCTTAATTATTGGCCTTAAACGTGATCGCATCCCTTTTCTGCAGGTTTCTACCGCAAAAGAGCTTGCGGTGTGGAAGAAATTATGTAGCAGTGGTGATGGCCTACAGGCTTAAGTTTATGTATTACCTGGATAAGGTTCGTTGATATCATTATGTTGCATTGTTCGAGTGATACTCGGATCCTGAATGATGGTTGAGTCGCTGAATTCTTCTGCATCTTTCTTTACATTTCATACAAGGCTGCAAAGGTCGGCGTTGATGCATGATTTTTTTTCGTTTCAGATTGCGCATGATATAAAAAAGGTATATTCTGTATGTTATAACTCATTTCTGGATGCTATTTCAGAGTACACGGAGGAACCTCGGAAGACGTTACTGAATGATGCGGGACCACGTGGAGGACGTAATTTTTTTTTTCTTCTTTATTACAATTTTTCCATTTCATCAAAACATGCTGTTTGATTTACTTTTAATGGTTCGTTTGATACTGTTAATTTCTCTCTCTATCTTTTCAGCACCTGGACCGCGTGGACCTCCAAGTTACGGTATGTTGTGGTACTTTGTGGCGTAACGAATGGTTCAAGTATTGACGATGCAAATTTTTATGATTGACTATTCATGCGAAGGATATGTATGACTTGATCAAGCACTAATTTCTTTTAATAATTTTAAAATATTTACTTATAGGAGGATATAGTGGACGAGGTCGCGGTGGTCCACCTGGTGATTATAGTTATCATGAGGATCGTTATGGTGGCAGCTATGGTAGAGGTCGTGGCAACTATGATGAATACGATGCAGGATATGGAAGAACCGAAGGATATGGAAGAGGGGATGGTTATTCTCGTGGTGATGGATATTACAGTAGAGGAGGAGGACGAGGTGGATTTGGTCGTGGTGATGGTGGTTATGGCCGTGGAGGATATGCACGTGGAAGAGGTTGTATTTCGCTTTGTTCTAAACAATATACTTTTTAATTTGCATAAAAAAATCGTGGAAAGTTATTACGCGAACCAATTACATTTTGCAATTCAAAATTTGGAAGTTCAATGTAAGGGATGATTAGTAATTAAAATGATCGAAAATGAGGATGGTTCTATTCCAAGCGCCTCTCAAAATTATGAAAATCGTAACTGCTTTAATGAACTGTTAAGAATTTAATAGCTCTTTCTTATGATTAAAGTAATTCCGTTTTATTCCAAACTTTGACCTTTTTTTCTGCTTTCTGATTCTAGTGCTTTGATCTATGGATTTGAAAGATTTGTTGTATTATGTGACACTTATATTGCAGGAAGTGCTGGTCTCTACGAAGATGAACGTGATTTTTACAATGGCGATGGTCCTGTGATGATGATTTATGGTATTGATCAGGATAATTTTAACTGCGACAAATTATTTAATCTGTTGTGTCTTTATGGTAACTGCAATAAGGTAATTCGTGATATTGTCTGATTTTATTAGCTATGAGAAAGAATTGTTGTGATTTATTTTAGCTTATATTTTTCGTTTATTAAATTTTTAAAATCATGTTAGATTCAGTGAATCATTCAGTGAATCATTTACCGTTTAGTTCCTTATTTTTGAATCGCAATTGTTTCAGATAAAATTTATGAAGTCGAAAACTGATACGGCTATGGCCCAATTAGGTAGCGTACGTCAAGTCTACACAACAATCGACAATTTGCATGGTACCATGATTTTTGGCAATAAACTTGCCCTCAGACCATCGAAACAGCAAATTTTGCACGAAATACGTGATCCGTTTATATTGCCGGATGGAACGCCTTCATACAGGTAAAGCGAAAGATGTTGATCACATTTATATTGGAGAAGAAATTTTCATCCGTATAAGATTTGAATAAAATAAGACTAGGCAATGTGAGAAATTGTCTGCTTTGTAAACTTAATAATTAGAATTAGTAATTAGCAGGAATAGTTATTTTTTTGAACAAAAATTGATGTAACAATATGCAGAGATTACACAAATAGTCGCAATCAGCGTTATACGACGCCCGAATTAGCGGCACGAAATCGAATTGTGAAACCAACGCATGTGTTACATTGGTACAATGCTCCCGTGACAATGACAGAAGAGAAGCTTAAAGAGGTACATTTTTGATTTAAATATAAAGTTATAATTAAACACTTGCCGCTGTTTCTCCATGAGAAGAGAAAGTTAACTTATCAACTATTAACAATGTAGTGCAGGCAAAATTTATGCTATGTATACTTTAATAATTAGTTTAGTAGGTATGTATCATGAAGAAATGTCTGATTAATGTAATATTTTTAGAAAATGCACAGTACATAGTATTCTTGGATTGACATATGATAGAAAATAGAAAAACCCTTTTATTCTTGGATTGACATATGATAGAAAAATTAAGATATTTTAGCTATTTGTCGACAAGGGAGCTGTAGCACCTGACAAAGTGGTCATTTTTCCACAACGTTCGGAACGTAGTTCAGCTGGAATCTGCGAATTTTCTAACACGGAACGCGCAACGGAAGCGCTCATGTTGGCGAACCATACACCAGTTGAAAGCCCTGGTAGGTTTTTTGATGTTTTCATGACTTTAGTGTTTTCACAACATATAAATTTAGAGAAACTGATTGGCTAAGGTTTACATTTCCATTGTAAACCTACTGCTAATGCTCTATCAATAGTTGGGAACATGTAAAAAAGTTTATATGTCACTAAAATATGAAAGTTGATTAGCAAAATCCGTTCTTTCAAACTGTCTGTCAAGTAATAAATGGTACTTTAACATACTGTTGATTATCAAAAGATACTTTTACTTTATTGAGTTACTATGAAGAATATTGCAGTTGGTAAAGCACCGTATATCGTGAAGTTGGCATTTGCTGGTGGTCGCGATGGGAAAGATTTCCGAATGTAACAAAAAATAGACTTCCATGCTTTTAACCGTTCTCGGCCATAAGCTCGTTTTTCTTTTTTACATGCAGTGAATACTACTGTTGTTGTGTTTATATAAGAAAAATTTTTTTGCTATATACATTGTTGGTCTCATACCCTTTCGGCTTTTTAGTTTTATTATACCAAGGAATATTTACAATTTTATATTGCATTTGTATCTGTTAGCAGACATTTCTCGTTTTAGATTGAAACAGTTCTCTAATTTTTTCTTTACTTGAAAAATTTTCATTTTTACTATGTTGTTTTGCTATGTTATAAAGTAGTATCAATAAGAAATGATTTTGGATAAATAGTAATAAGTGAATATGGACTTCACATATAACAAGTAAAAACCTTACTAAAAAAAAAAAAAAAAAAAAAAAAAAAAACAAAAAAGAAAACAAAAATATATCCACAAATAATAACATTATATACTATTATATGCCATCTTTGGCGATTAATAATATTACATATAAAGTATATATCATAATTTGAAAGATTCATATATGAGCAGGAGTGACTGGAAGTACAGAACATCCGAGAGTGCCTTTTCCAGACCACATTTGTGGTATAAGTTCTAGGCGTATCGGCCTATTATCTCTTAGCACTGTTACTCGTATTGGTTTCTGTAATATACGAAGAGAAGTATAAAAAAGTATTTTTCACGTAAAATTGCCAAACTATTTACACGTATGAAGAATTGAACATGTTATTTGATGATAACAAAATAGTAGCTATTTAAATTGTCGATCATATTCCAATTACTCAATAATATAATTTATAACTTCGAAATAGCTAAGCTACTTACTTATTTGGTATGTTTAAAAGATTCAATCTCAAATACATAAATAATTCAATATATTTAACTTTTTCTTTTTTTTTTTTTTTCATCTTATCATTTGAATATGATACCTACCTATCTCATGCATTCATGAAGAAATCAGTCTAAATTTACAGGATAGCTCCAACTAAATTAAAAATTAATTCGGTTAAAAGATAAATAATAAAAAAGTATTTGAAATGATTTCATCGATAGTGTATTTACATGATAAATTGATGGGAAAAAAAAAAAAAAAAAAGCAAAATAATGCTATGAGAAGTGAAGAAAAGATTAAATTCTCTTTTCTTGTCTCTTTTGCAAGAAAAACATATCAAATCATTAAGATACTTTTAAAAATGAAACACTTACATTCATAGAGTTTTGTACAACAATGCTAAGTTCTTTTATATCGGTAAAATTGCCAGCATGTAATGAACCAAATTGTATTAATTGATCACCATCTTTTAAACCCTAAATGATATAAAATGCTTTCGAATTTTGTCTTAATCCTTAAATTTTGTTTCCTTAAATCAATCAATTTTGCGATCATTAATCAATCAATCTTCAGAGTATCACAAAGATCAGATTGAAAATCATCCTTTCCTTAAATCAATCAATTTTGAGAAAAAAAAAAAAGACTTTTAGATTGAAATTAAAATTATCTAACATCACAATGAGAAGCAAATAATTTGTTATATAGATATGTTGCTCAAACTTCTAGTTTGTATATCATATCAAATAATTTTATTATAAATATTACTTAGGAAATGTAATAAATAAAAGTACTGACCGCTCGAAAAGCTGGTGATGCATTCATTACTTTAGCTACTTTTGCAAATGGAGCATTACTGGTACGATGCACTATTGGAATATCATCAGTTGCATGTTCACTGAAAATTTTTACATCATATATAAATTAAATAAAGAAGAAATGAGAAAAGAAAAGAGAGAAAAAACTTATTTACAAAATTCTGTTTAGTTGTAGATGTAGATATTACTTTGCAAATTAGCAATATGATAATTTCATTATAAACATTACTTATAAGTATTACTCATTACAAAAATATTACCTGCATGTTGTTGTGCAGAAAAGAAAAAAAAAAACTTATTTACAAAATTCTGTTTAGTTGTAGATGTAGATGTTACTTTGCAAATTAGCAATATGATAATTTCATTATAAACATTACTTATAAGTATTACTCATTACAAAAATATTACCTGCATGTTGTTGTGCAATCTCGTTTTTGTTGATGTAAAATAAGCATAGCTTTTTCAATTTCAGCAGTTAATTTTTGACGATCATTTTGCGCACATATAATAGCACATCGTGCTTGTCTTACTGCGTATACATCAACAGATGTAATGGGAAAACCTTCCTTATCCACTAAACTTTGCTTCATATCGATATTATTCTGTAAATTAGTTAATTAATTTTCAAAAAAAAAAAAAAATTCGTGAAAAAATTTTTCTCAACATTTATCCTAGGAAACACATAATATATTATTTTCTTAAATTTACTTTTAATATAAATTTAAAATTATAATTCATCAAGTTATGTAATATTTTAAAAGCAAAAAACAGGAATGATTAAATTTGCTATGAAGAAAAAAGAATTAAACAAAAATGAAGTAATTTAATCATCTATACTTATCATGAGTATATGAGAGAGAGAGAGAGAGAAAGGGAGAGAATATATTAATTAACTTAATAATCATTTATTCTTATTATTTTTTATACAATCAAATGTTATTTTAGCATAACTGTGCAAAAAAATAGATATAAAAATAAAGAAAAAAAAAAAAAAGAAAGCTAACTATTTTAAGAATTTCTTCTTCTTTAGCAATTCGTTGATCAATTTCATCTCGTGCTGCTATAAGTTTTTTCACCAAATCCATTGTGATCTCTTCTTTATCATTCTCTTTTCTTGATTCCATTTTATCTCTCAATGTTATCAAATTTCAATCGTTATCTCTCTTATATGCTTCTATCGAAAATCGAAGATCACAATCTCAAAAAAATGCTTTACTACTTGACCTCTTGATCAAATGAACAATTGCTTATCCTTCACATTTCATCAAATGCTTTGTTCATTCAATTATGCAAGCATGCATGCATGCATGCATGCTTGCAACATATAAAACAAAGAATTATGCTCATTCCTTTATCTTCCAAGGATACATATATATATTATCAGGAGAATACCCAATAAGCTTTGTACAAAATTATAAAAAAAACAATTTTCTCTTTCATTTATTTAAACAAAAAAAAAGAAAACCTCAATTATCATTTTAATAAAATGCTTATTTGTATTAAATAAATCATTTGTCTATATTTATTTTAATGTTCACTCAACATATTTACATATTTTAGTGATAATTTATAATACTTACTTTATTAATCGCTTATTTATTAAGTCTCTCAATACTACTACTACTACTGTAAGATGAATAAAAATCCCTTTTCACAACAAATTGGAATTATTGTCACTCGGAAGTAATAATATCAAACTATACTTCATCACAACTAACAATGCTAATTTTTGATTAATGGAACACTTAAGCCATTTAAAAATTATCTTTTGCCTTTTCTTCGACAGTATTTGATTGACCAAATGCTGCAAGGATAGGTAAAATAGACACTAAATGTTATGCACAAAGATTGTAGCATCAATGTCACATTTTTTTTGAATTAAAAAAAAAAAAAAGTAGGAAATGGTTGACAAGATAGGTGTTAAGTGAAATAACAATTAAGTAAACTATTTAGTTAATAACAATTAAATAAACTTTAAAAATTTTCACTTATCCATTTACATTACTATCATTTGATCTGTACAATAACACAGATTTTTTTTTTCTTTTTTTTTTATTCAGAATAAAATGTCGAGATCCAAAACAAATTCACAAATCAGCTGAGGCAATTCACATAATAACGTAAATAGTTCACAAATTAGCTGGTAACATATTGGAAATTTATAATTGACCTACTTTCTTTCGCTTAGAATTTCTTATTTTTTTTCTCAAGAACATCCTTGTTTAATTCATTTTGAAATTATTTATTGCCTAGGCTCATGATTATGACCTGGAATACAGTAACATTAAATTATCTGTCAACTACCAAACTAATCATAACACACAGTCAACTCATCATTTCTTTATGATCAACATTACAAACTACAATCAAATTCAATAATGTATGCAAATATCCAATGCAGATAATATTTTGAACCAAAATTCTTTTTAGCTCTTTCTTATTTTACGCAATCTTTTTCTTATCATTTAAATGCCTCTTTCACATGTAATTTACGTTTAATAAATTATTCCTTACAAAAATAAGGAAGAGCTAAAAATTGCGGAAAAAATAATATTAATCTCCCAAAAGAATTTTTTTTTTTTCAGGAAACTTTAATAATTTACTCATTTATTTATGAATAATAAAACTACATTGTATTGTTTCGTCCATAACATAAATCGAAATCTTTTGCAGCATACTGAAGATATTCCCCATTCGCTTTTTAATAAATGAATATTGTCCAAAATAATTCAAATGAACGGCGCAATAAACAAAATAGTATTTGTGAGACATTAAATTCGTGTATTATTAACTGAAACAATTTAAATGTACTGCTCACTCCATTCATTTAAGCAATTATATGCTGATAAGGCATGATTGCTGCTTACTCCGGCTACTTCCTGCAATGAAAAAGAATATTAAACAGTGCAATCAAATTATTTATACAAATTCAAATTCACCCAAATGCACCACCGAAAACATTAATAAACTTACCTTTAACCAATCAACGAAAAGTTCTTTCTCTTTCTTCAAAAGGAGAAATTGTCCAAATAGAACATAAGCCTGCAAAAAAAAAAAAAAAAAAAAAAACAAAAAAACAAATGCATCATCCCTTTTAGAAAGAGAAAAACATTTCGAAACCTAAGAAACGTTCAATATCAATCATATCATAGAACTACAAGTAAAAATAAAAATGAATTGCGATGCACTGGAAGTATATTTCATGAATATATATCGTTAAGTGATTTAACGAGAAATTGTATAGTAGAATGATTAAATGATTCATTTCTACACCGAAACATGAGAGTTAAAATATAATAACGTTCGAATATTTTGCACTCGTCAAATTTCAACTTTAAACTTAAGTAATGCTTTTGTATTTCGTTAAAAGTTGATCAATTCATAAATATGCTACTGAATGATTCAGTGAACTATTAAACAACAAATTATAAATTTTCCGACATGTAATAAAAACAAAAAATAAGATTGCAAAAGAGAAGGTAATTAAATAATAAACAATGATATTAAATGATGATAAATAATATGATAAAGGCATTATAAATGTTTTACATATATAATTAAAGAACAAATTACCTTATCAAAACCAGCCTTACTTAATTTTTCACCATATGTAGGTCCAATACCAGCAACAGCAGTTACTTCTTTCTCTCCCATTGGTTCAGAAACAAATTCACGATGTTTCACAGATGTACTAGTCATTGTGATCAAATCAATAAATAAATTTTTCCTGCAAATATTATAATAATCCTTGTAATTTTTTTCTTTTCTTGTAAATATTACAATAATTTAATTCATGTAATGAATATATTTATCATATATAAATTCAATATGTAAATATATAAATGTAAATAATTCAATAACAAAATTATCAGTAATTCATATAAATAATTTAGCACCATAGCCATAAACGATCTTTTGCTACTTGTACTAATTATTCATTGATCAAATAATTAGAAATCAATTTGACATTATTAAAAAACTTAAAACCTAATAAATTGATCAAGACTGAAACTTAATATGCTAATACTTAATAAACCGACCAAAACTACGACTTAACAACCTAAAACTTAATAAACTGATCAAAACTAAAATTTAATAAGCTAAAAATAAATTAACCAAAATTAAAACTTAACAATCTAAAACTTAATAAACTGACTAAAACTAAAATTTAATAAACTAAAAATAAATTAACCAAAACTAAAACTTAACAATCTAAAACTTAATAAATTGACCAAAACTAAAAATTGAGCTAACACTTAATAAACTGATCAAAACTTAAATAACCTAATAAACTGACCAAAACTAACAATTGAGCTAACACTTAATAAACTGATCAAAACTTAAATAACCTAATAAATTGATCAAATCTAAAACTTAATAAACTGATCAAAACTAAAACTTAATAAACTGATCAAAACTTAAATAACCTAATAAACTGATCAAAACTAAAACTTAATAAACTGATCAAAACTTAAATAACCTAATAAACTGATCAAAACTAAAACTTAATAAACTGATCAAAACTTAAATAACCTAATAAACTGATCAAAACTAAAACTTAATAAACTGATCAAAACTTAAATAACCTAATAAACTGATCAAAACTAAAACTTAATAAACTGATCAAAACTTAAATAACCTAATAAACTGATCAAAACTAAAACTTAATAAACTGATCAAAACTTAAATAACCTAATAAATTGACCAAAACTAAAATTTAATAAACTGATCAGAACTTAAATAACCTAATAAATTGACCAAAACTAAAATTTAATAAACTGATCAGAACTTAAATAACCTAATAAATTGACCAAAACTAAAATTTAATAAACTGATCAAAACTTAAATAACCTAATAAACTGATCAAAACTAAAACTTAATAAACTGATCAAAACTTAAATAACCTAATAAACTGATCAAAACTAAAACTTAATAAACTGATCAAAACTTAAATAACCTAATAAACTGATCAAAACTAAAACTTAATAAACTGATCAAAACTTAAATAACCTAATAAACTGATCAAAACTAAAACTTAATAAACTGATCAAAACTTAAACAACCTAATAAATTGACCAAAACTAGAATTTAATAATCTAAAACTTAATAAACTAATACTCGATAAATTGACCAAAATTAAAATTTAATAATCTAACACTTCACAAACTGATCAAAACTTAAACCCTAAAATAGCACAGCACCACTAGACAGCACAACTTCACCCACTGCTAACATTTCCCACTTCTGCCATCTGCGCCTCTCTGCTACCCACCTAACAACACCAAATAAACGCGCCCTTACACCAACGATGACTCATCATGCAATCATCATCTCAATCAACACCTATTTTTCACTCTAATTATAATTCCTTTCACATCTTGCTACAACACTTCGCCGTACTCTATCAATCATTTTCCACATCTTATCATGCATTATATTCAATTAATCTTATCACTCTCTGCCATCTCCTGAGTCTACCATGATATTTCTTATTTCCTCTCATTTCTTCATCAGAATACACACTCTCCCTCATTTCCTCACTATTTTCAATCTCTTTTAGCAATCCTTTACCCACTCAATCGAAAAACAACCGCTATCTAATTGTAGTTTCAGTCCTCTTTGTCTCACCTCTCCTACCGTTCCCTCTCTCTCTCCCTCTCCCTCTCTCTTTCTCTCTCTCTCTTTCTCATTCAGAAAATAAAAATATTAGAAATTTGAGTTTATTGTCGCATCAAATTAATTCTCAAATATTTTACAAGAAATTAACATTATTATTACACAATAAGTGCTATATAAATATTAAATAAATTTTATTCAATTTTCAAATTGAAATTTTCTGATATCAAATTATTAGTTTAATAATATTAGAGAAATGGCAATTATTAGAGAGAGAGAGAGAGAGAGAGAGCTTTGCTTGTAAAGTTTTTTTTTTTTTTCTTACATAATTTTAGATAATAATTGAAATGATAAAATGAATAATGAAATTTTTACTAAAAAAATTAATTTATATGTTAGATAATATTGACTAAAAATTACATCCTTTAAATTATTCATAAATCACTTTTTTTTTTTGATGTAAAATTGAACAACTAATCATTTGAATAATTATGAACAATGTAGTAAAATTGTAAATTGGAAGTTTCTTTTTTTTAATTTGATTTTTCACTGATCTCATAAAATATATTTATGATAATAGTACAATGGAAAATATTATATATAGACGGTAAATATATTTGCAGCAGAAATATTAGGTAGAATAGGTTTGCATCATCATTTTGAAATCATGTGATAAATAAATAAATTAATTAATCAATCAATCAATCACTTATGCTTACTTGTATGAGTAATATTACATCTCTGTGTTCATCAATAAATTTTCTTTATCATTGATTTTTTTCGTGCTCTGTGATATTTCAAAAAATGTATTTCGATTTGATTTGATGTATTTTGTATGAAAAATAATCTTTTTTGAAGTATTATATTATCAATGTAATGAAATTGGATAGATTACTACATATTAACCTAAATTTGTGTTCAAATTCAAGGACATTACAGAGCAGACGATAGAGACGATTTTTCTTTTGCAGTAATAACGATATTGATGAAGTCGAATGGAAAAATACGAACATCTGATTGGTGGCTTCACCGGTGGTATAATAAGCACTATTGCATGTCATCCGTTAGATCTTCTCAGAATACGATATTCCGGTTAGTTAATAATTAATACTTTTTTTTTTTTAAAAAAAAAATGATTAAACATGTAATTCATGTAATTCATAAACATGTAATTCATGTAATTCATAAACATGTAATTCATGTAATTCATTGAGTTTCTTTTTTTTTTTTTTTTCATTGAATCTGTTACTAAAATCAATGTATATGTAAATCAAAATTTACATTCTCCATTCATTTTATTTTATTCTGTAATATTTTGCCTTTTTTTTTTTTTTTATTTGAATAAATTTCATTATACATACATAGATCTAATATGTGTATGTGATTAGTTCATATTATGTGATTAGTTCAGCAAATCATCTAATTCTCGAGTATTTGTATTAGTTCAGCAAATCATCTAATTCTCGAGTATTTGTATTAGTTCAGCAAATCATCTAATTCTCGAGTATTTGTATTAGTTCAGCAAATCATCTAATTCTCGAGTATTTGTATTAGTTCAGCAAATCATCTAATTCTCGAGTATTTGTATTAGTTCAGCAAATCATCTAATTCTCGAATATTTGAAGTAATAGTGAAATTTTAATGCATTATCACTGTGACATGAATGTTTTCTTTTGTGTGCTATTGTGGTACATTTCATTTGCATATGCATTGTTTCAAATGAGATGAATGTAAGGAATTCTAGCTATACTCCATGATGTAATCTCAAATTTGACAACTTGAAAATATATATGAGTGCAAATATACAAGTGCTGTTTTACTTAGAATGCTTAAAATATACACGTGAAAGTTTTGAATTTTATACATCAAGTTTTATTATACAATAATCTATTGTATAAGATCATAATTGAGCATTTTAAGGTAGATTTTAGAGTATCAAAATCTGATTCTCCTGCTCTTATTTTTTGAAAAATTTAGCAAATTTTCGTTAGCAATCGGAAGAACTTATAAAATCTACCATTTTATGTTAAGCATACATCCTAAGATTGGTGTTAGCAACAATTTTATTACATATTTCATTGTTTTGTGATATCTGATAGATTATCATTGCAGCTAATGATGGTAATCGTCAACGTCCACAATATCGTAATTATTGGCATGCAGCGCGGAGTATTATACAATCTAATGGATATAAAGGTTTGTATCAAGGTCTAGCACCGAATCTGGTTGGATCCGCTGTATCTTGGGGACTTTATTTTCAGTTGTAAGTTTAATTCTTGTTGAAATGCTTATTTTAAACTGATATGATCTTAACAGCATTCATGTTTTTCGTTATGCTCAGGTATTCGCTGAAAAAAACTTTAAATTTAGAAATGGTATTATGTTAATGCAACAAACTATGATTTTCATTAGCATTTGAAATGTTCCAAGATTGCTTATAATTAATAAAGATCACACTTCATGTCGTGCACGCTTATGATTAAGTTTTAGGTAATGTAAATTGATTAAGGTAAATTAGCAGTTGTAGTTTTATTTGTTGAACGTTGCGAAAAATATCCAGAATTATACTTTTTGATATTGCAATAAATTTTAGGGATATAGAGTGTTATCCATTAAATCCGAATTAAAATTCCATTAGCCTTTTTTTTTTTTTTTTAAGTATAATTCAATTGTTTTATTATAGCTATCATATTATCAAAAGATTATGCGTTGAGAAAACTATTTCAACTGGAGCAGAACCGGTGGATAATGTCCTGATGGGAATGGTTACTGGAGCTGGTATTTTACTGTTCACTAATCCCATTTGGATGGCAAAAACTCGATTATGCTTACAATATGAAAATGAAAGAATCAGATATCGAGGACTTTTGGACTGCATTTCTACAGTTGCTCGTAATGAAGGAATTACTGCATTATACAGAGTTTGTCCTTTTTTCACTCTTTTTCTTTTTATTGTTTGTTTAATTGTTTTAAATTTTTTCATCACAATTCATGACCAAAAGAAAATGCTTATTAAAAAAAAACAAGGCTGAGAAGAAATAATTTAAACCAATGAGTATAAAGATTTAAATTTTTATTTAAATCTTGGAGGAAAAATTACCAAAATCTTTAACGTTTATGAGGATATGACTTTCCATTCTGGTAATTTTTGTTAGCAGAATGTTGAGGATAAAGGAATGATTAGAAAAAAAGAATTTCATTTGATTGTGATTCGTTGCTTTATTTAAGCATTTTTTAGGCCAAATTAGTAAGGCTTCCTGAAGTGATGATACCATAGAGTAAGTAAGGTGTTCAGGTAATGATATGGACAACTTGTTGATTAGTAGCACATTACGGATTAACTGAAAGAATGAATATTTTATGAAAGTTATGGGGAATTGTAGTGAATTTTAGTTGTCAAATGATTGATAACGCATATTTTTGTAGTAGGATATTTCCTTTCATCCTTTATTTTTTCAAATGTATTTTAGGGTTTTACACCAGGAGTTGTTGGAACCATACATGGTGCAATCCAGTTTATGCTTTACAATCGTTTCAAGGACAATCGATTAAAGCGTTTAGATCTGCCTGCTAATCATATTTTGGTTTGTTTTCATATATTTCTTCTATGTAACAAATTCTTAATACGATTCTCAATCGCTTTCTGATCGATTCCAAATTCTAGACCTATTTAATAAATGTTTACAGCAGTTTTCGGACCTATAGTAAAGATGTGCCAATAATTTGATCGTTTATTGTTAATAGTAGTTTTTGCAAAAAAATTGTAATGCATTTGGATTATTCAATTTGCATGGGGAATTAAGAAATTTTGTTTTTTTTTTTTTCAGAGTACTGTTGATTGCTTGGTATATTCAGCTGTATCCAAGGTAATTTCTACAACAATAACATTCCCGTACCAAGTGCTACGGACTCGATTACAGGTAAATATTAGTAATAATTTTTAATTATTATAAGTAAATGAAAGTTCAAAGTACGTTAAGGCTAGTTTTTGTTACTTTTTTTTTTTTTTTTTTTCATATTTATTTTTATAATATAGAAACAGTTTATATTTATAGGATCATCATGCACAATATAATGGAATATATGATTTGATAAGCAAAACATATAGAATGGAAGGTGTACGTGGATTTTATAAAGGTTTACTCATGGGCAACTTACGTCAGCTACCAAACGTTATTGTTACATATGTAACCTATGAGAATGTAAGGTATCTTGTTCGTCATCTTTCTCAGTGAAGTTCTTATTTGTGCAATTACTTTGATCTAACTACCTCATGATGTTTCTTCCATTTATTTATTTATTTAATTGTACGATATCTACTAATCCTTCATATGATATTACTTATAATGTGTTGTTTTCGTAGACAGTGATAGAAGAAGGGAGCAAAAATGCAACAAAATTTCCATGATGGATTAAAAATTTATCTGAAATTTTTTCAAAATAAATGAATAAAGCTAATTTTAACTAATTCAAGTGAATAAAGCTAATTTTAACTAAACTACACACAAGCATTATTTTTCCTTTTAAATTGAGTACAGTTTTTCTTTTTTTTTTTTTTTTTTTTTTCTTATCAAATAAAATGGCTTTAGTCGTATAAGTTTTGCTAAAAAGCTTTTATAAACGATTATCGAAAGTCATAAAAGAGAAATTTCAATAAATTTATTCCAAAGGATTTGGATGCTAAATGTCAGTAAGGATAATTCCGATCAAACAGTTATAATCATTCATTCTTATATAACTAAAATTAGTTAAATAGTATGCAGGAAAAAACTTTTTTGTAATTTGACTTATAAATTATTAACACTTCTAAATGCTTTATATCATACCTTTTTTTTTTTTCCTTTTTTTTTTTTTTAGGTATGAATTCAATTAGCAGAAATTTAAGAAAATAATATATGGAAAAAATGGCTTAAATTGATTAAACAGATTGCTTCTCAACTTTTATTTGCAATGATTTAAAAATTATAAATGCATATAATTAATGAGCAAAATTTACAATGATAACGATGCTGTTGTTTGTGTCCATTTTGCTATAAACTGTAATACATCACTTATATTTTCGGTTGATTTTGTCTTTTGCGCCATAATAAAACAACTCCATGTATCACGATCGGCTACTCTACCGGATGATCCAAATTCTTTAACATTACCATATGTTGGATAACCTTTAATAAATTTAAAAAAATATTTTATCATTATCAAAAAAAGATAAAAAAAATTTTTCCATATGTAAAAAATTTAATTTTATCAGTATTGATTATAACATACATAAATAATATTGTGCTGAAAAAAAAAATGTTTTTGTTATTAAAATAAAATAAACAAAAAAAGAAAACCTGAAATAAGACATGCTGGATGAGATATACCATTTGCATCAAATAAGCTTACTTCAAAATTACCATCATTATCATAGGGTAAATTTCGTTCTATACTTTGCTCCATCGAAATTGCTAACACCCATTCTTTTACTTCTTCATATTCATCATCCTTCAAATTGCTCAAATTATATGCTATATACTTTTTCGAAAATTCTAGAAATGAAAAGTTAAAAATTTAATAATTTTATTTTTCAATAACAAAAAAAAAAGAAAAATATGAGAATTATTTAATTTGCTAAACAAAAAAGAAAAAAAAAATGCTTTTATTATTAAAATAAAATTAACTTTATTAATTCTTAAAAAAAAAAAAAAAAAAAAATTTGGTATGAAATAGACTTTACAGATGTATATTTTGTTGCAGGAAGTAATATTTCTTGTGGTATATCAGTGCCATCAAAAATGGAGCAATCAATAGCTGATGGATTTTGATCATCAATTGCATCACATAAATCAAGATAATGATTTAAAAGTATAAATGCTAAGCGTTCTTTTGTGGTACCCAATTTCTATGATAAAAAATTAATATATTTTTTTTTTTTTTTTTAATTTATAAATTTGCTATTTTTGTTTAAAATACAATCAAATTAGCCATATTTTTTTTTTTTTGTATAATTATTGAAAAAATTTATATTTTTGAATTTGATAATAAAAAAAAAAAAAAATTAAAATGAAATAAAAATTTAACATCATATTAACAATAGTATTAACTTAGGAATATATTCAATTAATTTAGCTAATTTAATTATATTCAAATTTATTGTTGATTGATTTAAAGATTCTTAAGTTCTTTCTTTTTTTTTTTTTTTTTTTGTAGAAAGAAATTATAGTAAAGTTTATTATTTAAATATCTTAACCAATTAAAAAAAGAAAATAAAATAAAATAAAGATATTATGTTTGAATTAAATTAGAAATAAATGAATAAAAATTAGACATACTCTGCATGCTATCCCAGCTTCATAAAAGACTTTATCAGCTTGCATAATATCACTATAACGAATAAAGCTTATCGTAATTTGAGCTACGATACGTTCTATCTCTGTTCCAGTATATTCGAGAATAGCTGAACGTAATGCACCATAATGAGCAATCTCCAAATATCTATTAAATAACTGAAATATTGAAAATTATTCGATAATAAAACTACTTATCATTTATTCTATAATCATTATTCTCTTATCATCACCTGGATATAAGTAAGATAATCCCAAGAACTTTATTTTAATTATTCGCTTATCATCCTAAGATATTACTTTAATTATTCTCTTATCATCTCCTGGATATAAGTAAGATAATCTTAAAGCTGCACTTTAATTATTCTCTTATCATCCTAAGATATTACTTTAATTATTCTCTTATCATCTCCCGGATATAAGTAAGATAATCCAAGAACTTTATTTTAATTATTCGCTTATCATCCTAAGATATTACTTTAATTATTCTCTTATCATCTCCTGGATATAAGTAAGATAATCCCAAAAACTATACTTTAATTATCCTCTTATCATCTCCTAGATGCAAGTAATATAATCTTGATAAAGATATAAATAATATATTCTCGATAAGATAAATATAATTATTTTTAATTATATTTATCAATTAAACAATGTAATTGTACAAATGCAAATTATCAGATAATTTAAATGTAACTTTAAATAGTAAAATATATTACTTTTAATGATAAGTAAAAAAGATGAAATTTTTTTTTTTTTTTTTTTACCTCTTTTTGCTTCTCTTTAGTATTCATACCATTACATACCATAAGAAGAACATTTCGTAAAGTTGCCCATTTTCTATAAACGTTTGGATTGTTCATATTACGTACGTTAATAACCTTAAAATGATAAAAAGTTTGTAGTATTTGAGTTAAATATTAAAAGTAATTTAATTTTTTAATTCGTTTTTTTTTTTTTTTTTTAAATTGCATTTATAAATATTCAAAATTCTAATCATTGTTTGTTTATGATTTCAAATTTTCAAAATAATTACAAAATTCCATTTTTTTGAAAATTTCCCATTTGTTTATGATTTCAAAAATTTTCAAAAAAAAAAAAAAAAATAATTACAAAATTCTTGAAAGAAATTCCATTTTAATTAACAGACAGATTCAAATAATTTGTTATAATTAGGAAATGTTAAAAAAAAAAAAAAAAAACAAAATTAAAATCTTGCAATACTTCTTAGTTTAAATTCAAAATTTTAAGTTCAAAAATTCAAAAATGAATTATCTTTTGCAAATTGAATGAAATTTCAAATAAAATAAGAGATATATTAAAGATTGATGAACTATTATTACATTTAATCATTCAATTAATTTCAGATATTAAAATTAAAGTATTAAAAATAATAATAATAATAAAATTACATTTACAGGTGTTCAATTTGAAATTATTGATTTCCTCAGTTGATTTGATTTCATATTCAATTTTATAATTTTGAATATATATATATACACTTCTCAATATGTATCAAAATTAATACTTATCAAATATTCTCGTAAAATTATCAGTCTGTTTTAATTTAAATTGAAAATATGTATAAACTTTTTTGTTTTTTTTTAAATAATTTTTCATACTTTAAACAGATGAAATTAATTTAAGCAAAATTAATTTTCATTAAAAAAAAAATTGAAAATTTTCACTTACTTCTTCAATAAGTCTTTGATAAATGTTAAAATTGTTAGAATTTGAAGATGCACCATATTTTTCAAATGTAATCAATGCTTCATCATATTTCATTTGTTTAATTAATTCGGTTGCATATAATGCGACATATTTATCCAACAATGGTTGATGCTACAAGTAATTTTCTTTATCAAATATACAGTAAGTAAGTAAGTAAGTAAGTAAGTAAATAAGTAAGTAAATAAATAAGCGTAGAATTTCTAAGTAAGTAATTAAGCGTAGAATTTCTAATTTAATTGTTATAAAAATTAGCAAAAATTGTTGCAAAAAGAATAAAAAAAAAAAAAACAGGGTGTAATTTTATTATAATTTAAGTGGTATTAATTTAAGAACAATTGAAATATTTAATAAATTTAAGTCTTTTTTTTTTTAAAAAAAGAAAATATCTATCAATAAAACTTATCTTTCCTTAAATTTCAAACCCAAAAAAAAAAAAAAAAAAAAAAAGAAGAAAGCTTTAAAAATTGGGAAAGAAGAAAAAAAAGAATTGAACAAAAAATCTTTTAAAATCCTTTTCCATTCCTTTTCCTTTAAAATTAATAAAATCAATTAATTAAAAATTTGTTTAATTTTGTAAATTTTTTTTTTCCATAGCTAACTAAAATTTTGATAATTTATGCTAATGAATATAGCAAGTTTTTGAATTTCTATAACAATTTTTTAATTCAACAACAAATGTAATATTACATTTGCTATTATTTATTTTAATAATATCTCTTTTCTTTTCTTTTTTTTTTTTTTTTTTTTTTTTTTTAAATTAGTTTAATAATTTCGAGATTATATTTTTTTTTTTTCATATATTTCACATGGAAATTAATAACTAACTTTTTGTTGATGGGCTATTTCAAGCGCTTTTTCCCACTGACCATGTTCCAGTAATGCGTCAATAGCGCTAACAATATCAACATCCATTAATTCACCTAATCGACCTTGCTGTTTCAATGATTCCCTGTATTTTTCATCCACAAAATCGGCTAAATCCGGAACAAATTCCATAGCTAACTAAAATTTTAATAATTTATGCTAATGAATCTAGCAAATAATTACAGCATATGTATAATTAAAGTAATAATTATTTTACTTTTTTAGCTTTTGACCATTGTCCACCAAGCAAGAATGCTTTAATAGCATTATCCGGTTGATTTGAAGCCAAAAATAATTCAGCTGCTTCAATA